CATGAACCAGTTGTATCATGTTACGATCTAAAGGTTAAGCAATTGAATCTTTTGGTTTTTAACAACTTTTTCAAATTGGAATTAGTCTGAGGAGAGATGCTATTGAGCATCGTTTGCATGTGAAACTCTTTGAACTATAACCATGAGCAAAATTCGTAAATTGGAACACTGAATTGTTGGTTTAAAGTTGTTCACAGTTTTTTTGAAAAAAAAAAAAAAAAAAAAAAAAAAAAAAAAAAAAAAAAAAAAAAAAAAAAAAAAAAAAAAAAAAAAAAAAAAAAAAAAAAAAAAAAAAAAAAAAAAAAAAAAAAAAAAAAAAAAAAAAAAAAAAAAAAAAAAAAAAAAAAAAAAAAAAAAAAAAAAAAAAAAAAAAAAAAAAAAAAAAAAAAAAAAAAAAAAAAAAAAAAAAAAAAAAAAAAAAAAAAAAAAAAAAAAAAAAAAAAAAAAAAAAAAAAAAAAAAAAAAAAAAAAAAAAAAAAAAAAAAAAAAAAAAAAAAAAAAAAAAAAAAAAAAAAAAAAAAAAAAAAAAAAAAAAAAAAAAAAAAAAAAAAAAAAAAAAAAAAAAAAAAAAAAAAAAAAAAAAAAAAAAAAAAAAAACACGTCGTATTTTGCACTAAAGGCTTTTAACTTTTGATTTTGGGGGGGAATTTTGATTTTCTGTATTTTATGTGAATCCAATGGGGGGTACTTCCGTTATTTACATTGTAAACTTAAGTAAATGTCTGTGCCTTTTACTGTTCATTTATTTTTATTACTCCATTTACTTAAATGTTGAAAATGGAAAATAAAGTATAGAGAAAAAAAAATCTGTAATTTTTTGGGGATTTTTTTTAAATTTTTTTTCATTTATTTTATTGTACAAACATTGGTACCGTGGATTGCTGGAAACAAAAATTGATCGGAGAGCCAAACGCGTGCATGTGAGACGATTAAAAAAAATGTAGACGCAGGGCTGAGTCGGACGTGACGTCAGCCTTGCCCTCGGGCCAGCCAGTCGCGGGGTCCCCATCCGTGTCTGGTCCACTTTTTGTTGCTGGAAACAGCATTTTGGGCCTAGCCTACCCCCCCCCCCCCCCCAGTCCTCCCCCGGTCCACTTGGGGAATGCTTCTAAGGGGTGTGATAACGTGTTAAAAGAATGATCAGAAAGCTAGTCCGTTTCGTAATTGTCTCATCCATTTTTTTTTTTTTGGTAATGCTCTTGTGCAGTACAGTACTACAATCTCATGGTAAAATGCTACTGGCCCATTGTGATGCGTTTTTGATGATACAGGCGGGAAAGACATTAGTCATGTATAGCAACGATCGAAAATTTTCTGCATGATGATTAACAAATTTTCCGAGATTAAGGTACTTTACGTGGACATTTAAAGATGTCTACAAATTCAAGAATCAGTAGGTGAGGAGGACTTGGGCATGGTATTAAAGGAAATTACGCAGCGGACATTTTGGAGCAATTAAGATGGTTTGAGCAAGTCAAATCTAATGGGGGAAATTTCATTAGTGAGGTAGCCTACAATTGGAAGAGATTCACCAGGGTTAATGTGGGCAACTTGTGTTATGTGTTGGGAGGGTCAAAAGCGTGCTTTTAGTATAATTGAGTTCATGCAAAATGGATTCTTATTAACTACATTTATTACAAAGAAGGGAATATAACTGCTAGTTACACAGAAAAATGTATGTATTTCACTTGGAGTAGACGAGGGATTTGAATCTCTAATCAGGTTGTGCACATTGCAAATTTACATTTGATATCAAGCCTCAAAAATCCTTCTTGACGAAAATTTTGTTCCAAAGATTCTGACTTTGGGCTTGCGAAATATATCCTACAGTTAACAGTATTGTCTGTTAACGGCAAGCAAGGGAAACAAGGGGGTTACAGGCTCCTGGTTGTTCTACAAAAATATTGGTGGGTCTCACACAAAGATGGGTATACAGCTTTGGAATGCTGTTGATGGAAATGGGAAGCAAACGAAAGAATTTAAATGCACGTGCAGAGCATCAAGCCAAAATTTACTTCCGTCATGGTGTACGACCAGTATAAGGAGGGGAAAGGAGTGGAGATGGAGGATATAAAAGAGGAAAGAAAAGAAAATAGTAAAAAAGATGGTATATGCTTGTGGTGTATTCAAATGAAGCCAAGTGATCGTCGGCAATGAACGACGTTATAAAGAGCTCGAAGGAGATGTTTGAAAGCCTACGAAGCCTTCATAAAGCCTTTTCTGTGCCCTCAAGAGATGTCTGTAGATATTCATGATAACTTTGAACCATACATGTTCTAAACATGGAGGTGAGTGTACTCTGTACCAGGTCATGATGAGGTAGCAACTCTTGTAATTTTATTCAAACACTCCAGTACTTGTGTAGCGTCTCTCTGCTTGTTTTTGATGTTGGCTTTCGGTCTAAGAGTAGGGTTGGGCTGTTCTGACATTTAGTTGGGTACTCTGTCCTGGTTTCAGTTTCTGCATTTGCATGTTCTACATTTCCATTTATGGAATAAATAAAAAACTCTTGCTTGTGGTCATTGTAATAATAAAAAAAACCTTCAAATCCCAAATGCCCGAGTAATCTAACAGTTTTTAAAATATACTACGAGAATCAGGAGTATTTGTTCAGGTCGTGAGGTTGCCTGGGAGGTGGGATCACAGGAGGTAAAAACATTGTAGCTGATGGGGGCAGTCGGGAAAAAAAGGAGGATGTCTAAAGAGTCTGGTGATAGAAACCATCTCCTTGGTTTTTGTCTAAAATGAGGCCCCCAGTCTCCTCTTAAGAAAGCCAACTTGGATTATAAAAAAAAAAATTATAATGTATATGTTGTTGACAATTACTGTAGAAATTATAATAATACATATACATGTTACTACTACATTTTAGGCCTCGAGCCGAAGGCAAGTTCGGCACGCAAAGTAACTTTAGTCGACAATTCTACGTGAAGAAGGTTTCGTTGAGCACATTCGTCATGCAAAAAAAATTGTAAGAATTTGCGCGGACAATTTATTTCACTTAGTCGCGTGATGAGGGGGAATTTATATTATTATATTAACCCTATTCTTGTATATTTTGATTAATATTTGGTAAGAATTTTTTGATACTTTGAATTATATTTCCAATTATAGGACTTTCAACTTCCTCGAGCAAAAACCTAAGCAAATGGCGAATTTTGGAGTATCAATTGGAGACGTAAGTGAGTCATTGGCTAGATCGTATCGCGAAATGATCCGACTTTTCCACAAGCGACGACGTGATTTACTGGCCGAAAAAATGACAGGCGACGATGTTGCTGCTAGATAGGACGTTTGGGCTTTATTGCGTTTGGAGACCAAGATGACCTAAGATGGGTTGTGGACTTCTGGAGAAGTGTTTCAAAATTTTTATCTTTTAAAAAGAGCTATCTTGGGCCCAGATTGGAGGAGTTTGAGGCCCAAAACGCGGGGACCAGTTTGTTGGCAGATTTTCCTAATACAATTGGGACTTTATTCCTTAGTTCTTAGTTATTTAATTGTTTCCTTGTGGGGAGGGTAGCTGTTTAGGAGGGTATTTAAGACCTTTTCACAGAAAATTTAGAGGGCTCCCTTTTGACTTCTTTTCGGATTTGGAGAAATGTAGGGTTTGGATTTTCGCGACTTTCAGGTTTTTATTTATTTTCTCTAATGATATTTTCTTGGATTCAATTTGAGTATGCGTAATAAATCTTTTCGCTAGGGTGAAGCCTGAGCCTTAGCTGAATATTGTGAGTTTATTTAATTGCTTATGATTTAGTGCATGCATGCTTTGAATTGTTAATCATGTTTTACACTAATATGATTGTCTTAAGCCTTGATCACATTAGGACCTGTAGAAAAGTTAAGTAGAATGCAATTTTGGTCGGAAGGTTCCCTGAAATGATGCTTAGCTTTTGTGATAATATGGTAAAGTTCACTTAAGGATAACATCACGCTCTTAAGGGTTTGCATGTTTTTTCAAAGGGTTTTCACAACAACTTAAGGAGTCTTTATGTCAGATTGATCCGAAAGTCCCAGACGGGTTGCATGTTAAGTATACGTTTAGTTTGAGGTTCCAGTAGAAGTAGAATATAAATTAGGAAACCTACCTTCAACAAATGGATGCGGCAAATCATAAGTAATAGTTAAAATCATGAGGATGGCTAGGTGCTATGGAACCTAGTGTAACTTTTATAAATGATATTCAAAACTCTTCCTGCAATTGTATTTGTTTTTTTTTAATATTGTTTTTAGAATCAACCAACTTCATATTCCTATTTCTCAATTTTAATTTAGTCGTTAAATTAGAAATGTTTTACATAAATGCTAATAGTCATTGGGGAAAACGATCTTGCATGAGCTCTATACTGACAATTGCCTTGATTTTGCAAGTATTATGTGTTTAACCCTGTGCCTGCGGCAGGTACTAAAAAATCCTATAATCTCTCAAAAAAGGCGACGCTAAGAACCTTCAGTTACAAAGAAAGGTCGGCGAAAAGACACCAATGTCTGACGCCCAACCGTTTGCACGCGAGGAGGAGGGAAAGTGTTTTCAAAACACCAAAACTGCTGCGACGGACAGTTTCGGTCCTCGAGATTGTGTCCCAAAGGCATTAGCGCGACGGAAGTCATTCGTCGCGCAAATTACTATTTGACGACGAATTCGCCTTCATTGTGCATTTATATTTGCGTGACGAAAATTCCTTCGTCGCGCTACACATTTCGCGCGAAGTTTACGCGCGCTGATTAAATGAAGTGTATTTAAAATTATTTTTTAAGTTTTTTTTTTAAAAAGGGATTTTGCGCGATGGAGATATGTTCGTTGCGCGAAATTAATATATATTAATATAAATTAATATTTTTTTTAATTTTTTAAAGAAATTAATTAATTAATTTTTTTATTAAAATGAAATGGCACTAAAAAGATTAATCGTAAAGAACATTCGTATATAACGAAAATAAATGTATATAAGAGGAAATATTTTAAAAATAATTATGAAATAAAAAAACTAATCAAAATAATGTTCCAAAATCTACATGATCGTCTGCCACATGCGCAGCTCGGAGGTCTGGGCGTTACAGGGGCCGTGGCATGGTGGGGATGCTCGAGGTGGATGGGCTCGGAGGTCGGCGCACAAAAATCGGGATTGGAATGCCGGACTGCGCGAGGGACTGCAGAATCGCCGACATCTGACCCTCAAGATCGGCAACCCGCGATGTCAAAACAGTCACCTGAATGTTTGCATGCGATGATGACAGGTCGAGGTTCCCTCTGTCCGGCATTCCCCTTCCTGTACAATATGTTTCCGGCCTCCTCCCGAGAGTCTGATCCAACGTCTCCGTTCAAGATCTGAAATCAGCATCTGTGAGGATCCACAGACTCGATCGGAGTCTCAGGAGGAAGTTGGGAGGCGGACTCCTAACGAACCAACTGGCTCCTCCCATCATCGTTGTCTGTTTAACATAACATAAAATCTAAATTCAAACATGCATATAAATTTAATGCGTAACATAAAAATTAAAAATAAAGAATACTTACATGAAGGGACTCAGCCAACTCATTCTCCGGTGAGAAACATAAACGTCACCAAAGAAGTCGATCGTTGGGAATTTCGACCCCCCTTAAATTGAAATAGAGAAGTAGAAAATATTAGTATGAAAAAAATAAATTAATAATAATGACATATTAAAATTTAAATAGAAATGATTTTATATGAGAAGGGCTTGGAGCCGGAATGGTGGAGAAGGGTCTTCTTCTTCCTATTGCATTATTCACTTGGGCTTTATTCGGTTATACAAAAAATAAAACTTATTAGTTGAAAATATAAAAATTAAATAATAATGAAATATAAAAATGAAATAAACATTAATAAAAAAAATGTAATAATTAAACAAATATTAGTAACAAATACCACATAAATCGGGCACTGAAAAATGAGCGCAGAGCCACGCCCAACTATCCTCCGCCCCTCAAGCGCCTTCGAGTAACCCGCAAAAGGGACTTGCAGATCCTCAAACGCCTGAAAATGGTGGTGCAAGTCGCTCTTTCACTGCTGGACCTCTTACCGAAGAGTGTTGACGTACGGCCAACGACTCTTCGTCGAAGTCCTCTAAGTTATAGTTCGTCTGCAATAAATTACTTACATACTTAAGTAATAGAAATATATAAAGTTTGAAAGAAAAAATAATAAAAAGTTAGGATAATACCAACAACTGGCCAAGAACTCATCTTGATCTCGTCAGGCATGACCTTCCAAGACTTCCATTATCGGGCAATGGGTGTCCGAACGACGTGGCCAATGTCGTGGGCCAAGGAGCTATGCAACTCCGCCGTCGGGTGCAGCCCGATGGCACTCGTAGTATCCGATAGATACGACTGTTGGTCACCCCGGGTTGACCTTCGCTGTCTTCAGTCCGACACGGCCTCGAGTGTTTTCTTGGTTGCAAAGAGATATGACAATAATGTTAAATAATAACAAATTTAACAATAAAATTCAGAATATAAAAAATAAAAAAAGAACTAACAGGGGTGAAGGGATATCTATACCTGGCTGTGACACCGAGCACAGGATCGCTCGGTCGACGCGTGGGGGGGTTGGTGTCGGTGGTGCTGCGGCCCGGTGCCGCCGCCTAGCGATAACAGGCAGCCCATGATGAAAGCTAATGAGCAGGAGCTGGGATCCCCAGGGACCAACTGGAACGTGGTCCATCAGTGCAGGAATAGTGGCAGCAGATGCCGGTTGAGCGGGGGCGCTAAAGTCGGTGCAGTCGACACTGCCCTACGACTTCTAATCAAGTCTGACATCTGGCACAATTTCATCCAACACATACCAATGAAATCTAATTACGACTATACAATGTCATTCAAAATTTGAACTAATTAATTAAAAGCATAGCTTGACCTAGGGTTTGCGATTTCGGAGTATCCTGGACTCCGATCCACGATCCGTCGAATCCTACACGATCCTAGAAATACAAGTAAGGACCCTTATGAGTTTGAGTTCAATCCAATGGTCCGAAATACCCCAAACGAAATCGCAGAAAGAATAGGCAAAATCCGTTCGAGACTCAAACGGTAACCAAATTCGAAATCCGAACCACAAAACCTACGCACTCATGACAATAGGGGAGTGCATTGGGACCCAATGCCATGACTGCTACAACAGCCCCGCGCCACCACACGGCAGGCAGCGGGGTGTCCAAAGCGATAGCAATCGCCGGAAAATTCTAAAAAACTAAGGCCAAGGTTTCTACCCTAGGTTCAAAACATGAATTGGAGCCACTTTTGTTCTCGGACCTACCCTGAAAAATGGTCGGAAGTGGCCGGAATCCAATTTTAAAAAACTGACCGAAATTAGGGTTTGAATTCTAAATACCAAACCTAACAATACCCAAATCCTACCTAATATCAGCTAGAGCACAAAAAAACGGTCCAGAAAACCATACCTCAGCTGTTTCAAATTGGTGGCCCGAGGAGAGAGAAACATGCCGGAGAAGATTCTGCGAGGTGAGGGCGGGGAAGCTCCGGGTTCGAATGTGGTGGCAAGGGTCCAATTTCCGGCGGGGTAGTGGCTGAGGTGACGGCGGAGAGAGATATAGGGTTTAGGGTTTTGCAGAACAAACTGAGGAAAGAAGGAGGTGGTCGTGACGTTTTTGAAATTTTAGTCGATCTTGCGCAACGAATATATCTTCCGTCGCACAAAATTTTTACATGCATCTTGCGCGACGAATAAAATCCGAAATTTCGCGCGCAATGTTCTAACTCCCAAAAATTGGAATTGGGGATTAGGGTTTTGGATTTGCGCGACGAAAAGGACACTTGTTGCGTCGGCAAGGCTGGCCATCCGCCAAAATTTTGGGATTCAGGTTTTGAGCGGGGAGATAAATAATTGAGGTTGCGCGACGAAGAGAAGAGTATTCGTCGCGCAAGCCTACACTTTGCACGACGAATACACTTTGCACAAAATTTTCCTAAGTGTTGGGTGGGGGATAAGTGAAAGGTCTGAGGAGATTGTGCGACGAAGGAAGTTTATTCATCGCGCAAGCCTTGGTTGTACAATTTGCGCGATGACATGACACTTTTGGCGCGCAATCCATGATTTTGCCCCAAAATTTTCCTAAAAGTGTGGGCGGGGGATAAGTGAAAGGTTCTGACTGTGATTGCGCGACGAAGAGAAGTGTATTCGTCGCGCAAGCCTTTGTTTTGTACACTTTGCGTGACGACATGACATTTCCTTCGTCGCGCAATCCAAGATTTGCCAAAAAAATTACTAAGTGTTGGGCGGGGGATTAGTGAAAGGTTTGACTGAGATGTGCGACGAAGAGAAATTATATTCGTGCGCAAGCCTTTGTTCTGTACACTTTCTTGCGCGACGACAGTGACACTTCCTTCATCGCGCCAAATCCCATGATTTGCCAAAAAAAATATTCCTAAGTGTTGGGCGGGGATAAGTGAGAACTCTTACTGAGATTTGCGCGAGAAACTGTCCCTAATCTCGCGCAATCCCTATCCTGAAAACCCTAACCCTAAACCCTAAACACTTGTTTCAAGATCCAACGGCAAACTGTTTTTTATACTTCGAAATGGATACGTCGAAAATCGGAAAAAAACAAAACCTTCAGAGATTAAGTACGGGGACAAAACTTTTTCGATGGTTATAAAAGAAAAATCACGATTTTAAGGTTGTTTTAACTCCGATTTGAAATTTTTTATAGCTGCATTGTTGACCGAAATATGAAATACAATGACTGAATTTGATCTTCATTTAAGATATTTACACTATGGATATCACCATAATATTATGTATATTAAGGAAAGTATAAACAAAATCTTATTGTTGGTGAATATTGGTGTTCATGGCATATGCATTCTACGAAACTAGTTTCAGTAATCCAGCCGTCCAACTTGTTTGTTTATACTTCAAGATCATAAACCCCAAAATTGGAAAAACAAAACATTCAGAGGTCAAGTAACGGGACAAAACTTTTCCACGGTTATAAATGAAAAGTCATGATTCAACGGTTTATTGAAACTCCGATTTTGATGATTTTTACAGCTACACCTCCTGACCCTATATGATACAATTAACTAATTTGATCGTCAATTTGAAATATATACATGTGTATATACAAAATATATTTATATATATATTGCGCGACGAGTAAGACCTTTTCGTCGCGCAAAATTTCTTCGCGCGATGAGGTAAGACCCTTCGTCGCGCAAAAATTTCTTCGCGCGACGAGTTTCCTTTCTTCGTCGCGCAAGGATTTGGCGCCATGTCAGATGTTTATCATTTTTCATTTTTTGAAAAGTGTTTCATTTTTGAAAGTGTATTAAAAGGGTTTGGATATATTAAAAGGGTTTGTATTAAAATTGAAAATGGTTCAAAGGGTTACAATTTCTATGGTCACACAATAAAGGTAAATGTCATGATAACACCATAGATTAATAGTTGATCCAATCAAATTGAAAAGGGTTCAAAGGATAAAAACTAAATTCCATGGGTCACACACTAAGGTTAAAATTAAATGCCAATTTCATGATGAGAGGTGCAAGTTATATTAAAAAGTTAACATCAATTATGATAAAATCAATTTAACTTACGACATAGTGATTAAATTATAGGTATATACATATACATGGAGAAATATACAATAAAATTTATAACAATAGTGGTTAATATTATAATATCCTTAAAAAAAACCAAAAATGAAAAAATCATCTCAAGTGGTATTTTCGAACCCAAGGATTTAATAATTACTATATTAAAAAATAATAAACCCATAAAGAATTTTTAAAAAATTGTTTATACAAGGGAAAATACTCTATGAAAAATAAGAGTCATTATGTTATAGCGTTCAATATGAACTTAAGTTTCATATGAATTACGAAAAAAATTCAAAGGTTTTTACCATGAAAGTTCAACGTGTATTTTTTAAATTGAATAATTATTTTATTCTCGTTTACACATTATAGTTGTATAATAGTTTAATTCTGATTAACTCAAAATAGACGGGGTTGTGAGCCTAAGGGCCCGATTCTTGAAATATATTTTTTTTTCAATTTTTTTATCATTAATTGAAAGATTTTAAACACAAACAAGAGAAAACCGTAATTCTTATATCATAAAGACCAATGAAAATGAAATAGACAGATTCACATATGTTTTATATGTATGGAATATCGAAAAAAAATTAAATTTAGAGATTATGTTGTAATTTAAGTGTGATTGCAAATTTGTGGTGCAACTTGATCTTTCATTGTGGCTTGCATATTACACTACCATCATAAAATTACAACACATTTCATTACTAGTTTTAATGCGGTAGCGTACATGAATTGAATATTATCATCTGAACTATAATAAGTTTCGTATCCGCGCTATCATAACTTTTGGTCTCACAATCATACCCTCATAACTTTCGTTTTGTTCGGGCCACTGGAACTTCGTATCGCTGAAGTCACCCGAGGTCAATTGTAATGACATGAATCGGTATTTCGATGAAGAGACACTTCCTTGAGCTGGAAACGTTCTTGTAACATTTGTCTCTCGAAAGTGTTTCTGCATCGTTTCCATGGAAGATTCGAACAATTGGTCAAGTACCGTTGGCAACGTCATTTCAGTTGGGTCTAGTCTGGTATAGAATACACGTTCCTCTGCTCCATATGCTAAGCAGCTTTGCCAACGCTCCGGCTTAGGGTCATCTAGATACACAATAGTCTTGTCCTGTTGGCCAAAAGGTAAGGGTGTCATCATACCAAGTTATGTAAGGTCACTGATAGTAAGCCAGGGTCTATTTAAACTTCCCGGCCAGTGGGCGTTTGTATCAACCAATCAACATTTAAAACATGATCAATTGGTATCGGTCTTTGTAAAGCAATTGCACGACAGGTTGTGAGTTTGCCATAGAAATAATGTCGCGTCTTGCGCCTCCACCTAGGACATGGACACCACGCTGTTGTGCGAACAAACGTTTCATCTCGTGCTTCGCAAAATTTGACACCGTTGACATTACAAACCCGAGAACATGTCAACGCGAATCCGGCCAACGCCAAGTTATATAACTCAGCATTTTCTGTAAGTTGGGGGAAAATTTTTGATGATTTCAACTTAATTCCCTATATTAACAAACCATTCATTGTAATGAAAAAATTATTAAAAAATGTCTATTTCTCAAAAACACAACCCACTGTTGTAAAACACAGAATCCATGGAAGGGGGGCACTAAGATGAAACATTCACGGCCCCCCCCCCCCCATGGGGGGTGGTGGTTCTTGCATACAATGATGGATGTTCTCACTTCATCAATCTCTTCATGCTCATCTAAGTATGCCATTATCTCATCAGAATTGTTACAGTACGAAACCCAATGCGCTACCTACATGGCATTTTGGGAAAACGGACTGTCCTCGTACGGGATCTCCAAAGGGTCGTGCGCTTTGGCAAAAAACAAAAAGTTCTCATTTCTTGACCTCTTCATTATGCATGCAGACGATTGAAGCCGTGTCCACGTCTTTTACATACACATCCACAAAAACCGTGATGCTTGCACTCATATGCCCCCAGCTCTATGAATTGCTCCTTTGGGTTCGCCCTGTTGCGTTCCAATTTTTTTCAACTCTCGCGAAGCCTTGGCAAAATAAAAAGAAACGATACAAATTAGAGAGATAGGATAAGGATGCATATAACACAATGATGAGGAATTATTGACCTTTATAGTGGATCCCTTACAGCGATAGTGACAGGACCATGGGCAATGCCTCTTCTGGCAAGTGAACCTCACATGGATCAACTTGTGAAGAAAAGCTGGAGGGAAATCATCTCGAACTTGCATAGGACTGGACAATGTCATGGCGCAACTGATGAATGTTGGCTCTCGCATGTTTTTGCCGTCAGTTGGGAAAAAAATATTGGACAACAACATGATTGGTTTCACTACATTTCTAGCAAAAGGTGGTGAATCCTACAGGAAGTAGGCGTTGCATAAACACATGGCAGTCATGGGCTCTTTAGTCTAGTAAATTTACCCTCAATATTCACGCAACGCGCGATATTAGAAGCATACCCATCGGGAAACTTTACCGACGATACAAACTTTAGAAAATCTTTTTATCATTCGGTTTCATGGAAAAAAATGCCAGATCTCGCTAGCTTTATCACTGTCCCTGTTCATCCATAAACCTCTTTGTATGCCCATTCTTTCCAAATAAAGACGATCTTTGATCTTGTCCTTTGTCTACCCTAGATATCTAGATCGTGCCATCAAAGTGTCAAAAGCAATTTTTCTCAACATGCATAACGTCGAGATTGTGCCTCAATTTTAGTTTCGACCAATATGGGAGCTCACAAAACATAGACTTGTGCGTCAGTTCAAATGTGTAGAAGTCTAGTCCGAGTAACTGTTTTCCCGAACGGAGAAAATCCAAACGGTTAAGCTGCTCCAAGATCTCATCACCAGACCATTCTCTAGGTCTGAGGCGATGCTCTGTGTCCCCTCAAATTTTTATCATTTTCCCACCACTCATGGTCCATGGCAACCATCTCGATGACCAAGATAACTCCTTGCATACAGGGCATGCCATAACCCTTTGTGCTCCACCAGAAACCATTGCATATGCGGGAAACTCATTCACAGTCCACATCACGCTGCCGCCAAGTGAACATCTTCCCAGTGGCTTTATCGTACTTGTGCACACAGTTTGTCCATCAATCCTTGAGCTCATCACCACAACAGCCTTAAGTAAACATCGATTGGACCTGCCAGGTCCTTAGTTCTCAAAACAGTCATCATCATGTATTCTTTTTCATGCATTTCCAGGCGGCAAATATATGGAATACAAAATCGGCCAAGTGCTGTGGTGTTGGTTTAGAACCCGTAAGGATGATTCCGTACAGATGCCAAGTCCCAATCTACTTTCGGGGATCAAACAGCAAACTCGTGGGGAATGTTCGACGAATCTTTCATGCCTCCCCATATGCAGGGATGCTGCATCACTCGCGTTTCTTAACCCGTTTTTGTCCTTATGCTTCGCAGGTTTGTGGGCTATGAGCGACATATACAATCGCTATAGCCTAGGTTTCCGGGGCAGATTAAGCATGACTTTTTAGGGATCTTAGTCGTCCTGTGCGGAGATGTATCTTGACCGATATCTTGGCTATAAAGCATGTATCCAAAAGTTTAACTCTTTGTGAAGAACATGCAATTGTTTTTGCACGCATATTTTTCCATAAACCCAATCCAAGGACCATTTCACACCTTTGCGCTTGTCTATGGTCTTTGGGCCAACAATTGTCCGCAAGCATTCTCTTGAAAACCCCCAAGAAAAGTAATCAGAACCACAGGTTCGCTGCGATAATTTATTCCGCTGCATTGCGACAATGGCGTGAGAAACGGAAAAAATTCTCGCACCCTGGGCATAACTTTGGTTGGCCACGTTTAACAGTTGTTATAATTGTTCGAACTCTGGCACTGTCCATTGGGGTAGGCCACGTCATCTTCCCCTCCTGATTGTGTTGGTCGCGGCAAATGTTATAATCTCCATAATTTTTTATTAGGATCCCACAATGGTTAAATAGTGTTTACCCCGTTGATTTGGAAGACGACGCATTTCGAATGTTCCCTGTGAAGGTTCCAAATCTATATGTCTCAATCATTCCATTCACTACTAAATGAAAAGCCAACATTTTCAATTGTCTCCCACACGTGTTGATTTCACCTCCTACAAGGACAACGGATTCTAGAGTTGCACTCGGATTGTGTCTCATGCAACTCAATAAATCCTCGATTCCACTCCAAGGATGCTGTGCTGCGCATCTATTCGGTATCCACCTTCTGATCAAATTCCTGAAAACCCAATCACAACACACAACAATCACAAACAACTTCATACGAAGTTATAATGCACTTAGGCCTCGGTAAGGGCCTATCCCCTTCGGAAATGCATAGTCCTGTCAGTGTAACTACGGCTACATGAGATAGATTTCGACTGGATAAATTGGCAGCATCTTAATACAGTTCTTGAGGTGGGCATAGGTATAAATACCTACGTACACTCGAAGAACGTACCGAGATGACACGAAATCTCCACAATCAAAATCTAATCCTGTAGCCGTAGATTACGTGAGAAACACTATGCATTACCAAACTATCCAAATAATAGGACAATTCAAGAATTAAGTAACCAATCTTTATTCTACAACAAACATAATTCCTAACAAGACCTACGTACTCCTAATCCAAGCATTCCTCATCCAAACATACAAATGATGCACAACTGAAGTCTCCTCCATCATCCCTGTAAATAAATCAAAATGACAAGAGAAAAAAAAAAAAAAGCTAAGATTATAAACATAAAAAATTAGGTGGAAGAGAAATTTTACCATTGGTCCCTATTTCCATAGAAAACTTGTAAAATGAGCATAAAAAAGACCATCGAGAACCTGCAAATTTTCAACAACAAAAAAACATACGTCTCACATAGAAAACCTGCAAAAGAAAAGGTTATAAATCTGCAAGCTTCCTCCTCATCTCCTGATAACCAAATCAGAAAATCTAAAAAGAAACCAGAAATAAATAAAAAAAAATATGTAAACAAATCAGACAAAATCAAGAAAAGACAAAATCTGAAATTAGGGATACAAAGAAACATACCAAAAAACGCAAAGAAACTAATCCAGAATTCACTAGCAAGATATAGAAGGGTATTAAGAGATTAGGTGACTTTCAAATCAACCTTTCAAACCAGCTTTGATTCTCAAATACAGAACATCCCTCTACATCTTATGGATTTGCTAAGACCTCAATCTCTCAACTCCTTCATTGATATCGATCTTTTGATGATTTTGTAGAGAGTTTTATGAGGGTGTTTTAGAGAGTGCAGGAGGGTTTCAAGGAGGGGAGAGATAAGGTTTTCAGAGACGGGGGGAAAATCTGAAAATTTGACAAGCGCGAATTCACTTAAGTAGACTTTTTTTTAGCGTGTTTTAAAAGACGACGCTTGTTAATGAGAGATAAGATTTTCAAAGACGGGTGAAAATTTGAAAATTTATCGAGCGCGAATTCACTTAAGCGGCCATTTTTTAGCGCGTGTTTAAAAGACGACGCTTTTTTTAAAAAAAATTTGTCATCTTTTACATATAATATACGACGGTTTTTTTTATAAAAAGCGTCATCTTTACATATAATAGACGACGGTTTTTATAAAAAACGTCATCTTTACATACAATAGACGACGGTTTTTTTATAAAAAGCGTCATCTTTACGTACAATAGACGACGGTTTTTTTATAAAAAGCGTCATCTTTACGTACAATAGACGACGGTTTTTATAAAAAACGTCATCTTTACATACAATAGACGTTTTTTTCCACTACACTTCTTGACCCTATATGAATACAATGACTGAATTTGATCTTCAATTTAAAATATTTACACTAGTGGATACCACAAAATCTTATGTTATATTTAACGAAAGTATAAATAAACTCTTAATTGTTAGTGAATATTTTTTTTTATGGCATACGCATTTTAAGAAACTAGTTTCAACGATCCAACCGTCAAACTTGTTTGTTTATACTTCGAGATCATCTACACCAAAAATCGAAAAAAAATAAACATTCAGAGATAAAGTAACGGGACAAAAATTTCGACGGTTATAAATGAAAAATCATGATTTAACGGTTATTTTAACTCCGATTTTGATGATTTTTTACCGCTACACTCCTTGACCCCAATATGAATACAATGATTGAATTTGATCTTCAATTTAAAATATTTACACTAGTGGATACCACAAAATCTTATGTCATATTTAACGAAAGTATAAATAAACTCTTAATTGTTAGTGAATATATTGTTTTGATGGCATACGCATTCTAAGAAACTAGTTTCAATGATCCAACCGTCAAACATGTTTGTTTATGCTTCGAGATCATATACGCCAAAAATCGGAAAAAATAAACATTCAGAGATCAAGTAACGAGACAAAAAATTTCAACGGTTATAAATGAAAAATCATGATTTAACGGTTATTTTAACTCCGATTTTGATGATTTTTTACCGCTACACTCCTTGACCCAATATGAATACAATGATTGAATTTGATCTTCAATTTAAAATATTTACACTAGTGGATACCACAAAATCTTATGTCATATTTAATGAAAGTATAAATAAACTCTTCATTGTTAGTGAATATATTGTTTTGATGGCATACGCATTCTAAGAAACTAGTTTCAATGATCCAACCGTCAAACGTGTTTGTTTTATACTTCGAGATCATATACGCCAAAAATCGGAAAAAATAAACATTCAGAGATAAAGTAACGGGACAAAAAATTTCGACGGTTTATAAATGAAAAATCATGATTTAACGGTTATTTTAACTCCGATTTTGATGATTTTTTACCGCTACACTCCTTGACCCTATATGAATACAATGACTGAATTTGATCTTCAATTTAAAATATTTACACTAGTGGATACCACAAAATCTTATGTTATATTTAACGAAAGTATAAATAAACTCTTAATTGTTAGTGAATATATTGTTTTGATGGCATACGCATTCTAAGAAACTAGTTTCAACGATCCAACCGTCAAACTTGTTTGTTTATACTTCGAGATCATCTACACCAAAAATCGAAAAAAATAAACATTCAAAGATAAAGTAACGGGACAAAAAATTTCGACGGTTATAAATGAAAAATCATGATTTAACGGTTATTATAACAAACCATCATCTTTACATATAATAGACGACCATTTTTTTATAAAAAAGCGTCATCTTTATATAATAGACGACCCTTTTTTTAAAAAAAAATTGTCATCTTTATATATAATAGACGACGGTTTTTATAAAAAGCGTCATCTTTACATATAATAGACGACGGTTTTTTTATAAAAAGCGTCATCTTTACATATAATAGACGACGGTTTTTTCGGGTTTTTATAAAAAGCGTCATCTTTACATACAATAGACGACGGTTTTTCGGTTTTTTATAAAAAGCGTCATCTTTACATATAATAGACGACGGTTTTTATAAAAAGCTTCATCTTTACATATAATAGACGACGGTTTTATAAAATCGTCATCTTTACATATAATAGACGACGGTTTTAAAAATCGTCATCTTTACATATAATAGACGACGGTTTTTAAAAAAATCGTCATCTTTACATATAATAGACGACGGTTTGTAATAAAAATCGTCGTCTTTACATATAATAGACGACGTTTTATAAAATCGTCTTTACATATAATAGACGACGGTTTTTAAAATCGTCGTCTTTACATATAATAGACGACGGTTTTATAAAATCGTCATCTTTACATATAATAGACGACGGTTTTTATAAAAATATCATCTTTACACATAATAGACGACGGTTTTTATAAAATTGTCATCTTTACATATAATAGACGACGTTTTTTTTTATTTTTATAAAAAGCGTCATCTTTACATATAGTATGACGTATGATAACAAAATCAAAGAAATAAATTGATAAAAAAATTGTATTAAGACGACGGTTTAAATATAAGGTATGACGTATAAAGGGAATAAATACGACGTTAAATTTTATAATACGTCGTTAAATGAAAAACAAACGTGGTGAGATTTAAAGATACCGTCGTAGAACTATACAAGAAAGACGTCGATATATTTTTATTTTCCGTCGTTGTACATTAATTTAATACGGCGATATTTTGTATTTTACCGCCGTGGATTTATTTGTAATTATATGGCGCCTTATACGAAAACTTGGTCGTGTTATTTTCTGCGTAAAAACGGCGGCTTTTTTTGAAATCGTCGTCTTTACTTTCTACGTCGGTCGATTCATAACTTCTGCCGTTCTTTATTTGCTTTGATTTTACACTGCGGAAATCCTGTTTCAAATAGACGTCGGTTTTTTAATTAGGTACGTCGTTGTTTATGAACAACCATTTGAATCTCCATTTTTTAGGTGTCTAAGGTGTTATTACACGACGGTTTTATAGAACCGTCGTCTTTTAAAAACAACGACGGTTTTCACTTAGACCGTCGTTTTTTTCTGGTCGTCTTTGTCACTTTTTGTAGTAGTGATATGATGAGAAGACCACAATTTAGACTAAGACACAGATTTGTCTTACAGTCTCCCACTTAGTCAAATAATCACTAAGGAAAACTCGTATTGATCACTTAAGGCCTTGTGAAAGTATAAGAGACTATCGAGATTTATTGATCATACAGTTATCAAAGTCTTTATAATCACACTTAAAACTCTTCAACACCACATAGTCTTCGATCAAGATTAAAACTGTCGAATGTGTAAATGACCTTACTGAAAGTGCTTTAAACAAAGGTCATCTAATTCCTATGTCCCTATAAAGACTACCAAGGTCTCAATTTGCAAAACCAAAAAGCAAACTGTCATGAATACAATCCTCTCATGGCTACCTTAAATGCATGCTATGCCACCCACATATATTCAAGTAATCACATGTGCATATAAACTAGATTGCACAAATATACTATATTTGAATCCTTAAACTGAAAATCGTGCAAATTAAAACACCACTGTATGAATTAAATAGAAAATAGCAAAATTAGTTAAACTACCAAAACTTGAAAAAACTCCCGCTGTTTTAGTCATCCAAATGAACTGTCAATCCCATGCTAATCACATGTATGTGAAAACCAGCATTTGGTAACCCCTTAGTAAGTGGATCTACAACCATTATATTTCATTTGTGCCAATGTGCTCCAACGCAGTATATGCCCATCTCTATTCTTTTCTTTGACATCAAAGAATTTAACTTCCAAAATTCTTGATGCCTTTGTTCTTTATTCCCTTTTGCAAAAAGTACTGTTGTACTGTTATCATTCCAAAGCTGTATAGGTAGTTGAATTGATTCAACTACACCCAAACTAGTGATAAAGTCTTTAACCACATAGCTTGAGTGGTTGCTTCATAACAAGCCAGAAATTCTGCCAACATAGTCGATGCAACTGTGAGTGGCTGCTTGTTACTTCTCCATGATGTCGCTGCTCCAGCAAACAGAAAAACATATCCTGATGTAGATTTCAAGTCATCTTTGCAACCTGCAAAATCCGCATCAGCATAACCTTCTACTTCCAGTTTGTCACTCCTTTTGTAAACCAACTTATAGTCCTTTGTTCTTTGCAAATATCTCATGACCGTTTTACCAGCAATCCAATGTGCTTGTCCAGGATTTGACTGAAATCTTCTCAATATACTTACTGAAAAAGAAATATCAGGTCTGGTGCATACTTTTGCATACATGAGACTCCCAACTAATGATGCATAAGGTTTATCTGCCATTTCACGCTTTCCTTGATCAATACTAAATTATCTCCCTTCGAAATCGGCACATCTGACCCTGCACAGCCTTTTGAGTATCTTTTCTATATAAGTCTTCTGTGATAGTCCCAACAAACCTCTCTTCCTATTTCTGCTAATTTCGATTCCCAAAACATATGAGGCTTCTCCCAAATTTGTCATGTTGAAATGTTTAGCCAGGAATGCCTTGCAATCATGTAACATGGACATGTTGGTGCAAGCTAGCAGAATGTCATCTACATAAAGAATCAGAATTATGAAGTGACTCCCACTCATCTAAAACATTCCCTGTAAAACCATATAGTTTAACAACCTCATTGAAGTTCATAGGATCCTCAATGTCATTCACATCATGCTATGAGTCTTGAAGGTAAACATAATAATCATCATGTAAAGCACGTTTCTTTGGTCTTTCTGACCTTCTTAGTCCTGCATTTGTCTGATTATTAGTGTGTTCTTGTGTTTGAACTACATCTTGATTTTCAGGTAGTAAAACTTGATTTTCGTGAGTTTCTTCTTCAGTTACCACAGGGCCTGTCCCAGTTTGCCCTTCTGGTTGTTTTGATTGTCATTCAAGTCAAACCTTGGTAAAACCAAAATGTCAGTTTGCATTGTTTCCCTAGTTTCTGCAATTCCTTCATCAAAATCAAAATTTTCATCTTCGATTGTCTCACTTTCAGATTCTATAAACACTGCCCTATGAGTTTATACAAATCTGGTAGTGTTTTTAGGACAATAAAATCTGTATCCTTTAGTTCTATTTGGATATCCTACGAAATAACCACTTACAGTTCCCGAATCAAGCTTCTTTTCCATAGGGTTATACAGCTTTGCCTAGAACGATGATTACTAGTACTCACACACTTATCCTAGACACATTCTAGATAATGTTGAACGCAATACTGGTCACGATTGCTTCAAGCTCGCCAGTGGAAAACCGCCACCACGGTCATGGTGCCCTCAACCATATAAGTCACCGATATGCATATGAATGCAATATGAATGATGAAAGGATTTGATAAATGACTAAGTAAACATGGAATACTTGATGACTTATCTTTAAAATATGCACATCAGCTTTCTTAAGAAATTTAGATGCTCAAACAAAATATGAAAGCTTTATCAAAACCAAGGAGAGGCATGCCCTCTTTATATAGATCTTCTCCTTATGTTAAGGGCATTGCTTTTCTTTTTATCATAACATTTCATTAAGGAATAAGCATAACATCATTTGTGAGAATGGGAGACAACGATTCAGGTCCATCTTCATCCAAACTATAAGGTCCGAAATAGAAACTTACTGCAAGGCTATGAGCCACACGATTACAAGTACGAGGTCGAAAACTGACCAAAACAACTATGAAAAGAATTAGCCAAAACCTGAATTTCATTTACAAAGACTCCTTCGTAGCCCAAATCTGCATCACATTGCAAAGCCATCCGTATTGCTGCTTGTGCATCTGACTCGAGGTATATATGTTTCAATCCCAAGTCCATAGCAAGTTGTAGGCCAAATCTGATTGTGAATAATTCAGTAACATTGGGGGTAAACATGCCACACACTAGTTTGGCTGCTGCTGCAATCAACTCTCCACGGTCATCTCTAATAGCAACTCCCAGCCCTCTAACACTATTGTCTGTCTTTAGAGCCCTGTCCACATTAATTTTAAAAAAACTGACTAGGAGGCCTCTCCCAATTCACCACTAGGTTGCTTCCTTCATGATTCGAGCGTAAGGACGTGCAATTCGCTTGATAGAATTCTTCTGCCATCTCCTGCATGTGTTGGTAACTTTGGAAAGCATTGGGCTTACAGCCTCGAAACAATTGAGTATTTCTTCCATTCCACACATTCCAACAAATATACCCAAAGTGTCTAAGTTCCTTATCAGTCAGACAGTCAAGATATAGCGAAATAAATTGAGAAAGCATCCATGAGAAGTTGAGGTACATGAATCTTGAAGAGCTGAAAAGTGCCATACCTCACGAGCTGCAGGACAGTCCCATAAAGCATGTAGTACCGTCTCCGGTGCTTGGTGACACCGAAAGCAAATAGGATTAGATACTACTCGCTTCAAAAAAATATTTTCTCGACATGGTAGAATCTCATGCATACATCTCCATAGAAATACTTTGACTTTATTAGTGGAGGGAATGATTTTCCCCACGAGAATATTCGTCAAAGATTCCTTCGTCTTCTCCGCTTCTCTTTCTCTTTGCAAAACAGATCGGAGTAAAAGGACCACACCCGGGGGGTGTTGGCCCAAGGCCCTCCGATGCCTAAGTTAGGTAAGGTATTTCAAGGAAAACCGGGTGGCCGGAGCCGTGTGTGGTGGCCGGAGCCTTGTGTAAGGGAGAGAAAGAAAGTGGTGTCTAAGGTTTGTGAGAAATGATTTCTGCAGAGTTTCAGTAGGAATTTAGACGTACCTCCACCATTGTGTGTGGCTATGCTTTTATAATGGTCTTGGAGGCTAGGGTTTCAGAGGAATAATTCCGTAGATGGAAGGGAATTATTCCTCCCCTTTATGGAATTGATTTGATTAATTAGGGATTTGATTTATTAGGGTAAATCAAATCCCTAATTGTGGTAGGTATCAAATCAAATCCTATTTCAATTAGGTAACTCCTCATTTAATTGAGAATCGGGGTAGGAATTAGGAATCAATTCTCAACCCAATTAGGTAGTCTTCAATTAATTGGGTAACCCCCAATTAAATTGAGTAACTCCCAATTAGGTTGATTAATTCCCAATTAGGTCAAATAATCCCCAAATGGAATGAATTATTTGACCTAGGGTTTTGACTTAATTTGGTTACCACAAATGCCCCCCAGCTTCTGCATGGCGCGTGGTGGCATGTAGGAGATGTAAATGCTCCGTTGGGTTGTCCAGCTGTAACTGGGCTTCCTTCGTGGACCTGGGCTCCTGAGTAGAGGAGGTATTTGACTTGCCAATTTTATGAACTCCTAAGTTGGAAAGAGTTTGCGATTCCTTGTAGGTCAAGGAATTTTGATCCTTATAAATGTGGGGCTCCTCCAATTTATTCTTCACATCAAAAAGTCTATTCCACCGATTTTGTAAGTGAGAGAGAGAGAAACTTTGGAGAGCTTTCCCAGCGTGCTTGAAACTTCATCTTTGCTGTCCATCCAAGGTAATTAGCCTAGAAGAATTTTTGTGTCTTTGACTTTTAGCACCTTGGTCCGTATATTCTAGCTGGTCATTGGGGCTGTGAGACATGGGGCGTGGTTGGTGAGATGTGCCCATGGCTGGAGCATGGAGGTCTGAAGTTGCATGCTTTGGGGCTGGAGCATGGAGGTCTGGAGGTGCCTAAGCTTGGCATGCGAGGTGGGCTCGAGTTGGCGTGCGCTGGGCTTCGAATTGGAGGTCTGGAGGCTCCAGGCCCTGCCTGCATTGGAGCTGAGCGGAATTGGGCCAGCGTGAGACGTGGGCTTGCGCTAGGCAAGCTGGCCACGTGCGCTGGTGCTGGAGCGGGCGGGCCAGGCGGAAGGATGTGCGATGGGCCTTGCGCGAGACGTGGGCTGCGCAGGCTGGAAGTGGGCCTCCGTGCTGGTGTTGAAGCTGGGCTGCGCGCTGGCTGGTGTTGGTGCGACTTGGGCCCTGCGCTGGAGCACCTGCTGGGCTATCCTTCTCTCAGCTTGGGCTGATCCAAGCAGCCCGAATTTATTTCATTTTCTGTTGTTGTTTTTTTTTTTTTTCGACTTGCGAATTTTTCTGGTATTCTAACTTGTAGAATTCTTTCTTTTTGGCAGCCACTCGTTGACCAACTATGTCTTTCGGGGACGGTAGCAAGGCTCCAAGCTCTCAAGCACCTTTATACTTGTGGGGAGGCTCCTTAGTGCCTAGCAAGAAATTCGTGGCCAACTTGCACCGCGTGACGACCGATGCTCAGTTCCAGAAGTGGCGGGTTGCCTTCACATCTGCCATTCCAGATGACGTGCAGGTCAAGCTACTGAAGTCTTGGGCTGATAGCAAGCCTTTGGTAGATGCGAATGATCCCGGCTCTAGGGTCATTACCTTCCGTCCTTTTTACTTTTCCTTGGGCTTCAAGGAGGTGTTCTGCGCCATGGAGTGTGCTCCGAGCCAGTGTACTCCCAATGTTTACCGGGCAATCATGTGCTTCGAGAATCTGAGCCGTTTCTTCACTTTGGAGCTGACAGTGCGTGAGTTCTTTTATTTTTTCGAGGTGAGGCACTTTGAGCAGTATGCCCAAGTTCGCACCTACAAGACCAAGCTGTTCGACGGTCTCAGTCAGGGAGATCACGCTTGGCATGACGACGTGTTGGAAGTTAGCGGACGGTGGGAAGGCGACGTTCGTGACGGCCCACTTGTTCCCGTCACCTATTGCCCTGGTATGTCTTTTGCGACTTTTGATATGTTCCTTTTTATTTGAATTTCTTAAAGTGTGGTTGACTAACTTCTGTCTTTTGCTTATAGTGAATGACATCAGCAAGCAATTGGAGCTTGGACCAGACATGGCTAAGGTCCGTCGTGCTTTGAACATCCCCCAAAAGTTTCGCGAGTGGCGTTGGCTGTTGAGCGAGTATCGAGAGGTAGATGGTGGTCTGCCCCCTGCCGAGGATGTCGAAAGGTGGAAGCAGAATGGCCCTGACCCTGACGATCTGCCTACAGTACAGGAAGAGTGTTCTGCTGAATCTCCACCAAAGAGAAAGGCTGCTAGCAAATCTTCCAGAGGTGAAGCCACTTCTTCGCATGCCAAGAATGGGTCTCCATCGAGGAAGAAGCCAAGGCTCCCTTCTGCTGAGAAGACTCAAGTGGGGTCTGCTCCGTCATCATCTGCCAGGGTCAAGCATCTCGGGTGCAGATAGCACGAAGGTTGGTGGTATGCGCGGTGCTCGGGGTGTTCTGCCCGAGCCTCCTGCCCACACGCTCGAAAACCATGACATGCTTCGTGAGACAGCTCGTGTCCGGCCTAGTTCTGCTGAGCGTCAAAGAGATGTAGACATTCCTCCTCGAAGTTCGAGTCGTCTGCATCGGTCGAAAGATGGAGATCGAAGTGGGAGGTCTGCTTATGATCCAGCTGTTGAACCGTGGGCAGTCAAGCGTGGAGTTGATTCAGTATCATTGACTCCTTTGGAGATGAAGTTGGCGGAGGCTAAGAAGATGAGAGAGTCATCTGCTCGGGCTAAGGGTTCTTCTTCAGCGACGGCGGTTGGTCCCAAGGTGGATAAGTCTAACCCTGCGGGGGATGCATGCGTGTCTGATCTGCTCAAGACGAACTTCCTATCGAACCCGTCCTCATGTGCTGAGCTGGTTGATCACATTCGTCAGGCAGGCGATCTTGGCACTTTCTCGAGCCTTTCCTTGGAAAAACAAAGGGAAGCGTCATTCCATCTGATTCAAAAAGGATTGGTTTTTGCTGCAGAGACCATTTGGAACTCATCTGCTGTTGCCCCCTCTTCTGCTCAGCTTAGCGAGCTGGAGAAGAAGAATGCTGAATTGGCCAGCCATCTTGCTGCCGAGCAGGCCCGTTATGAGAAGAAGACGCATGATTTGAGGGCAATGATTTCTGAGCTGAAAAGCTCCCTTACCGAGAAGGATTCTGAGCTCAACTCTCTTGCCACTGATTTGGTTAGTCGCAAAGATGCCTTCTTTAGTCTTGAGCGTAAGAATGCTAACATCTCCCTTAGCTATGACAAGCTCCTGGCTAGATTTCACGCATACCACAAGTCCGCAGAAAAATCCAAGTCTGAAGCCATCATAGACGCGTACAAGTTGGGCTACCTGCACTGTGCGGATGAGGTTACTCCCTTGTATGCGATTGACGATGTAGACATCGAGACACTCTGCCCTGATTCACCCCGTGCAGAAGGAGGAACCGAAGAGCAAGAAGTTGGAGAGGATGGAGGGGAGGTGGACACAGTAGATGAGATGATGGCAGATGAGGCTGCTGAAGGCATAGCTGATCAGGTGGATGCCGAAGAGGCTGCGACTCAGAGGTCTCCTGCCGGCGCCTCAGAGTAGATGAAGACTTCTTTATTTCTTTTCAGCTTTTGTAGTTTGCTTTCTTGTTTTGAATAATTGGTCTTTTTTGACCATATTCTTGTTGTTGAACTTGGCCGGTTGGTCATCTTTGTTATGGAAATTTCAGTTGTTACTCTCAACTTTCAATTTGCATATCGACCTGTGAACTGTTAAGTAATCAGCTTCTTTCTTAATTGCACTTCTTCTTTGGAGATTTATGAGTGACAGGGTTCCCCTTGGGGGGTTCCGAGCGTATTCTGCACATCCCGTATGATGTTTTTCCCTTAGGAAGTTGGCGAGTGCCAGGGTCCCCCTTGAGGGACTCCGGGCGTGTCCTGCACATCCCTTAGGATGGTTTCCCTTAGGAAGTGGCGAGTGCCAGGGCCTCCCTTAAGAGGCTCCGGGCGTGTCCTGCACATCCCTTAGGATGGTTTCCCTTAGGAAGTTGGCGAGTGCCAGGGTCCCCCTTGAGGGACTCCGGGCGTGTCCTGCACATCCCTTAGGATGGTTTCCCTTAGGAAGTTGGCAAGTGCCTGGGCCCCCCTTAAGAGGCTCCGGGCGTGTCCTGCACATCCCTTAGGATGGTTTCCCTTAGGAAGTTGGCAAGTGCCTGGGCCCCCCTTAAGAGGCTCCGGGCGTGTCCTGCACATCCCTTAGGATGGTTTCCCTTAGGAAGTTGGCGAGTGCCAGGGCCCCCCTTAAGAGGCTCCGGGCGTATTCTGCACATCCCTTAGGATGCCTTGGTCGTCGCCCTGCGTCTCCCGAAGGACGCTGCTTATGGGCAACTGTGTGTCTATCCTGCCTCCCTTAGGAAACGGATAGGAACCTGGATACTTCCCGCAGAAGGCATGGAGACCTCCTTTAAGAAATTCCTGGCGCAACCTGCGTCTCCCTTAGGACGCTTTTTACGGGCTGCGTCTCCCGAAGGACGCTTTGGTCGTCGCCCTGCGTCTCCCTTAGGACGCTGCTTATGGGCAACTGCGTGTCTATCCTGCCTCCCTTAGGAAACGGATAGGAACCTGGATACTTCCCGCAGAAGGCATGGAGACCTCCTTTTAAGAAATTCCTGGCGCACCCTGCGTCTCCCTTAGGACGCTTTTTACGGGCTGCGTCTCCCGAAGGACGCTTTGGTCGTCGCCCTGCGTCTCCCTTAGGACGCTGCTTATGGGCAACTGTTGTGTTTTGTAGGCAGATAAGACATTTTGGAATGAGAAACTGAACTTATATTGATATTCATAAGATTACAGTCCTTTATTCGAAAATGAAAATAACTGAGTACAAAACTTGAAACTTCTAGTAGTCATGAGGAAGCATTATGGATAATACTTTCGGAGATGGTGAACATTCCATTGTCGTGGTATTTGCTTCCCATCCATGGTGTCCAATGTGTAGCTTCCTCTGCCCCCGGACCGGCTGATCACATAAGGGCCTTCCCAGTTGGGATTCATCTTTTTCGACCCTTGTCTTGGTGCGGTGATGAAAGCCTTTCTTAGCACGAGGTCGCCTGGTTGAAACTGTCTGACCTTAGCTCTTTTGTCGTAGTAAGACTTCAACTGCTGCTGGTAGGAGGCGACTCGAATAATGGTCTTCTCACGTTCGCCCTCAAGTAGGTCAAGGTTGAGCCTCATTTGCTTGGAGTTCTGGTCAACACTGCCCACCTCGAGGTTTATAGAGGGGACTGTGATGTGAGGAGGGATGATTGCTTCCGTCCCATAGGCAAGGGAGAATGGGGTTTCACCAGTTGACCTTCGCTTGGTGGTGCGATAAGCCCATAGTACTTCGGGGAGTTCATCCACCCATTTTCCTTCGGCGCCTTCCAGCCTCTTCTTCAAGCAGTCCAATATGACTTTGTTGGATGCCTCGGCCTGCCCATTTCCTTGTGGATACCTCGGAGTTGACAGGTGTTGTTTGATCTTGTATTTCGCAAAGAAGGCGGTGATATGCTTGCCAATGAACTGTGAGCCATTATCAGTGACCAGCGATTGTGGGCAGGCAAATCGGCATATGATGTTTCTCCAGATGAATCGCTCCACATCGGCTTCTTTAGTAGAGGATAGAGCTTCGGCCTCAATCCATTTAGTGAAGTAGTCGGTGGCGACGATCATCATTTCTTTCTTGGCGGGCGCCGGTGGCAAGGGACCCACTAAGTCGATGGCCCATTGCATGAATGGCCATGGACTGTTTTGCGGATGATAAACTTCGGCAGGCAAATTAGGGATCGGCTTGTATCGCTGGCAACGATCACACTTTTTGACATATTCAGCGGAGTCGTGGCGCATGGTAGGCCAGAAGTAGCCTATGTTTAGGGCCTTCTGGGCGAGTGACCTGCCCCCAGAGTGGTTGCCACACTCGCCGTCGTGAATTTTGCAGAGGACCTCAAGTGTTTGAGGGTATTTTATGCAGGTAAGGTGAGGGCCGGAGTATGATATGCGGATGAGCTTGTTGTCGTGCATGTAGTATCTCGCGGCCTTCTGCTGGACCTTCCTAGCCTCGGACTTGTCCGCGGGTAGGTTTCCATTCACTAAGTAGTCAATGATGGGGTCTTGCCAGCTGGGGTCCTCGTCAATTCGCATGGTGTCGATTGGTTCTACCTCTTCAATGCTTGGCCAGTCAAGGTGTTCGACTGGGATGGAGCATCTGAACTGGGTATCCAACGCTGACCCTAGACTGGCTAGTGCATCTGCACGTGCGTTCTCTGCCCGGGGTACTTGTTGGATGGTGAAGGTAGGAAACGCCTTCAACAACTCCTAGACTTTGTCAAGGTACAAGATCATCCTTGGGTGCTTCGCCATATATTCACCTGACGCTTGATTCGTGATCAGCTGGGAATCTGAGTAGATGGCTAGCTTCTTGATTGCGAGTTCCTTTGCCAAGCGCAGGCCGGCGAGCAATGCCTCGTTGTTCGAGGCCGGGAAGCCAAGCGTGATAGCTTGCTCCAACAAGGTTCCATCCGGGGTGATGATGATGACACCCGCTCCAGCTCCTTTTTGGTTTGACGCTCCGTCTACCCGCAACTGCCACGTGTCTCTAGGTTGGCTAGGTTTAGCGGGGGGTCCCGTCTGCTTTTGAACTTTCCTTCTTTTCGTTGACCCTTTTCTCTTCTTCGGCCGATGGGGTGAACTCCGCTACAAAGTCAGCTAAAGCTGGGCTTTTATTGCAGCTTTTGGCCGGTAGATAAGGTCATATTGGCTTAGCTCTATAGCCCACTTCATGAGTCGTTGAGAAGCATCAGGGCTATGAAGGATTGATCTCAAAGGAAAGTCGGTCATGACGATGACTCGATGAGCTTGGTAGTAGGGTCGTAGCTTTCTCGCGGAAACTACAAGAGCCAAAATGAGTTTCTCCAATTTTGGGTAACGAGTCTCTGCATCGAGGAGAGCTTTTGAAGTGTAGAATACCGGATGTTGGGCCCCCAGCTCTTCTCTGATGAGAGCTGAGCTGACAGCTGAGTTGGACACTACCAGGTACACGAACAAGTCCTCACCAGGGACTGGCTTTGAAAGCAGGGGAGGTGAAGTGAGATAAGCCTTGAGACTCTGGAAAGCTACTTCGCACTCCTCATCCCATTTGTCTCTTTGTCCTTTCTTCAAAGCTTTGAAGAATGGTTTGCACTTGTCGGTTGATCTTGAGAGGAACCGATTGAGGGCCGCTGCTCTGTCCGTCAGACTTTGTATTTCCTTCACTGTGGAAGGCGACTTCATCTCTAGAATAGCTTTGATCTGACGTGGGTGTGCCTCGATACCTCGTTGTGTGACTAAGTATCCCAAGAATCGGCCGGAGGATACACCAAATGTGCATTTACTTGGGTTCAACTTCATGCGATACTGGCGGAGCAGGCTGAATGCCTCAGCGAGGTTTTTGAGGTGATCTGCACGTTTTGGGGCCTTGACCAGCATGTCGTCCACGTACACCTCCATAGTTTTGCCGATCTGCTCCTTGAAGATTTTGTTCACCAGTCTTTGGTAGGTTGCTCCGGCGTTTTTCAGCCCAAAAGGCATGACCTTGTAGCAGTAGGTCCCTCTCTCGATGATGAAAGAAGTTTTCGCCTTGTCATCCTCGTGCATCAAGATTTGGTTGTAGCCGGAGTAGGCGTCCATGAAGCTGAGTAGCTGATTGCCAGAAGTGGAATCCACTAGTTGGTCGATTCTTGGCAATGGAAAGTTGTCTTTTGGGCACGCTTTGTTGAGGTCGGTGTAATCGACGCAGACTCTCCACTTTCCCTTCTCTTGTTTTGCCACTAGAACAACATTAGCGAGCCACTCCGAGTAGGAGACCTCTTCAATGAAGCCGGCGGCTAGGAGTTTATCAATCTCGGCTTCGATGATGGCGACCCGCTCGGGTGCGAAGTTGCGCCTCTTCTGCGCCACTGGTTTGCAGGCAGGGTTGACGTGGAGTCGGTGACATATGATGTTCGGGTCGATACCAGGCATGTCTGACGGCGACCATGCGAACATATCTTTGTTGTTCTGGAGGAAAGTGGTAAGTTCCACCTTCTCGTCTGGGCTTAGGCGCGAGCCGATCCGCGCTTTTTTGTCTGGCTGGTCAGGATCCAAGGGTATTAACTCGATGTCCTCCTCGGGCTTCCATCCTTCTTCAGGAAAGACCTCTGAACGGATTTCCTCGGCTTGGTCCTGACGCTTTGATTGCTATAAGATAGCAAGGTTTGATTGTTCCACCTCCTTCAGATCTGCCTGGCTTACTGGGAGGAACTGCGCTTGCTTGCTTTTCTTCAGCCCTTGGGCGGAGCATTTCCTCGCCATTGCCTGATCGCTGTTGATTTGTCCAACACCGCCCCCAGGGATTGGGTACCGAATTTTCTGATGTGTGGCAGAGGTGATGGCGTTGATCATGCCGATCCATGGCCTGCCCAGAATGCCGTTGTAGGGTGAGACCTCATTAATGACCATGAACGTTTGCAAGCAGACTACAGGTGGGGAGTAGACGTCAAGGTCTATTGTGCCCACGGTAACCGTTGTTGCGCCATTGAAGCCGGTCAGCGATCTGGCTGATTTGTTGATCTTTGCCTCCAAGCCCATCTTCTGGATGACAGCCAGTTGCAGGATATTGGCTGCGCTGCCCTCGTCTGCATGGATTCGGTCGACCATGGCCTGAGCGATTTGTATGCTGATGACAAGGGCATCGTTATGTGGCATGTCGAGGCCAATCAGATCTTTCTTTTGGAAGCCGATTATAGGATCGTCTTCTGTTGGTGGAAGGTCAGTCGAGACTTGGGAGATCATAGTGGCCTGTTTGATCTTCCTCTTCTTTTCCTTGCTGGTCAGTCCTGACTCCTTGGCGTCGGCTAGGATTGTGTTAATCCTTATGACCTTCTGGGGTGGTTCCTTGGCGGTGTCTCGATCTTCAATCCGCTGGATGGCCTGCTTCGCGATGAACTCCGTGCAGTGACCCTCTTTCACGAGTTCTTCAAGGTGTGCTTTCCAAGCGAGGCAGTTATTGGTAGTGTGCCCGTGTGTCCCATGGAAGGCACAGTATTTGCTTGTATCCCTCTTGTCTGGATCTCCTTTCAAGGGTGGCGGTCTTCTTACCCAAGGTTTGTTTTTCACTTGGGCTAAGATTTGATGTATGGGGATGGTGAACTTGGTGTAGTTCTCTCCTGCTGTAGCGTCTCCTTGTGGGTGTGACCTGCGCCTATCCTTGTTCTTGTTGCTAAATCCATCGCTTCTTTGACCTGCCCGCTTAGTCGGTTGATCTTCCTGCTTAGTAGACTTTTTTGCGGCGATTCGATCGTCATCCCAGAGCGCGTAGCGTTCCGCGGTCGCGTAGACCTCTGCCAGAGTCTGGCTGGGAGTGATAGTCAGCTCGCGGTACAAGTCGTGTTCAGCTGGGAGGCCTTTCTTGAAAGCAGATGATGCGATCCGGTCGTCACATCCTACAATGTTGGCCTTTTCTGCTTTGAATCTCTTGATGTAATCTCGAAGGGATTCGTCGGACTTCTTGCGCAGGTTGTACAGGTGGTCAGGGTTCTTCTTGATCGTCCGGTAAGAGGTGTACTCTTTGGTGAAGACGTAAGCCAACTCCTTGAAGCTGTTGATCGACCCAGATGGCAGGGTGTGGAACCAATCTTGGGCTGCTCCTCGCAAGGTCACTACGAATACCTTGCACATCAACGCGTCGTCGGCCTTGTGGAGGATCATGACACTTTTGAAGTGTTTTAGGTGACTCTCGGGATCGGAGTCCCCTTTGAAGTGTGTAAACGAAGGCGTGGAGAATCGCTTCGGGGGAGCAGCCTGCTCGATTTCGGCAGTGAAAGGTGTGGAGTTTGCCTGGTCGATCTCCTTGCGTAGTGCATCGTCGAGGTTCCCACCAGTCTTCAGATCTCGAAGTCGGTCATTCATAAGCTTCTCGACGTCCTCCATGCACATTGTTGGTCGATCACGTTGGCGACCTTCGCGATTCGGGCGACGTTGACTGACCTCCTCCTGGGTCTGCGAGTGTCGACCTTCTCGTCTGCGCTGCCTAGGCGGAGTGTTGGTGGACTGCGCTTGCGAGAGATTCTCCGTAGTTGGTCGACGAGAGCCGTCTCTTCGTGAGTGAGCAGCGGAGCGTCTTTCTTCGCGGTCCTCATTGTGAGGATTATCCGGTTGACCACCCTGGGGACGTAGCCTCTCGTGAATGTTCGTCTGCGAGTGGACAGCTGAGCGTCTTTCTTCACGATCCTCGTTGCGATGGTTGTCTGATTGTCCTCCCTGGGGGCCTAGCCTTTGAAGTACATTTCCCTGCGGTCCCAAGCGGGCGTGGACGTCAAGTCGTGGGCCTAGCCTCTCGCGCACGTTGTTCCTCGAACTTAATCTGCTCCGAGTGGGGCTCGCGGATGCTTGTGACATGTCGGTAGGCCGATCAAGTTGTTGTCCCTCGCCTTGTCTGCCTACTCCTGCTTGACCTGCTGGGTACCCGTTGAGTTGCCTGCCGGTGCGTTCGTCCATCCTTCTCTCTTCGCCTAGTTGTCCAAGGCCAAGGTTTTGAGCCAAGCTGATTTGGTGGAGGAGTTGCCTCATCAGATCGCTTTGGTCGTCCATTCTCTGAGCTAGCTGGTCAACTCTCAGACTAAGGTCTGCTTGACTTCGTGGATCAGGAGGAGAGAAGTGTGTGGAGCCCAATTGCACACGGGCTAGGGTTTCATTGGAGGTGTGCGCGGGAGCGTGTGTCGAGCGTGGAGGCAATGAAGGGATCGCTTGAAGTTGCTCCAAGATCGGGCCTAAGTCAGCGGTGGTAACAAGCCCACCTTGATAGGAGGTTCCACCATGTTCGGCGGCGGTGGCCGGTGCGGTGGTGAGAGGTGGTGGGGCCACCATGTCGATCGCGGGATCGTGGGCGGAGTGGCTTTGGGCCGTCGCGGATTTAGCCATCGCGGCGGTTTTGCCTCTCGTCTTCATGCTTCCAACCATGGTTGTTTGGAAGGCTTCGGTGGATTGGAAAATAGGAGGAACGGATTCCTTGAGCACGCGTTGAGTATAACTCGTGCTCTCAATGAAAGCACCAATTTGGAGGGAATGATTTTCCCCACGAGAATATTCGTCAAAGATTCCTTCGTCTTCTCCGCTTCTCTTTCTCTCTGCAAAACAGATCGGAGTAAAAGGACCACACCCGGGGGGTGTTGGCCAAAGGCCCTCCGATGCCTAAGTTAGGTAAGGTATTTCAAGGAAAACCGGGTGGCCGGAGCCGTGTGTGGTGGCCGGAGCCTTGTGTAAGGGAGAGAAAGAAAGTGGTGGCTAGGGTTTGTGAGAAATGATTTCTGCAGAGTTTCAGTAGGAATTTAGACGTACCTCCACCATTGTGTGTGGCTATGCTTTTATAATGGTCTTGGAGGCTAGGGTTTCAGAGGAATAATTCCGTAGATGGAAGGGAATTATTCCTCCCCTTTATGGAATTGATTTGATTAATTAGGGATTTGATTTATTAGGGTAAATCAAATCCCTAATTGTGGTAGGTATCAAATCAAATCCATTTCAATTAGGTAACTCCTCATTTAATTGAGAATCGGGGTAGGAATTAGGAATCAATTCTCAACCCAATTAGGTAGTCTTCAATTTAATTGGGTAACCCCCAATTAAATTGAGTAACTCCCAATTAGGTTGATTAATTCCCAATTAGGTCAAATAATCCCCAAATGGAATGAATTATTTGACCTAGGGTTTTGACTTAATTTGGTTACCACAGTCCTAATAAAGTAATATATACTCATATAGATATGCAAATATATGTATATATAATAAGCTTTTAATATATATATATATATATAGGCATGTGTCTACTTCTTAGTATACACGTATGTATGTGTGCTTTATATATACACATACATTATAACCAAAAATAGGTAGACACATATCAAATAGTATATAAAACATGTTATTAGTTTATCTTTTGTAACTAAAACTTGAGAAACTAAATGCGATGACACTATTTACATTTTCATGTATATGTACATAGAACGTAATCCCTGCCTATTTTCATATACACATTTCACACACATTTTAAAACCCGCAGCATTGCGCGGGCACCTTTCGCTAGTTTCTCCTAATAACAATCAAAAGAAAATGATAGCTACAAAATGTTTTCCCTAGCGTGAAAATGTCATCCTCTCTGCTTTTGTGAAAATTTGAGTACATTCTTATGACCAGATTGAATTCGTTAATCATGTGGTCTTAACTCCAATTCTCCAAATATTTACAATGAAAAAAGTTACTATAATTTTATTCAAGATACAACTAGCACTGCCAAATCCTACTCAACTTATTGTGAAGTTAATGAACCTCTCATGAATTCCATTATGTTGCATAATTTGAAACTCGGAGATGCTAAATAAGACAAGACCGCATAATTGAATAATAAATTTCACAAACTATCAAAGATATGATCAATGAAACAGACAAGGGAGGAGTTCCAACAAAGCATCGATTTTAGATCAGAACAATGCCAATGTTTATCGTCTGATTGAGAATTCTTGTTGGCTTACTTCATCCTACACACAATAGAATATAGCAGTTTAAATAGTCACATAAGAACCAGGTAGGTCTAATGAGCCTGTAGATTTTGAGGTGAAAATTTCATGCGAACCTGGCCGATAAGCATGCAAATACTTTCGATCATTTCGAGTTCCACATTAGTAGTGTGCCCAGTATCGGCCATGGCATCAGGAAACCAAATTTCAGTTGACAACAGGACACAATTGGCTGGCTTCAACAGCAGTAGTCTTGTAATTATGTACTTGAATGCAGAAACAAAAAAAAGTTGCAGTATGTCCTGTTTATTTGCATAATAAATCTTGCATATACGTACTTTTGCAATGGAAAAAAAAAGCAGCAAGATAAATTGTTCTCCTCTCCTACTTAATATCATTGAAATGTGTTGGAAGACATATCATTGAAACAAACAAAACAAACAACCATTCACTCTATCTTAAGATAGATGAGATCATGGAAGACATATACTTGATTGCTGAAAGTAAACTACTTAATGATTTGCAGTATGTTAACAGATACTTTGCTCAAGTGCTAAATAATATGCAGCAACATGAGTTAATTAACCTGATTAATTAGTGCTCTGCAGTAGTTAACAAAGAAATGTTCTTTCTCAGATGCATAAAGCTCATGTTATCAACCAAGATGACAAATGTACATGAGAGAGAGAGAGAGAGAGAGAGAGAGAGAGAGCAGAGGAATTATCATTGAAGATATGAATCTAATGATAAATGCATGGCTACAAAATAAATGCAGGGAGACAGATGGTGGTGACTTACTAATAATATCCATTGCGAGAGCAGTGTTATTGGCCTTTAAAGGATTGAGGTGCAGACAGTGGCGGATCCAGGAATTTTTCAAGGAAGGGGCAATTTTGAAAGGCTAAAAGCTCAACAACAACAAAATTTAGAGAATCAATATCCTTCAAATTTAAACAGTACTAATGTCATTAATAATTCATGGAAAAAAAATAACATTACAAAATGCATGTTACTTTATTAATTAAATAATCAAATTGTAATTGATCATACATCGAGCTGTGCACTACGCAACCTCTTCTTCTCTCTTGAGTTTGCTAATGATTATACAAATACAAAGAAAGCCAAATCAGAAATATATATATATATATATGAAAAAAAAAACATATTATAAAAAAGAAAAAGAGAGAAAAAAAAAACATAAGAAAGAAAAAATAGAAGAGAACAACAACATGAGCAAAAAATGAATTGCTCCTCTCCGCTCTTTATTAAAGGGTTTATATATAATATGCTATACTGATTTGTATTGGGTAAGGCCTTGTGCACGTTTCTTTTTTTTGGCCTAGTCCAAAACGACGTCGTTTGGGCTAGGACTTTTTAAAAAAAGAGCACGCGCTATGCGCGCAACACAGCAGCGCAACAAAAACAAACACACAACAGCTCATCAAATAGAAAGGAGTTTCACTCAGGCAAAAACACAAACAGTTGGTGGGCAAACCAGAGGGGCAAAGTGCGCCACCACCCACAGTGTTTTCCGGCGAGGGGAGGTGCAACTGCACCTCCTTGCGCCTCTGTGGAGGAGGAGTTTTTAATGAAGGTAGCAAAATTTTAGCTCCTCTTTTAAGAATAACAGTTTTTATTAAACTTTTCAACAATATAAGAGGGGGCAAGACCTAAGTAGCAAATCAAAAGTCCTATGCACCCCTGCTGTAGTTGAAAATTTTCATAAAGTTGTTAAAAAGAGGGAGAAAATCTTTACAAGTTGAGAGAAATTCAGATATGCTCCTAAAACAAAACAAGGAATAGAGCCAAATAAAAAAGGGAAATAGCATCCAATGCCACCCATTTCATAATTTTAACTAAAAATACCACCCCTTCCCAATTTTTTCACAACTATCACCTATAAATATAAAATTATTGTCCACTTATGCTGATTTTTCACAAGTTCAGAAATTTTGGTCTCTCTTAACTCACTCAGCTCTCTCTCTCTCTCTCTGGCACAACTCTCTTTCTCTTTGGTATATGTCTATCGCAGCTCTCTGTGTGTCTCTTGGCTCTCTCTCTCTGTAGCACAACTCTCTGTCTCTGTCTTTGCTCTCTCTTGTCTGCTCCACTGAGATCTTCGTCGCCGCCTACCACACATCCACCGGAAAGGCCCTGGCTTTCACATCGGCTTCCGCTTCTTCTCACTTGGACTCACCGACCCAGCACGCCAACTCGCCCAATAGCTCGCCGGCGTTGCAGAGGTCGCTCACTTCTGTAGCTGCCAGCAGGATGAAGAAGGCATTGGGTCTCAAATCGCCGGGTTCGGGCTCCAAGAAGAGTCTTGGGTCCGGTGGGTCTGGGTTGGGACCTGGAAAGCCCAAGCGGTTATGACGGTGGGTGAGCTGATGAGGATCCAAATGGGGATTTCTGACGCTATGGACTCTAGAGTCAGGAGAGCTCTGCTTGGGATTTCTGCTGCTCAGGTGAGCTCAATTTCTGTGCCTTCTTATTTGTGATCTTGGTTGATCTGGTTTGATGGGTTTGATTTTGTTTGGTGGGTAATGCTTGATTTTTATCATAGTGATAATTGTGATGATGGGATGGATATGGAGCTTAATTTTGCTACTGGTTTGGCCAATTTTGGATTTTGGTTTTTCTTACTTTAAAACAAAAATTGTTTCTTCACTAAGTGTAGTTCAATCTGATAAAACTGACAATGCAAAATATTTCACGAATGTTTAATTTCATAATGGGTAATTTCAAACTTTTGTGAATGGTCGTCTGCATTGGAATTGTAATTAATCAAGCCTTGTGTTTGATGTACTCATTACAGGTAGGAAGCTTTTTTGTTTATTTTAAATTTCGGGTATCCATCCCATTTATGAACTTCTGCCAGAAGTAATTAGGTTAATGAATCTAAACTTCATGCCTTTGAATATTCATCCCGTAAAATCTATGTACTTTTGTTGCAGAAGGCTTGATAGTAAATAGAAAATCTATATGCCAGGGGTTTTCTGGCTAGCTAAAAATGTGTGAGAAATGATGAATCTATCTTATTGCACCTTATTTGTTATTTAACATCATATTGATTCTAGTTTGTAACTTTTGTTTTTTTGCTTTTGTTTTTAGTTTTATGATGGTGAAACAGTTTACATTTTAGGATTACTTGAAAAATCCAGAATGCGTTATGTCAAAGCAAGCTTTAAACTATACTTCGTAGAGAAATGTTCTCTTGCCAGACAATCTGGCAGCGTAAAATGCTTATGTTGCAAGACTCTGAATTTAGGCCATTTATTATGTTGGTTCTTGTCTTAGTGTGTTATCTAAATTCACAATCTAGCAACATAAGCATCATTAGAGTAGTTTAGAATATTACTTTTGTCAGAGAAAAAAAACATGGCCTTTCATTGGCCAACTGGTCCCATAATAAGAGTTTGTGTCATAGAAGAGCTGGTTTAAATACCAAATAATACATGTTTTGTTTTTTTGTTCTGTTTTTGGTATTGGATTTGTTTCATTTTCTTTTATTTGAAAAAATGAAAATTAAGCAACCTTTAAACCAGTATTCTGTTTTGGTCAACCAAGGAATTAGAATTGTCAACTTCTCTTCTTTCCTGTATCCTGAAGTTTCAAAAGAAATACTCTGTTACTACATTGGTATTATTAAGCACCAACATCTCATGTAGCTTAAACTCTATGTGCTTGCTTTGTTTAGGAGCGTTATTATCTTGCTTTGAGGCTTTAATTCTTGTCACTTACAGGATTTATATGTACCTACTTTGCAGGAAAATCACTTGTTGGAATGGCAGAGGTTGAAGCAGCCATACAAGAAATGTTCCAGGCACCTCATATTCAAGTGAGTCAGATTATATCTTACAGTCATGATGAAAAATGATTTCTGTTGGTGAAACTTCTTTTATTTAAATGGTATGTTACATCTTAGAAGAGGTAATCAATACCCTTGAGTGAGGCATATGACGCAGTGATTACTACGTTAATATGCATTCCTAATATGAAATACATGAGATCCCAGATAGCTACATAGTTTTTTGGTCGAGTAACAAAGATGAAAATGGTGTCAGTTGGAGTTTGCTAAATCTTTAAGTGCCATTCTTTAAAGGAGTAGCATGGTGAAAAATGGCTTTCAGGACCCAAATTATCTGATGCTGGTTTAAAGTAGTGAATTTCTGCACTAGTAGCATTCAACTCCATACAACTTTAGCTGCATAAATTGTTATTGGGTTGAAAGGAAGTTTTGTTTATCTATGTTGTATCTGGAAAAAAAAAAAAAAAAAAAAAAATAATAAAAATTCTCTCTACCTTCTTCAGAGATATATTAATGCTAATTCTTTTCTTTGTTTTTTCTTGGCAGGTGATGAAAACTTCTTCCAGGCTGAGTAAAATATTTTTGACTGCCATGGTGTATGAACTCTACAAAACAGGAATGGGGGAAACTACTTTTGAAAAGGTGAACTTCTCAAGCTTTTTCCTGAACAATGTGTGCATTTACTTTTTTTGTATCGTACATTCAGAGTAACTTTGTAATAATAGTATTTCACACTGGAGGTGATGATTATTTTTGGGCCGCAGGCTTGCATTGAAATACTGACTAAAAGAATACTTATTGTTCTTGACTGCTATACTGCATCTCAACTACAAACCAGATTATTTTTATTTTGGTTCACCAGTTTTTTGATGCCTTCACTGTATCTAGCTCTGGAATTATAGTGTTTTCATTTAAGTTATGTTTTTCCTTGCAGTTGGCAATGACAGTCTCATGCCTCTGTACAAGCAACGGAGAAGCATTTCCTGGACATGACATGCTATTAAAAATTGGGTAAGACGTGCGTTGATACTAATAACTTGCTATATGCATGTGTAGAAACATAGTCTATTGATCTCCTCTGGTCCTTGTTGTCTTGTCAAATGGGAGTGTTATGAACCTCAAGAGTGTCACTAGTTTTGGATTTTGACTAAGAAATATTGAGTGTTATATAAAATGACTACTTTGGATTTTACGTGGTTAGTTTTAGGTACTAGAGGAGTGGGATAGGCTGTTTGGATTTTACGTTCTGGTCTTGCTCTGAGAGGAGAGAGGGGGAAGGGGAGAAGGAGAGTGAGATTGGAAGTCTTATGTGACTAGTAAATTGGAAGTCTCGGACTCTTGTTAAGTTTTGTGCATTTTCAGAATGAAGAATAATATTGAATTCTAGGACACCTATGCTACTGTAGATCATAATAGAAGCTTTCTGCTCATGTTCCAGTCAGGGAAACAGAAGTGCAGTATCCAAGATTGTGCTTGATTCGTGAAATTGTTATTAATATTGATTTATGACATTGGTGATTGAGTTGGAGATTTCCAAATTGGACAATTCTTATTGCTTTGCTGATATGGTTCCAATATGCTTTGTTTTGGCAAAAATCGTCCTACTTATTGTACATTATTTGTTCTTTTAGACTTGATACGTATAAGTTTAGTTTCATCATATGCTCCTGGCTTGCTTGTTCTAACTGTGGGCACACATAAGGCGGAAAACTTTACACGTAAGGCTTCACTGATGTCTTGAATGATGTCATTCAATAGTGACCTGTTTTATATAATTTGTTTCTCTGCTTTATAACTACATTTGATATTTGGGGTTATATTGCATGCAGGCAAGCAACCCTAACAAGGTACGAAGTGAATATAAATCATTCTCAGGGTAAAGTGCTGCCTAGTGTAAGAGTTTCATATCCAGGTCTTCTACTTAAACCTGACGAACCAAATTTGGTATGAACTACATCTTTGAATCCCTGATTGCATCTTTGAGGCCAAAGCAGAAAAAATGCTAAACTACATACAGTTTAAAATAATAATAATAATAAAAAGTCGAGGCTTTATGAATTAGTTTACTATTCTTTTTATTTATTTATTTAATTTTATACTTTTATACTTTTTGTGAAGTCTTTTTCTCTTATTTTTTTTCAACGTTCCCCTAACTTGGCACAGATGCATGTATGCCCGTGTGTACTCAGAACACAAACTCCTTTATAACTCAAAAGAACGGTCACAAAAGTTAGTTTTTAACTTGGAAAAATAAAATAAAATTGAAAGTTACTTTTGGGAAATGTTGAACTTTTATAATGAATATGGCTTCAGTGCAGAAGGCTTGATAGTAAATAGAAAATCTATATGCTGGGGGTTTTCTGGCTAGCTGAAAATGTGTGAGAAATGATGAATCTATCTTATTGCAGCCTATTTAATATTTAATACCTTCATTAAAAAAGGTTGTTGACAATGCTTTGACTATCTTGCAGATTATAATGGCAAAACCAGCAGGTGACCCTAGTAAGAGAGATCAGCCTGCAGGGATGGATGAGGACTAATTTTGTGTGTATGACAATTGACTATCTTTGCTTGTATTGTTCTATGTTAGGGACCTTTTGTTCCATTTTAGTAACAATTTTGTTTAGGAGAAAAAGAAACATATTGCAGTTCATGCTTTGTAAATGCCACTCTTCTGTTACGATGGACACGTGGTATGCCCTTGTTGGGTAGGTTTGGATTGAAACCATGGTCGAGTGCTTGAGCCATGTTTAGTGAGAAGCTTGAATGGATTTTCTTTTCTGTTGTATTTGGCCCTTGTCTTTTCAAGCATGCCAAAAATCATCCCGGTTTTGTAATATGTGGTTTGTGGCCAATTAATTTACTGTGGATCTTGCATTTTTATACCCAATATTTGACAGCTGCCTTCTTTTGAACGAAGATTCATTGAGGGAGAGAATTATTTTCCTTTTGAATATGAATCGATGTGCAACTCCAACTATCATTTCAAAAGTCAACATCAATTCATGCTAATATAATGGATAACAATTGTCGTGCCCATGAGATTTGAATTCAGGATTACTTTCAACGAAGTGGAGACTGTTATTAGACCAAATGGCCATTGACATACAATATAATAGCAATATTAGGCCAATATATGTACACTATAGAGGCAATATTAGAGCAATATAACCACAATACGATAGCAATAGTATTACAATTATCACCTATAAAAATATAATTATTGTCCACTTATTGCTGATTTTTCACATGTTCAGAAATTTTGTTCTCTCTTAGCTCACTCAGCTCAATCTCTCTGGCACATCTCTCTTTCTCTTTGGTATCTGTCTATCGCAGCTCTCTGTCTCTGTCTCTCTCTCTCTCTCTAGTGCAACTCTCTGTCTCTCTCTCTTTGCTCTCTTTCTGTAGCGTAGCTCTTTCTCTCTCTGTCTCTCTCTCTAGCTTCGTTCTGTCTCTTTCTCCCCCTATTCGCTCTCTTGCTCTCTGTCTCTTTATTCATACTTCCTTTTTTTTTGTAAATTATTTTTTAGTTGTTATTATTTTTTAAATAATTTCTCACAATGTCTTATAGTGCAATTATGATGCACCTGACTACCTGTTTTTTAAAGGCACGTTGTTTCTTTCTCCTCTTCTTCTTTTTGAATGAAGTATGGCCTAAACCGTAAACCCATTGATGAGCCGTAGTCAATATACATACAATATAATAGCAATATTAGGCCAATATACATACATTAGAGAGGCAATATTATGGCAATATAATGGCAATACGACAGCAATAGCATCACAATATACATGAAATATGGTGGCAATATGCATACAATGTATACATAAATAGGCAATATTAGTACAATACACAAGCAATAGGACAACAATATTAAGTCAATCTACATACACACACACACATCCATTACAGACTACAATTTAGACATGGAAAATAAATCGCCATTGAACCCTAACAATATTATCCTGCGAAGTAAAAATTATTTCTTTCATAAAACTTGAAAATTCAATTGTTATTACATAGTCAACCAATCTTTGCTCTATTACATACATACTTCCTACCTATAATTATAAATAATGGAGAGCTCACAAATTCTACTAATTTGATCTTAACTTCAACAATTTGTTCTTCGTTGTATGAGTTAGCTCTCCCTTCTTGCACATTTTCCAAGCTGTTCTATTCTCCTCCCGTGTAGCAATATCAGCAACAACAGGTTATCTACAGATCTGAAATCATAACTGCAGATGATTCTCAATTAACAAAGAGGAAAACCATTTTCTTTTATAACTTTGGTTATGAAATATATAACAAAATGCAAAGACCTTTGCTTCTGAAAAGGAGCAAAAGTTTGTCAACCAATTCATAGTAAAAATGAAGAAACTAGTGAACCTAACCAGAGAAATGCTAACCTGCAAAACCAACTCCAATACTTTAACCACAACATTAATACTTGAGATTTTCTTCTCATGGATTATGATTAGAGGATTTTCCAATTCCTATCAGCACATACACAAGTTTGAAGATAATCAGCATCAAGCAAAAAGGGACTTGAGATGCTGCCCTCTAACAGTTTCAAGACATAGTTATCGCTGAGTCAAACTAAAACTTACACATTTCTGATTGTTCTGGTTGGTGATGAAATAAGGGGATATGTAACCCCTGTCTAGCTTCATTCCCTCAACAACCTCCAACTCATTGTCCAATGTTTCCCCATCCTGCAGAAATTAACATAGTGTGAAGCTTACATGTTTTGGGTATCATTTGGGAATAAAAAACTAAAATAAAATTATTTGCCCTCCAATATATTTCTGTAAAAATTTCATAAGACCCATACATACCTCACTTTAAAACAACAATAAAAAGAAGTTGATATCATCCAGATTTCAGCCCTTGCAATACGGTAACTACACTAATATGCCTATGACAAAGCTGCTGACTAGAAACAAACATAGGCAAACATATACAATCGTTATATTCATGAAACACAAACTGATATAGAAATAATGACTGAAACAACCCATGTGCAGATGCAGAGCGCAAATGAAATTGTGATTAAAGAATTGTACAATAATTGAAAATTTCATGAAACTCAAAACTCAAATCAGAGCTATACATCAAATCAAAGATAATTAAGACTTCAGTTAAGCATAAAAATAAACTGATGAACAAAGAGCAAACAATACTTGTTCTTCCATCATGGAACCAGATATGGACCCTATTGCCCAGCATAAGGTGTTTAAGTTGTTCCAATGCTCAAGGTGTGACAAATATTATCTCCCTCATGATCTACAAGATCAAAATGACACCAATAACAAAAAAAATAAGTATGAAAACATTCAAGAAAGAAAATAACAAATAATCCAATACGTTTTCTACTATTAAGAAAGAAGCATATCGTAGAAACTGAGTTTCTGGTAAGATTAAAATAAATTTAAAAAGCTTCTGTAGATAGTATTTTCAAAAGGCTTCTGAACTTAATTTCTAACAAGAAAGTTGCCCAATACCATATCTAAACTCATACACAGAAAATCCATTTTTAAAACAAAACTAAAGAAGCATTACATGGCTAATGTGATTGTCCACGTGAATGAGCAAGAGTGACATGGACACAATGCTTAGAAACCTACTGTCTCAAAATTTGTTGGGAAAAGATTTGAATGTTATTGATAGGAAAATGGTAAAGGTTCCAATGGTTAACTGAAAATCTCCCCAAAATTTCAAAACAAATTTAAGACACCTAACTAATTCAGACTTGTTGAGTCTCTTTCAATATGGAAGGTTTGCAAGTTCTGAGATAATAAATTGGTCTTTTCCCAGACAACCTTCTCGTTGATGGAAACTTAGAAAAGACTTACCTATCTACTACCAATTTCAAACCATACATCTTTATTCAACTACAAAGAGATTACAAAATAAATTACAGTCGGATAGACTAAAGAAAAACAGGGGGATTCAAGTAAAACTAAAGGAAGCATTCATACAAAGTAGAAAACAGAAAACTCAAAACAACAAAAATTTCAAAGATAAAAGTATCTAAATTACCGGCAGCCCCATCATATTTGCAGCTGCTGCAGGGTTATCCAAATTATGATGCAACTCAAACACTTCCAAAACCAAGGAATTCTAATATTCTAAGCAATCTTGCTCGAAGAAACAACCAATTCCAAGTCAAATTATCACTTCATTGTTCAAATGGGGAAGAGAGAGAGAAAGAGCTAAATAGGGCCTTCGGGTGGGTGCTAGAGAGCACATCATAATTAATTATACCTTAAAAACTTCAGTGTCATCCATATATGAGATGTTTATTAGATATTCAAGACCCATCAGCAATGCGGCTATATTCTGTTGTGTGGTTTCAAGCACACGAATATGTGACTGCAAAAAGAAAAGGAGACAGCTAATAACATCCTCATTGGAGGCTTAAAGATTAATCATAATTGCAAACTCTTTTATGGATAAGTAAACAATAATTATAGACAACACAATACGTAAAGCTTAAAGATTCTGTTACAACATAAACCAAACAGCAAAACTATCATATCCAAATACGGCTGGCGAAGGCAAGGCAATATATCGACATATTTATCTGAAAGCTAACAAACTTGCCTTGTAAAATGAAGTGAGAAACAATGCCAAGTTCTGAATGAAGGCCTGAAGAAACAGCATCATATGAACCAGTTAAATACACACAATAGGAGAGCCTAAAATCATTAAATAGTGGCATAATCACTCAAATTAATATGTTGATATTAAACATTCGTGAAACATTTTGCATTATGAAATTAAACATTATGAAATTACAAATTACAAAAGTTTGAAATTACCCATTATGAAATTAAACATTCGTGAAACATTTTGCATTGTCAGTTTTATCAGATTGAACTACACTTAGTGAAGAAACAATTTTTGTTTTAAAGTAAGAAAAACCAAAATCCAAAATTGGCCAAACCAGTAGCAAAATTAAGCTCCATATCCATCCCATCATCACAATTATCACAGTGATAAAAATCAAGCATTACCCACCAAACAAAATCAAACCCATCAAACCAGATCAACCAAGATCACAAATAAGAAAGCACAGAAATTGAGCTCACCTGAGCAGCAGAAATCCTAAGCAGAGCTCTCCTGACTCTAGAGTCCATAGCGTCAGAAATCCCCATTTGGATCCTCATTAGCTCACCCACCGTCATAACCCGCTTGGGCTTTCCGGGTCCCGACCCGGACCCACCGGACCCAAGACTCTTCTTGGAGCCCGAACCCGCCGATTTGAGACGCAATGCCTTCTTCATCCTGCTGGCAGCTACAGAAGTGAGCGATCTCTGCAACGCTGGCGAGCTGTTGGGCGAGTTGGCGTGCTGGGTCGGTGAGTCCAAGTGAGAAGAAGCGGAAGACGATGTGAAAGCCAGGGCCTTTCCGGTGGATGTGTGGTAGGCGGCGACGAAGATCTCAGTGGAGCAGACAATATTATCGATTACGACTCTGCAAAGCAAAAGAAGCTGTGGTCGGTGGAGAGAACAAAATTTCTGAAAATGTGATATGGGTGCAATCAGTCGACAATAAAGATGTATTTATATGTGATAGTTTTAAAAATTTTGGGAAAGGGTGGTGTTTTTAGTTAAAATTATGAAATGGGTGGCATTGGAGGCCATTTCCAATAAAAAAACAGTGGGAGAACCAAATGAAGGAGCAATATAAGGCCAAAAGAATGAAGCACAAGCAGTGGAACAAAACATAGTACGTCAAATCCAAAAAAAATGAAAACTAGAATCAGCAAAAGCAGCAACTCACATTAAAATGCAGCAGCTGTGATGCCTCTTGCTTTGAAAGTGAGGAATCATAGTTCAGTCCCAATCACATCGATCTTTTTCTTTTTCGGGCCGAGCTTCGTCAAACACATCATTTAAACATCATTTATAAAATTCTGCTGCAAAAAAAAAAAAAAAAAAAAAAAAAAAAAAAAAAAAAAAAAAAAAAAAAAAAAAAAAAAAAAAAAAAAAAAAAAAAAAAAAAAAAAAAAAAAAAAAAAAAAAAAAAAAAAAAAAAAAAAAAAAAAAAAAAAAAAAAAAAAAAAAAAAAAAAAAAAAAAAAAAAAAAAAAAAAAAAAAAAAAAAAAAAAAAAAAAAAAAAAAAAAAAAAAAAAAAAAAAAAAAAAAAAAAAAAAAAAAAAAAAAAAAAAAAAAAAAAAAAAAAAAAAAAAAAAAAAAAAAAAAAAAAAAAAAAAAAAAAAAAAAAAAAAAAAAAAAAAAAAAAAAAAAAAAAAAAAAAAAAAAAAAAAAAAAAAAAAAAAAAAAAAAAAAAAAAAAAAAAAAAAAAAAAGAAGAATATACTTGATTGCTGAAGTAACTACTTAATGATTTGCAGTACGTTAACAGATGCTTGCTCAAGTGCTATATAATATGCAGCAACATGAGGTAATTAACCTGATTAATTAATGCTCTGTAGTAGTTAACAAAGAAATGTTCTTTTCTCAGATGCATATAGCTCATGTTATCAACCAAGATGACAAATGTACATGAGAGAGAGAGAGAGAGAGAGAGAGAGTAGAGGAATTATCATCGAAGATATGATAATGATAAATATATGGCTAGAAAAGAAAATGCAAGGAGACAAATGGTGGTGACTACTAATAATATCAATTGTGAGAGCAGCGTTATTGGCCTTAAAGTATTCAGGTGCAAATATTTGAGGAGGAGTTTTTAACGAAGTTAGCAAAATTTAGCTCATCTTTTAAGAATAACAGTTTTTATTAAACTTTTCAACAATAGCGAAAAATAAGAGGGGCAAGGCCTAAGTAGCAAATCAAAGTGGTTATTCTCCAAATCAAAAGTCCTATGCACCCCCTGCTGTGGTTGAAAATTTTCATAAAAAGTGCAGTTGTTAAAAAGAGGGTGAAAATCTTTACAAGTTGAGAGAAATTCAGATATGCTCCTAAAACAAAACAAGGAATAGAGCCAAATAAAAAAACAGTGGGAGAACCAAATGAAGGAGCAATAGGGAAAACAAAACTTAGAGCAACATAAGGCCAAAAGAATGAAGCACAAGTAGTGCAACAAACAATAGTACGCCGACAATCCAAAAAAAGTGAAAAGTAGAATCAGCAAAAGCAGCAACTCACATTGTAATGCAGCAGCTGTAATGCCTCTTGCTTTGAAAGTGAGGAATCATAGGTTAGTCCCAATCACATTGATATTTTTTCCTTTTCTGGGTCCGAGCTTCGTCAACAACATCTTTTAATTCATCTTGGTCTGCTCTTCGGAAAGAGCATAGGTATTGCAGAAGAGAGATTTTTGGTGAGAGCGGAACTTCTACTAGGACTAGCCTCCTCATCATCGTGACGTTGTTGACCTTGTTCATCAGCTGATTTGGTAGGACAAGTAGTAGTGCTCTTGATGATGGATTTGTTCATCATGATCTGGTTGAGTTGTTCCACATCTTGCTCGTGCACCAAACGAAACCCACACTTTATACTCGAGCAATATGGCTGGAGTGATACAGTCCTTGAATGATATGACTGCATTCCTTGTTTCGAATAATAAGTTTTGAATAAAATCTTCGTCTGACTGCATTCCTTCATCCACCCCCTCTTGTTTCCATGAACATAAAATACCCAAAGGTGATTGACACAGCATTGCGTATTTAAAACATATTTGCCCTGGTGAGTCATAGTCATATTCAAAAGCACCAAATTTAGAAAGGTCAGCTAGATTGCCTCATCTGCCTGATCTTCAAACACAACACATACAACAATTCCCATCCATTCCGGAGTAGCTCCACAATTAGGGAATCTCCCACACTTTGATTACGAACCACTCTGGAATTTTCCTTCCAGGAGTTACAAGTTCGAAGTTGTATTGGTGAAGAGGCTATGGATTAGCTGTACCATATATATGAGGTAAGTAAGTTGTAATTATAAGTATAGCAAACAACAATAGAGAGAGAGAGAGACAGAGAGAGAGAGAGAGAGAGAGAGAGAGAGAGAACCGAAGGTATCGCTAGCATTTCAGTATTATACCGTCGCAGCCTTCATTGTGAACCAATACAAAGCAATTGGCACAATTAAAAAAGTACTATATGTATTACGTAAGATATAATTTGATGAAGATACATTTTTAAGGAAGTGCAACCGCATGTTTATATTCACTAATGACCTATTGACGTAAGATCTGGCAACATTTTAAGGAAGTGATCGGCGATGTTTATACCCACTAGGACCTACATGATGTAAGATCTGGCAATTGTTGAAGCTTTTGGCACCCATTCACATGAAGTGACTTAAGCTTAGAAAGACATCCAATGCTTGCAAGAAGGGCATAACAAAATTTTTCTCCAACTAATAATAGGATACTTCACAAAGTCTCACAATCACTCCCTCAGTAGGCCCTTGATTTATTATCCACTAAAGATAGAAGTTTTTTTCAAACCAACAATGGAGCGTGGCAGCTGTCTTATTGCAGTTTCATGCAGTTGAAGTGCGTAAGACTCCATCTCTCCATGTTCTCTGGGAGTTTGTCAATTTTTGAGCATCCATCGCATCCAATTTTTTAAGAGACTTCAAATTACAAATTTCACTCGGAAGACCCGTGAGATTTTTGCAATTCGATAGCCACAGATAAGTAAGGCCAACTAGACATCCTATTGATGAAGGTAATTTCAAAATGGATGTCCCATAAACTAAGAGATAACACATTTTTTCATTTGCCCTGAAAATTCTGGAATCTTTTTCAGTTTTGAGGAAAATCAAGATGCAACCATTTAAGACATTTGAGATATGCAATTGATGGGTGAATCTCAACCAAATTCTTACAAATATGAAAAAACCCAACACCTGAAGATTCGGAACGCCAGAAATCTGGGGTTGTGGTCAAGTTTTCAGAGCGAAATAGGTCATTATTTTCAAGTTGGGCAAGTCCTGTACAATTCATAACAATGGTAGAATAGATAATTAGCTCATATTTATTTTAATTTTATTAAACAAAATATTATATAATAATTTATAAAACTAATTTCTAGAATGGCATATGGGTCATACTCTACCTTTCTTCCATCCCAAAGCCGAACAAGTTTGCTCTAAGGCATCTCAAGTCAATAAGGAAATTCGGTTGAAAACCTGATGGGAGAAATTGGAAGGATACCGACTTCGTCTTCTTAAGGAATTAAGAAGAATTATGGGGCTTGAAGAAATGATCACATTGTAAAATTCAAGAACTTTCAGGTACACATCTTAGAGAAGGCTTCACAATTCCATTCTGCCATTTAAAGTCTCGCCTTGCGTAAGGCAATGCCTTTAATTTTGTTTGTTGCTTGTAATTAAGAATAGTAAAGGAAAAGTTAATTGGACATTTAAGTCAAATTTCAGGATAAAAATAAATCATATTTCTTTCAAAACTTGTATTTTCTACATAATTCTTACCGTATTGTTTATGAATACATGAGAGATATCATCACGATTGCACAATCAACTTCGTCTACCAGGCTCTTTAGGACACTCTCGACGAACAATTTCCAATGCCATTTCTTGTATCAAATCATGCATCTCAACACAGTTGTTTGAAATCTCAGTAGTTAGAGGGATTTCTGAACGAGAGCATATATCCCAATACGACCACATAGGCCACAACATCTAGTATTCAATTACTTTCCACTTGCTCTTACCCTACGAGAACCCCTAATTGGATGATTAAATTTATGTTTTTCTTTATATTTTAATTTCAATTTTCCATTGGATTTTTAATTATGAAAAAATATGCTGACCGTTTAGAGCTAGACAAACGATAATTTGTTTGGCTCTGTTGTTCTTAATTTGGGCTGTGTTGTTGCTTGCTGAGTTTGTAGCCTGCCTTTCCGACATTGCATTTCCCTTTTGATTTGGGATACCCTTCTTGTTCCTTTTGAACATATCTCTATAGCTTACAATACATCTTAATGTTTTGTGATTTTGATACTCTATATCATATGTAGTAATGTCAGTCTTCTTATAGCTCTGAAATTTCTCCTAATAACAATAAAACAAACTGACAGCCCCAAAATGTTTTCCCTAGTGTGAAAATTCGAGTACAGGATTATGACCAGATTGAATTCATCAATCATGTGGTACTTCTTAACTCCAATTCTCCCAAATATTTTACAATGAAAAAGTTACTATAATTTTATTCAAGACACAACTAGCACTGCCAAATTCCGCTCAACTTATTGGGATGTAAATGAATCTCTCATGAATTCTATTCTGTTGCATAATTTGAAACTGAGAGATGCTAAATAGAGAAGAATGCATAATTGATGAGATATTGCACAAACTATCAAAGATATGATCAATGAAATAGCAGTGGCCCAATATCCTCTCCTACTTAATATCATTGAAAACGTGTTGGAAGACATATCATTGAAACAAACAAAACAAACAACCATTCACTTGTTGGAAGATATATCATTGAAACAAACAAACAACAACCATTCACTCTATCTTAAGATAGATGAGATCATGGAAGACATATACTTTTTGCTGAAAGTAACTACTTAATGATTGCAATATGTTAACAGATACTTTGCTCAAGTGCTATATAATATGCAGCAACATGAGTTAATAACCTGATATTAGTGCTCTGCAGTAGTTAACAAAGAAATGTTCTTTCTCAGATGCAAAAGCTCATGTTATCAACCAGATGACAAATGTACATGAGAGAGAGATAGAGAGAGACAGAGAGACAGAGAGAGAGCGAGGAATTATCATCGAAGATATGAATCTAATGATAAATGTATGGCTAGAAAAGAAAATGTAGGGAGACAGATGGTGGTGACTTATTAATAATATCCATTGTGAGAGCAGTGTTATTGGCCTTTAAAGTATTGAGGTGCAGATATTTGAGGAGGAGTTTTAACGAAGGTAGCAAAATTTTAGCTCCTCTTTTAAGAATAACAGTTTTTATTAAACTTTTCAACAATAGCGAAAAAGAGGGGGCAAGACCTAAGTAGCAAATCAAAAGTCCTATGCACCCCCTGCTGTAGTTGAAAATTTTCATAAAAGTGCAGTTGTTAAAAAGAGGGAGAAAATCTTTAAGTTGAGAGAAATTAGATATGCTCCTAAAACAAAACAAGGAATAGAGCTAAATAAAAAAACAGTGGGAGAACCAAATGAAGGAGCAATAGGTGAAAAACAAAACTTAGAGCAATATAAGGCCAAAAGAATGAAGCACAAGCAGTGGAACAAACAATAGCACGTTAAATCCCCAAAAAATGAAAACTAGAATCAGCAAATTAAGCAACTCACATTGAAATTACAGCAGCTGTGATGCCTCTTGCTTTGAAAGTGAGGAATCATAGGTTAGTCCCAATCACATCGATCTTTTTTCTTTTTCTGGGCCGAGCTTCGTCAACAACATCATTTAATTCATCTTGGTCTGCCTCTTTGGAAAGAGCATAGGTATTGCAGAAGAGAGATTTTTGGTGAGAGCTACACTTCCACTAGGACTAGCCTCCTCGTCATCGTGGCGTTGTTGACCTTGTGCATCAGCTGATTTGGTAGGACAAGTAGTAGTGCTCTTGATGATGGATTTGTTCATCATGATCTGGTTGAGTTGTTCCACATCTTGCTCGTGCACCAAACGAAACCCACACTTCTTCACACAAGATTTTTGTGTTCCAGCATTATGTCTGATGAGAATAATAAGTTGTGAACAAAAACTTTATCTGACCGCATATCTTCTCAGATTGTATACGAGATACATAAATTACCCAAAGGTGATCTGACACAACATCGCCTATAGTAAATTCTTTTGGGAAAATACTCCATGTGTCCGCATTCCTGGTGGGGAACAGTTAATTCGAAAATAATGAACATCAGAAAGATTAGCCTGAACTTCAAACACAGCACAAAAAGCAATCCATCCATGTGGTAGGTAGCTCCACAATTAGGGAATCTCCCAAACTTTGATTACTGAACCACTCTGGAATTTTCCTTCCAGGAGTTAAATTGGTGAATCCGTAAAGAGGCCCTAATAAAACAGAGTACCGTACCATATACATAGATATAACGAGGTTAGAGAGAGAACCTAAGCAATTATTAGTAAGCAATTGCACAATTAAAATGTATTCGTTCTTTAATGAGCAATTTGACGAAAGATGTGGTAACATTTTTAAGGAAGTGCAATTGGCTATGTTTATATCCACCAATGAGATAAGTTTAGAAAGATCTGGCAATTGTTCAAGACTTTGGCACCCATTCACCCCAAATAACTTAAGCTTAGAAAGACATCCAATGCTTGCAGGAAGGCTAACAAAATTGTTTCCACTAAGACTTAATTTTTCTAAAGAGGACAAGCAACCAATATCCCTGGGAAGATCCCCTTCACAAATGCCACAATTACTTAGATCCAAATACTTCAAAGAGAATAAACCATCAAGCGAAGCCAACACAATGCCTTTCTTCCATTTAAGCGGGGGAGGCCCCACCAAAACCTTGATTTATTAGGCTGTAATCCACTTCTTCCACCCAAAGATAGATCCCTCAGTTTTTTCAAACCAACAATGCAGCATGGCAGCTGTCTTATAGCAGTTCCATTCAGATGAAGCGTATGTAAACACTCCATCTCTCCCATGTTCTCTGGGAATTTGTCAATTTTTGAGCATCCACTCACCTCAAGGTGTAAGAGACTTCAAATTACAAATTTCACTCGGAAGACCCGTGAGATTTTTGCAATTCTATAGTGACAGATCAGTAAGGCAACCAGACATCCTATTGATGAAGATAATTTCTCAATGGACATCCCGCTTAAAATTAAGCGTTGACAAATTTTTCATTTGCCTTGAAAATTCTGGAATCTTTTTCAATTTGAGCAATAACCAAGATCCAAGCTTTTAAGACATTTGAGATTTGCAATTGATGGGTGAATCTCAACCAAATTCTTACAAAATTGAAAATCCAACTCAAGATTTGGAACGCCACTGAAATCTGGGGTTGTGGTCAAGTTTTTAGAGCCAAAAAGCTTCATTTTTTTCAAGTTGGGCAAGTCCTATGCAATTCATAACAATGGTAGAATAGATAATTAGCTCATATTTATTTTAATTTTTAAAACAAAATATTTAAAATAAAATAAAAAACTAATTTCTAGAATGGCATATGGTCGCTACTCTTACCTTTCTTCCATCCCAAAGCCGAACAAGTTTGCTCTCACGCATCTTAAGTGCAATAAGGAAATTCGGTTGAAAACTTGATGGGAGAAATTTGGAAGGATACCGACTCCATTTGATAATTCTCAAGGAATTAGGAAGAATTATGGGGCTTGAAGAAATGAACACATTATCAAATTCAAGAAACTTTCAGGTTACACATCTTAGAGAAGGCTTCACAATTCCAATATGCCATTTAAAGTCTCGCCATGCGTAAGGCAATGCCTTTAATTTGTATGTTGCCTGTAATTAAGAATAGTAAAGGAAAAGTTAATTGCACATTTAAGTCAAATTTCAAGATAAAAATAAATCATATTTCTTTAAAAACTTAGTAATTTCTACATAATTCTACTGTATTGTTTATGAATACATGAGAGATATCATCACAATTGCACAATCGACTTCGTCTACCAGGCTCTTCAGAGCACTCCCGACGAACAATTTCCAATGCCATTTCTTGTATCAAATCATGCATCTCAACCGTGTTATTTGAAATATCCATAGTTAAAAGTGATTTCTGAACAAGAGCATTTATCCCAATATGACCACATAGGCCACAGCAGTCTAGTATTTCAATTACACGCTCCTTGGACATCCCCTTGTGAAAAAATGCAACATCAAGAAATATATCCTTATTCATCTCATCCAGTCCATCGTAACTTATTTTGAGCAAATCAATAATTTCTGACTTAGGAATTTCCTGCAGCTTATCCAATTCACTTTTCCATTCATATTGATCTCTCTTATACACTACGCATCCCAAAAGTTTAAGAGCTAGTGGAAGTCCTCTGGCATAATTTACAAAACCTTTGACAATTCCAAATAACCTTCCTCCGGCTCTTTTTTTTAAAGGCGTTCCAACTGAAGAGTTCAAGAGCATCATCATTACCTAACGCCTCTACGTCACATGATATATGTATATCATGTTTAACTAGCAACCGTTTATCTCTAGTTGTAATAATGATTAAACTCCCCTTACCAAACCAATCCTTTTCACCAGCCAACTTTTCAAGTTGGCTTGATTCACTCACATCATCAAGAATGAGAAGAACCTTTTTATTATACAAGCAATTCTTAATGACAACTGTTCATCCCAAACTTGAGTACACTGTTCATCATACACTGTCATCCCAAACTTGAGTAATTTGATCCTTTAAGATTGGGGAAAGAAGTTGTCTTTGTAGATGAACAAGATTACCACGTTGAGAAACCTCTCTAACATTAGCAAGAAAGCTGCTAACTTCAAAACGGGTAGAAATGCTATCATAAACTAGATGAGCAATGGTTGTTTTGCCAATTCCGCCCATCCCCCATATCCCTATAAAGCGAACATCATCCGTAGGATGAGCTAAAAGCAAATCTACTTGCTCACGTATAAACTTCATTCCCACTAACCCTTGGAATCTAACAATTTGAATCTGTGATGCACTTTCTCCCACACCCATTCAACAATATTTTCAATAAGCTTTCTTTCACACCTACAAGGAGGAAAAGTAAAAGCGATCATGAAGTCTAAAATATAGGACATACATATAACTTCGCCACTTGAAGTTACATCAAATGGCTTACGAAAAAACTTACTCATTCTTTGAATCAAACCCAGATAAATTGGCCACTTCAGTTAAAGCAGTTCTCCACCTCTTCACCCTTTCTCTGTCTTCCCTAAACCTTTCCTCATGCTCAGCGAACGCGCACGCAAAACTGCCGCTTTGTTTTCTCACATCGGAGGGATCCACATGATAAAACACTGGCAGAATTGTGCCCTTGGGTTTCATGCATTGGAGAATCTCTGTAAGCTCATCCAAGCACCAGGAAGAAGATGCATAATTTGGCGAGAGGACAACGATTGCAAGCCTTGATTCTTCGATTGCGTTGAAGAGCCCCGAAGAAATAGCTGTCCCTCTTTCAAGCTTTGGATCATCCTTGAATGTTTTAATGCCCCTGAGCTGCAATTCATGGTATAAATGGGATACAAAGCTATTTCGAGTGTCCTCACCCCTGAAACTCAAAAACACATCGTGGTTCGGTTGAGGAGCAGACTGATCAGGTGAAGGAAGAAAGGCAGGGTCTCTTTGGGTGCTCAATGCCATTTGGCAATCTGCTGCTGCTGAAAACACTCAATGAAAATAAGCCTTTTGCTAACTAAATAGAAAGATGATGAGAAACGGCAAAAAATAAAAGGATTATAATTTAAACCAGAGGAGAAATAAGGACGTTGTGGAAACAAGTTTCAGAGCAAAGAAAAGGAAACAACAAGAGAGAAACAGAGAGAAATGGGAAAATTATATATGTTTTGTATTTCAACAGAGAGAAACAGAGCAATTCAACAATAAACATTAGAAGGAACAAAAATACAAATTTCAACATTTAAAACAAAAATATAAGCCTCATGACTACACAAGTGAACTAAAAATTGCATACGCTTTAGTCAACGTTACCTGAACAAAACAGATATGGAAATCTAGTCGAAGCAAGCCAACAAGTTTAGCTTAGTGTTAACTCAACCCTGAAAAAATTACAGAGCCAGAGAATTTTTAATACCAGCAAGCCAGCCAGAAACTCACAAAATATACAACTTCTCAAGATCAGCCAAGAACCCAACAAGAAGACACAAAGTCATTTCTCTTTTCTTTTCTTTTTGCTTTTTCTTTTTTATGAAATGGGGAGGAAGAACCCCATTAAATTCTGCTCAGAGACCAATGGGAGTCCAAGTCTTCTTGGGCAATGAGTAATTTCGTTTGCTTTTCAATGATAGGGGAAGGGGGGCATCATTTCATTCATTCCTCATGGAGTCAAAACAAATGGGTCCTCTTTTTTTTTTTATTGGTAAACACTTTTTGGTTTGGTTAAACATTCTTCAATCAAGTGATATTCTATTTTAATATAATCCAAATTAAATAGAAGGGGATTCAAACTCGAATACAGAATGGTGAACGCATTCTTCAATGTTTATTAAATAAAATGAATTGTAATAGCATGTCATCTAATGCAGACAATATGTACTTATTGTAAGAAAAAGTTCATAACAAAATTTACGATTTTTGCTTCACAGAATTGAAAGTTGAAGGTAGCCCGCCTTTCACTTTGGCACGAAAATCTCGCTGGCTATTTTTTTATTTTTTATATTTATTTATGCCCAAAGCCCAATTCCACCGACAAAACAGCACTTCACAAGAAGCCCCCTCAAGGCTCTTAACCCAAAGACTCAAGAGCATAAAGAAAATTATATTATTATTTATAGGGCTACTACTAATCTGACAGCTACTGAAAGCCACAGACACAAAATCAATTCCACTGCCAGTCTGGTGGGGTCCTCTTGACACGTGGCACCTCTGGCACTGTACGTCAACTCGTATCTTAAACAATCTGGACCGCATATAAAATATAAAATAAAAACAAATTATATATGCTTTGCTTTGCTCTATCCACCCTCTTTTTTTCAATTTTGTTTTTATTTTATATTTATTTTTCCATTTTTGGGTTTAATATCTTTTGCTTTCCAATCTCCACCAGACAAAACTAGGAACAGCCAGCTGTATCAATCGCCCAGTCGGAAAGTTTCTCCTGTGGCCGCGGGCCCCAACAACTATGATTGTAACATGTGGGGTCCATCGCATACGTGTGGCTCTGTGGGGCCCATTTTGATGTGGCGCTCTTCTTCTTCTAAGTGTCATTAATGCAATGCGAATGGATTTAACCAGACCTTGTTTATCGATTGTAGTAATCAAACATGAATTGAATGAACCCAGGATGTGCCATTCAGACCAAAAAAACCCAGGAGGTGCCAGATAATAATCGTACACAAGTAATTATAATGTAGTACGGGACGAAGGAGTTTGGTCGCTTGGTATAACTCCGCGCTGGTATCTTTGGTGTAGTGACACATGCTTTGGAAATATCTGTAAATATTTGCCCACTGGAATCTCTCTCTCTCTCTCTCTCATTGCTGATGCAATATTATTCTTGGTCTAAAGTAATATTATGATGAGTGACTCTATACCAGCAAATACCACAACCACCATTTTTGGACCAAATAATTATTAGAAGTAGGGTTGTTTTTAACCACATTTTCGATCGATCTGTCCATTTTGTCAACTTAGTTAATATGAATTTTCAGAAGCATTAGTTCCTCAGTCCTTTTCACATTATATAAACTGCAGGAACTGTGTATCATTAATTGTTAGAGAATTTGGTACCTTAAAATATGCAGATGGTTATATTTTCTTGGTAATTTTTGGACACCAACTGATGTGTTATTAGCGTTTAATTTGTTTTCTTTCTAGGCTCACCCTCTAGACTTTATTCATGTACAAACTATAAGATATTGCTATATCGGTTTATGTCTCTTGCATTTTCTATATTTTTGTTACCAGTGTAAGCCCCCAATACTACATCTTGAGAAAAATTTGAGAACGCGAGTTCATGTATTGTCTAATTAAAACATGACATGAGTTTTAAGTTTATATTTATAATTTTCAACCCCACACCTATGTCAATCTTTTGTAGTTCATATATATATATATATGACTGTATCTGCAGGTATCTTATAGGGAAAAGACCCACAAGAATTTATTCAGAGAGGCTAGAATATCAAAATGTGGTCTAATTCAATATCCCAACTTGTATGAGCCACCATTTATAAAAATAAAATAAAAATAAAAATTATATATTAAGAAATTATACTTCAATTCTTGTGCAAATCTGCTGCCATTTGGTGATTCACTATATAACAGAGCTACAAGAAGATAATGAAAAGTATAAGACAAGGATGGATAAGGTTTTAAAGTATAAGACAAGGGGATTATGATACCACCCATGGGATGGTCATATCCAAATTCATTTTAACTAAATTTAAAGTATAAGATAATGGCAGTTACTGTTTACGTGAATAGTATTTGCCGTAATAATTATTTTGTTTTTCCACACATTGCCATGGCAACCCAAAGACAATTAATATTCACATGGGATTAATTTTATTTATACGTATGAAATTAATAAATAAAAACTTTCTAGGTATTTATAAAAAAAAATTGATTTTTTTGGGTTTTTTTTTCAGATTTTAAAATTTTAAAATTTTTTCACTAACGTTAGCGCCCTCAAGCGATAGCTCAGGCTGTTCTTGTTTTTCGAGCCTGCCCGGTCTTGGTGGAGTCACCATCTGCCCGAGCTATTATCTACCGCTGGAGTATTACCCCTAAAATAAAGTCTCAACCCTAGTTAGATATTGGTGCATGGAGGTGTTTGAGACGAAAGAAGATCACGATTGCTTTCAGCTGCCCGACAACCCCAAACACCGACAAGGCTGTGGACTTGGTCAAAAAGGTCGTTTCTTTCATAAATCAGGACTAGGTTGGACTTGGGTGTATTTGAAATTTCAGTGTCATTTTTTTTCTAAGAAAATTTCAATGTCATATAATAAGATTTCCCATTCTAATACATCAAGTGCTCAATGTTTTTTTCCATTAAATATGCAAAAACATAAATAGAAGCATAAGGCATAGGCCCAAAATCAATCATTACAATTACTAAAACCTAACCAATGAAACCCACAAACAAGAAGTTGAGACATAACCTAAAAACCCATGTTCACTCATTTTTTTCATTGGTCTCGTCCGTTCGAATGTAACTCAATCTTGAAGCACCCAAACATATAAGAAAGATGGCAGGCAAAAAGGAGGCTTTGATAGGATTTTGATTATGCCGAATGAAGCACAAATACTGAACTGTCGAGCAAATGCACTGAGAGATGGCACCAACTAATCCATAAATGTCAGGAAGACTACCATATAGCCTTCGCTGGGGACCTGGATAATAAAACCACCACAACGTCCTCCACCTCCTCAGTTCAACTCTTTCATTTTTACCCTTGTAAATGAGCTCCCAGATGCAAATCAGTACAGCAGCAATGGCGAACATCATCCCAAATAATGCATAGTGGGGATTTCTTGGAGAGGAAGCCTGATCACAAGCAATTGACAAAATCTCTAGGCAGAGGGAAATGAGTAAAAAGATCCACTGCGTACAAATAAGTCAGTAATACGCTCAATTAGAATTTAAAGATGTCAACCAAGAACAATTAATGCAAAAGAAAATGCAGGTTGACTATGATTTACAAGTTCTGACCATTCAACTAGCTTCAAAAACTTAAGTTGTTACGACAATTGTTATATAGTCAACAGACCTACCAAGGAATACAAGTGCTGTCATTTATTGATTTTCATATTTTGCAAAATACTAAAAATAATAACCAAAAATATAAACACTTGAAAATATGTGGACAAATACGAAGCATATCGAGCTTAACAAGTTTCTTTGAATTAAAATTGGATGACAATGATATTCAGACCAGACAGCAATTGAATTAAAATATAAAATAAAAACCGAGCAGTTTATAAAAGGTTCAAGATATTTCACCTTTATTCCCACAAACTCCTTGGATTTCATGCGTTGGAAGATATTCAGCCAAGAAAGGCCAACCAAACATCCAATTGATGAAGGTAATTTCTCAATGGACGTCCCTTGTAAAATAAGCGTTGACAAATTTTTCATTGGCCCTGAAAATTCTGGAATCTTTTTCAATTTTGAGCAAAAACTAAGATCCAAGATTTTAAGACATTTGAGATTTGCAATTGACGGGTGAATCTCAACCAAATTCTTACAACTTCCAAAATCCAACAACTCAAGATTCGGAATGCCACTAAAATCTGGGGTTGTGACCAAGTTTTCAGAGCCAAAAAGGTCCATTTTTTTCAAATAGGGCAAGTCCTGTACAATTCAGAAACAAGATATATAATTAGCACATTTTTATCTTATTTTCCAAAACTAATTTCTAAAATGGCATATGGTCACTACTACTCTTACTTTTCTTCCATCCCAAAGCCGAACAAGTTTGTTGTGACGCATCTCAAGTGCAATAAGGAAATTCGGTTGAAAACCTGATGGGAGAAATTTGGAAGGATATCGACTCCATTTGATAATTCTCAAGGAATTAGGAAGAAAATCGGGGGCTTGAAGAAATCATCATATTATCAAATTCAAGAAATTTCAGGTTAAACATCTTAGAGAAGGCTTCACAATTCCAATTTGTCTTTTTAACTGTCGCCCTTCGTAAGCTGATGCCTCTAATTTTCTCTGTTGCCAGTAATTAAGAATAGTAAAAGAAAAGTTAATTCCACATTTAAGTTTAATAATGTATTAAAGAGAAATCATATATCTTCCAAAACTATCTTTATATAACTTCTTCTCATACTATTTACGAATACATCAAAGATATCATTAATAAGTTTAATGCTGTGTTAAAGAGAAATCATAGATCTTCCAAAACTTAGTATCTTTTATATAACTTCTTACCGTATTGTCTATGAATACATGAGAGATATCATCATGATTGCACAATCGACTTCGTCTACCAGGCTCTTCAGGACACTCTCGATGAACAATTTCCCATGCCATTTCTTGTATCAAATCATGCATTTCAACATTCCCATTTGATATAGTTAAGAGTGATTTCTTAACGAGATCATTTATCCCAACACAACCATGTAGGCCACAGCCGTCTAGAATTTCAATTACTTTCTCCTTGCCCTTCGACTTATGAAAAAATGCAACATCAAGAAATATCTCCTTTTTCATCTCATCTAATCCATCGTAACTTATTTTGAGCAAATCAAAAATTTGTGAGTTAGGAATTTTCTGCAGCTTATCCAATTCACTTTTCCATTCATCTTGATCTCTTTTATACACTAAGCATCCCAAAAGTTTAAGAGCTAGTGGAAGGCCTCTGGCATAATTTACAAAACCCTTGGACAATTCCAAGAAACCTTCCTCAGGCTCATTTTTATAAAGGCGTTCCGACTAAAGAGCACAAGAGCATCATCATCACCTAACGCCTCTACCTCATATTGTATATGTATATCATGTTGATCTAGCAACCGTCTATCTCTAGTTGTAATAATGATTAAACTCCCCTTACCAAACCAATCCTTTTCACCAGTCAACTTTTCAAGTTGGCTTGATTCACTCACATCATCAAGAATGAGAAGAACCTTTTTATTATACAAGCAATTCTTAATGACAGAGGTTCCCCACTGTTCATCCCAACCTTGAGTAATTTGATCCTTCAAGATTGGGGAAAGAAGTTGTCTTTGTAGATCAACAAGATTTCCACGTTGAGAAACCTCTCTAACATTAGCAAGAAAGCTGCTAACTTCAAAATGGGTAGAAATGCTATCATAAACTAGCTGAGCAATGGTTGTTTTGCCAATTCCGCCCATCCCCCATATCCCCATAAAGCGAACACCATCCGTAGGCTGAGCTAAAAGCAAATCTACTTGCTCACGTATAAACTTCATTCCGACTAACTCTGTGGAACCCATTGAACAATCTTTTCAATAAGCTTTCTTTCGTACCTACAAGGAAGAAAAGTAAAACGATGATTAAGTTAAAAATATAAGCCATGGGTTTTGTTAAGACATATGGAGGAAACAGATTTGGGTAAATGATAAATGGCTTGCAATGGTCGTCTTGTCATGATGTAATCAACGTTTAAAACAATGGGTTGGCATGAAAAAGCCTCATCACTACACTAGTGAACTAAAAAGTTGCATATGCTTTAGTTAATGTTACCTGAACAAAACAGATATGGAAATGTAGACGAAGCAAGCCAACAACTTTAGCTTAGTGTTACCTCAACACCGAAAAAATTACAAAGCCAGAGAATTTGTAAGACAGCAAGCCAGCCAGACACTCACAAAATATACTTCTCAAGATCAGCCAAGAAACCAACAAGAAGAAACAAAGCTAGCATTAAATTTCATGGAAGTTATTTCTTTACCTTTGCTTTTCTCACCCTATTTAAAGAGAGTTCCCACAACTTTATCTCGAGAAGAAAATCCATTCTTTTTTTTCTTTTTCTTTTTTGGCTATATCTCACACCGCGAAATTTCATCCCAATTGGATTTCAGAAATTTAATTAATACACAAAATTGCCATGTCTGAGTCCAAAAGAAAATGTACAGTCCCGGTTACACGGTCAACAAGGGGGGCTAAGAGGTTTTTTCTTTTTTGGTTTTTTTTTTCTTTTGGGTAGCTTTTATTCTTCCACGTTTTTTGCTTTTTTGTGTCATTTCTCATTTCAGACGAGTCATTTGTCTTTTTTTTAATTTTAAATTTTATGAAAGAGGGAGGAAAAACCCCATAAAAGAAAGCAACATATGATTCTTTTGCTTTTCAATGAGTGCTTTCTTTTGTTTGGATCAAGCGAGTTATTTGGATGGTCGCTTTCAAGGAAATATGCAGGTAATTACTTGATATTTCCCTCACGATAATAACGAAATTTGGTTAAGGGGTCAAGGATTTTCTTTTTACATGTATTTTCATACTACTACAACTCATCAATGAAGGAAAAAAAAATTTATTTGCAATGAGAAAAAATAACTAATTAATTCTGAAAATTAATCGAGGAATTTTTTTGAGTACAAGCGCAACACAAAAATTTATATGTAATTAGAGTAATTTGAGCAAACAATAGACTCAAAATGGCTTTGCTTTCAAGATCTTGTCCTTTGCAAGCACATCGATATTTTAATTGAAGTTTATGCACACTAGTATTTTTAATGAAGGACTATATTCACACTGGGCGGTTGTTTGAGCAAGTTAGTGCATTTTATTTTATTTTATTATCACGTCAATTATTTAAGTGGTTGCATAATTTTCTTTTGGTCAAATTTAACTGATTTGAAAATTGGCTGCACACATTTTAAATAAAGCCAAAGGAAATGGATCTTTCCATGGAGAAGCCAAGAAATTTCCTATGTGAAATTGGGTCTATTCATTCACCGTCAGCCAACTTTGCCAAGCATTCTCCTAACAAAACCCGTAAAATAATAAATTGTCAAGAAGAAAAAAATTTGTTTATATGCAATTCCCAACCAACTTCCGCACACAAAAAGACAAAATAGCGGAAAAGAAAATAGCCCAGTGCTGATTAGAAAATAGGCTTGAGTGGAGTCATTCTATTATGAGGTCCTCAAGTGCATACCTATATTATTAGCCGTAGAATTAAATTGAACCGTCCAGAGTTGAAATTAAAAGAATAATGCCACAACCGCTTAGCACAGCCACACCCACCTTTTACTCAACAAACATTACCCGTGTCTTTTTCTTCAAGAAGTTAATTCTAGTTTTGTTCTCCGTTTTGCCCGACAGATTTGCTCATATGTCTGAGGGCTATGAAATAAGTATTCAGATCGAAGGATTTCAGATGCGTGGAAACTAAGACATTAGATGGTGGCAATTACTTGATCTTTTCATCACAATATATATGCCGTAAAATTTGGTTGAAGGCATCAAGGATTTTCCGTCTAGATCAATAAAGAGATAAATAAACAAAAACTTTTGTTTACAATGAGAAAAGAAACGAAAAATGTAATTAGAAAAAATTTAAAATTTGTAAAGCAATTTGTGCAGATAAGATAGTCAAAGGGTCTCGTCCTTTCCAAGCAAATATTTTAGACTAAAACTTTAGGCATCCATTATTGCATTGCATCCCTTTTTGTACTATATTTGAAAAAGAATGAACTACCGAAATGCCTCTTGAACTTGTACTTAATTATCAATTTATCCTCTAATATTTTTTTTAGTAAATTAAGGGCTCGAATTAAATTTTGTTATCAATTTCCCCTTACCATCTAAATCTTAACATTTCATCTAATTTGCCGTTAAATATGACGGTAAATTGGTCATTTTAAATGTTATATACAAATTATTTTAATAAACAAGGGGCCCACCCACTTCATATTTTTCCCTTTATTGTAATTAAAATACATATTACAGGGTGGGGGAGGTCGAACGGGAAAGGGAGAGAGACCCCGCCGGGGGGGGGGTGGGTGAAGGGGGAGGAAGAGATGGAGAAAAGGGACGGTGGCTTGTGGTGGTGGTCATGGGAGAGTGATGGAGAAGAAAATGGGTGGTTGCGGCGGTTATGGGTTCGTGGGGTGGGTCTGTGACAGGGGATGGGTGTGGGTCTGTGGGTTCTGGGTTTGTTGAGGGGTGGTAGCCATGGGGAATTGGATTAGGATGGGAAAGGGTGAATAGTGTGGGGGTAAAATAAAAATTGAACGGAGGTGGGGGAATTGGTTTGGACTGAAGGGTTGGTGGTCATGGGGGAATGGGGTGGAGAAGAAGACCGCAAGGGGGAGCGACTGTGATCTGTCTGTGATTGAGAAAATAAAACATGCACCATCACCCATCGAATTATTGGGTGAACATAATACAACAGAAAAAGTTCAAACTGAGTCCACATTTTCCTTTTCTTTTATAGGAATAGGAGGAGGCTCATGAGATTACAAACAACAAGCTAACAGCAGCAAAGCAACTACTTTTTTGTGAATTGAGAGTTGCTTTTTGTCCCAGACTCAAATCTGGTTCTGGTTCTTTGTTTCGATGGGTTTTGACTTGTTTTTTTTTTTTTTTTTTTTTTTTTTTTTTTTTTTAATTAATTAAATTTTTTTTTTATTATTTTTTTTTGACTTATTATTGGATGACATATTTTTGATTTAAACGAAAGGGGGAGAACTGATAATAAATTTAATTCGAGCCCTTAATTCGCTAAAAAAAAAGTCAATGAGTAAATTGATAATTAGGTACAAGTTAGGGGGACATTTCGGCAGTTTACCCTTTGGAAAATAGACCAAAGTTGGTTTATTTTTTAAATACTAAAAGTACATTGGTCCAAAGTCCACTTTCATTCTTTCAAAACCAACACAAAGGGCTTTTGTTTTGGTGTTTGGGCCATACTTGGTTTGAATTCACTTAAATGCCCATAACTCAATGTATTTCAACCTTGGCCCACACTAAAGTTAGAGAATGGGTAGTCGTTACCAAGTTGACCCACGTGACCTTTTGGAAATGGGTTTTCATCATTAAGAGTGACTTGATCGCCATCTCTCTCAGCAAGGAAGCAAGCTGGCTAATTGATGCCAAAGTCAAGAGGAGCCATCTTCCAACTCGTTTTCCATCTGCAAAAGGATAGCAAATCAAAGGAACATCCCATCAGATCATCAGATCGAGGCTACTACTTCTGGCGCTATGTTGCTTTGTGCTTTTCGGTGAAATATGTCCATGTTTGCACCAGAGAGATTTGTGAGGCTTCTTCTCTCTCGCTGCATTGGCGTGGATTATACATTTGGTTTTAGAGACGGACATAGAAGAGGGCGCACGAGACCGTAGCTCCATATTTGGCTGCAATTGAGTAATAACTGATGTGAGAGAGAGAGAGAGAGAGAGAGAGAGAGAGAGAGAGAGAGAGAGAGAGAGAGATACCCGGTGAGTAATAATCCAGTTTTGAGTTTTTTTACATGAATTTCACACCAAAGGGTAAATCAGGAAATCTGTATATTAAGTAAACTTTATAAAATAAAATAAATAAATAAATAAAACAAAAACTACATTCAATAAGGGTAAACTTGAAAAACAAAAACTATGCATTCATGACACGCATATAGAATTCGATAGAAACTTATTATTCTAATCATTTTAGTCTTAAATAGTAATTACTCATAAAGGTGACCAATTAAGCCATTAAAACACTGCAACTGATTCATGCTAAAAAATAATTAAGATGAACGAAATAGACCTTACCAATTAAGTAACTAACGTGGCTAGAGACCCCATGCGTTATTCTTATTGATTGAAGATCTCAAATTCTTCAAGAGACCAACTTCTCCAAATCAGAAACAAGTTTTACATTTATAGGATCATGAATTGATGGTGGTGATGGTGGATTTGCCGGCGGGGATTTAACATGATCGGCTTCATCACAGTAACCCTTGAGTACATCAGTTTCTTCTGCGGTAAACCCTAGCATGCCAAGTAAGGTAGGCCAACATTGATGCTCAATGGTCTGAACGACTTCACAGCAGCTGTGACCCAAGTAAGTCTCATCATTCAGAAGAAACATGACAACCTCACCAGAACATGCCTAGAGTTGAAACAAAGAGTCCCAACAGTGGGAAGATTCTTCACCCAAATTCAACCCGGCTGTGAGGTTCGGGTTCGACCGAATTAGGTTAGGATTCAAAGGTTGAGCACTTGTGGCTAAGAATGGCATAGTCAAGGCTAGAAGAGCTGTGAGAAGGAAGAGCTTGAAAGTTGTGTAAGCTGCCATTTTGATTTTGATTATTGGGGATGAGTAAGAGATTGATAGGAATGAAGGGTTTTATATAGATAGTGAGGTGATTGTGTTATAAAATGAAAAATAAAAAACGTTGCGTGCATTGGGTGGTGAAGAGGCTGCTGAGAATAAATCATAATGACTATGATCATGTGATTATTTAACGGCATGAGAAGTGGATGAGACTCAACTCATCAACTGATGATGCATATATTATTTATAACAGAATTTGTGGGAATTAAAATGATTAAACGTAATTCCCAACCAATGATATATCAGACAAATTAATGGATAGTTTCTTGTGTTTGTGATGGTTGGTTTGCTTGCTAGCTAGGGTAGGTTTTGTTTGCTAATGTCAAAAGGATCGCTATTCGTGCTCATACCCAAAAGATTGCACGAGTCCCCTAATTGGATGATTAAGACGTTTATGTTTGCTGTTTGCCTGCTCTTGTATCCTTCCACCTTTTGGGTTTTGAATACATCAAGCATTATGTTAAAATATATATATATATATATATATTTATGTTTGTTTTATATTTTAATTTCAATTTTCCATTGGATTTTTAATTATTGAAAAAATATGCTTACCTGTTTAGAGCTAGACAACGACAATTTATGATTGTGGGTTTGCTTTGGCACTATGCTTTTGCATGTCTGCCTGATTCGCTAGAGATTTTGGGATTTAGTTGGTGCCCTTCAACCTTTAGCCTTCAGTTGCTACCTTCTTTTTCGGTTTTGTAGAGAATGTGGTACCAACCTTCGAACCCAAGACCACTAGGAGTTAGTGCATGCACTTAACCACAAGGGCAAGTTGAAGGTCAGTCCTTCGGTTGCTACCTTCGGCTTCTACTGGACGAGAATTCTATAGTACGGGCCTTATCTAAGCCTCTTGGATGTTTGTTCGGCTCTGTTGTGCTTAATTGGGCTGTGTTTGTTGCTCGCTGAGTTTTTAGCGTGGTTTTTCTACATTGCGTGGTTTTTCTACCTTCGGCTTCTTACAATACATCTTAATGTTTTGTGATTTTGATACTCTATAGTGTATGTAGTAATGCTAATGTCAGTCTTCTTATAGCTTCGAAATTTCTCCTAATAACAATCAAAACAAAATGATAGCTCCAAAATGTTTTCCCTAGCGTGAAAATGTCGTTCTCTCCGCTTTTGTGAAAATTTGAGTACATTCTTATGACTGGATTGAATTCATCAATCATGTGGTACTTCTTAACTCCAATTCTCCAAATATTTTACAATGAAAAAGTTACTATAATTTTATTCAAGATACAACTAGCACTGCCAAATTCTACTCAACTTATTGGGATGTTAATGAACCTCTTATGAATTTCATTCTGTTGCATAAGTTGAAACTGAGAGATGCTAAATAAGAGAAGACTGCATAATTGAATAAGAGATTGCACAAACTATCAAAGATATATCAATGAAACAGACAAGGGAGGAGTTCTGACAAAGCAATTGATCGGTTTTAGATCAGATCAATGCCAATGTTTACACGTCTGATTGAGAATTCTTGTTGGCTTATTCCATCCTATACACATCAGAAAATAGCAGTTTAAATAGTCACATAAGTTGTGTCAATAAGAACCAGGTGGGTCCAATGAGCCTGTAGATTTTAAGGTGAAAATTTCATGCGAACCTGGCCAATAAGCACGCAAATACTTTCGATCATTTCGAGTTGCACATTAGCAGTGTGCCCAGTATCGGCCATGGCATCAGGAACCCAAATTTCAGTTGACTACAAGACACAATTGGCTGGCTTCAATAGAAGTAGTCTTGTAATTATGTACTTGAATGCAGAAACAAAAAAAAGTTAACAGTATGTCCTGTTTATTTGCATCATAAATCTTGCATATACATACTTTTGCAATGGAAAAAAAAAGGTAGCAAGATAAATTGTTCTCCTCTCCTACTTAATATAATTGAAACATGTTGGAAGACATATGATTGAAACAAACAAAACAAACAACCATTCACTCTATCTTAAGATAGATGAGATCATGGAAGACATATACTTGATTGCTGAAAGTAACTACTTAATGATTTGCAATATGTTAACAGATACTTTGCTCAAGTGCTAAATAATATGCAGCAACATGCCTGATTAATTAGTGCTCTACAGTAGTTAACAAAGAAATGTTCTTTCTCATATGCATAAAGCTCATGTTATCAACCAAGATGACAAATGTACATGAGAGAGAGAGAGAGAGAGAGAGAGAGAGAGAGAGAGAGAGAGCAGAGGAATTATCATCGAAGATATGAATCTAATGATAAATGTATGGCTAGAAAAGAAAATTCAGGGAGACAGATGGTGATGACTTACTAATAATATCCATTGTGAGAGCAGTGTTATTGGCCTTTAAAGTATTGAGGTGCAGATATTTGAGGAGGAGGAGTTTTTAATGAAGGTAGCAAAATTTTAGCTCCTCTTTTAAGAATAACAGTTTTTATTAAACTTTTCAACAATAGCGAAAAATAAGAGGGGGCAAGACCTAAGTAGCAAATCAAAAGTCCTATGCACCCCCTGCTGTTGTTGAAAATTTTCATAAAGTTGTTAAAAAGAGGGAGAAAGTCTTTACAAGTTGAGAGAAATTCATATATGCTCCTAAAACAAAATAAGGAATAGAGCCAAATAAAAAAACAATGGGAGAACCAAATGAAGAAACAATAGGTGAAAAACAAAACTTAGAGCAATATAGGCCAACAGAACGAAGCACAAGTAGCGGAACAAACAATAGTACGTCAAATCCAAAAAAAAAAATTGAAAACTAGAATAAGCAAAAGTAGCAACTCACATTGAAATACAGCAGCTGTGATGCCTCTTGCTTTGAAAGTAAGGATTCATAGGTGAGTCCCAATCACATCAATCTTTTTTCTTTTTCTAGGCCGAGCTTCGTCAACAACATCATTTAAGTCTGCCTCTTCGGAAAGAGCATAGGTATTGCAGAAGAGAGATTTTTTGTGAGAGCGGAACTTCTACTAGGACTAGCCTCCTCGTCATCGTGACGTTGTTGACCTTGTTCATCAGCTGATTTGGTAGGACAAGTAGTAGTGCTCTTGATGATGGATTTGTTCATCATGATCTGGTTGAGTTGTTCCACATCTTGCTCGTGCACCAAACGAAATCCACACTTCTTCACACTCTTGTGTCCCCATATTTTCTCTTTACAATATTGAGTTGTTAACAAAACCTTCATCTGATCGCATATCTTCTCAAATTGTTTACGAGATACATAAATTACCCAAAGGTGATCTGACACAACATCACCTATTTTAGATTTTTTTGAAGATACTCCGTGTGGCAGCATTCCTTGTGCGGAACAGCTAATATGAAAATAATGAAAATCAGAAAGATCAGCCTGAACTTCACACACAACACATAAAGCAATTCCCATCCATGTAGTACATGAATCCAGAGGTAGCTCCACAGTTAGGGAATCTCCCAAACTTTGATTACTGAACCACTCTGGAATTTTCCTTCCAGGAGTTAAAATTTCGAATTTGTAAAGAGGCCAGCATCATCACTATTGTATTATGTGATGTTGTAAGTCGGAAAAAGCATCTGTGTAGTATAAAATTCTGTTGTTGTAAACCGTATTTAGCATCGGAACTATTAAAACTACCGATGTTGTTGCATGTTTAGGCATTGGAGGTCAACAATTTTTTGGCACATGGGAGGCACTTTAGCATCAGTGTTCAGGACAAAACTGATGCGGTAGATATATAAAGGCAACGGATAATATCCGAAGCATATGACTATACAATAGGCATCGGTTCCCCATACATCGGTAGGAAGGGACCTTTCGCAACGGATATTATCCGTTGCTAAAGGTCAAATTCCACATAGTGCAAATAATCCAAAATTGTAGAGGAAAAAATATATGAAGATATAACTTTCAACCGAAAAGTTAATTAAACAAAAACATATACTGCACACCTTTTGCAATCTTTGAAGAAGCTTTAAGTTTTTTGCCCACATATTGAGGTCAACCTTTTAATCGGAACAACAAACTCGATGTCAATCTTAGCTAGGTTAAGAAGAAGAGGTAGCTCCCAATTTTTGAAGAGGAGATTTAATAATGATCTTGAATTCATAACCCAACTGTGGGGCTTGTTTATAAGAACCTTAAAAGAAAGAACAAGGAAGGGCTTGCATGAGCTAGCTAGTTTGTTGAATATATCTCTGCTTTATTAAAGGCAGAAAGGATTGTAGTTCACGCTGTCTTTTTCGTAACTCTAATATTTTCATTAGAGAGAGATGAGTTACTTCTCCAATTTGTTTGCAAGCTTTAAGGCTAAATTTGCTGAAGAGTCCTGCCTTCTTGAGGACCTTTTTTGCATCTGACACAGCCCTCTTTGGCCTTTCTTTTTTGCCTCTATGTATATTTTTTTTCTTACATAACCTATATAGAGGAGTATCCTTCAAGATGAAATCCTCATTACCCTTCAAGATGTATATGTAGGACTTTCTGGTATGTAGATGAATATGTTCTTCTTTTCTTAAATATTTCCATGATCATTATTGTAAGTTGTGAGCTTGTGAGAGCTTTATCTAAAATAAAAAATTTATACTTTCATCAATTTGGCAAATGTGACATAATTTGTAGGACTTTCTGGTATGTAGATGTATATGTACCTAATTAATTAATGAGAAACCATAGTCCCCAAGAAACTGCCATGCATGAGAGCCACCATTTGTAACATACAATAAATTTGGTTTCATGTTCTGAATATCAATATTTTGCATCATTGTTCCTTTGATTTGGAGCACATAAAACTTTGGTTGGTGTCTCGAAAATGAGAAGCATATATAATAGACATAAACTTCAATGACATAAACAAAGGTTCAAAGATGCAAGACTTGTTCAATTCTGTAGAGTTTTTGTTTTCTTCTTTGTAGTTATTTTCTTTTAGTTAAAGATTTAAAGAGGAAAAAAGATGGCACGGGGTTTGTACCTCAGTGGTTAAGAGTATTTAAAGTCTTAGATTTGATTCCCCTCTTCCCCAATATAAGATAAGAGAAATGACTCAAATGATAGCGGTGAAAGATGAACAGCTGAAGAAGAAATGAGTGAGAAAACAAAGAATTAAAACTTGAAATTGTTTTTAATTTTCCATTCTATGTATTTTCTCCCCTAACATAAGTGCTTAACCGACATTTAAACAAACATGCAGAGGGAAAGTAGCATTGAGCTGACATAACTAGATTAGGTCGTGAAATATGGGAATGGCTTTAGGGGGCGTCGATGTGCTTCACCAAGGTAGGTCAGCAGGCAGGCAAACCTGAAACCTGTTATTTGAAATTTGAGGGTAGAAGTTAGAACACCGCGGACAATTTTTGATTAAAAAGACATGGCGTCTCATAATTGAACACAAAATGCTGCGCTAGGACACACGTGGAGCCTTTAGCTATTGACATGTGGTACTGCAGTTTACAGGTTTAGAGAAGATATATGGGAGAAAGTCCCATGCACGTAAGGAAAGATTTCACAAGATACTCAACCTCTAAATGAGAGAGAGAGAGAGAGAGAGAGGAATAAACGTGGAGAGTTCAACATGTGATGGAGGGATCATGCATGTCTCATGCATTTGGTTTGGCAAATTGGCATTCTTCTCCCAAATATCCTTAATTAATGCGTAGAGCTAATAGCCTTTTTGTTATAAAAAGAAAAAAAAGAAAAAAAGAGGATAATAATGCATATATATGTATATGTAAGTGCGAAATGATGTGAGGGTCACACCCATCACACTGTAGTATCATTTATCCATATTATAACACGTGTATAATCTAAGTTCATGATATATTCATCATGTGTTATCCATTAATACTATAACACATATAACATCATGTGACGGTGTCACGTCACACTTCAAAATTTGTTATGCATTTGGTCTCCTACATGTTTTCCTCATTCGCTATAAAAATTAGGCTTTTTATCACATATTATCTTTGAGATTCATGAAACTATTACGTTGCGTTATTTCAACGGGGTCTAGCCCAGTAGAAAAGAGCTTTAACTTGCAGACCAGAGGTCTCAAGTTCAAATCTTCATAGCATCATAGTTGTATGTGTGTGAGAAATCCTCATGCCCTGTAGTTCTCTAAGAGTGATTGGTTCCCTGTCTCCACGGGTCATATCTTCTTCATCCGGACAAGCCATTGGAGGCACCTCGAGTCAAGAAAAACCTGCTATGATACCAACTGATGCAGCGAGATATAAGGGATAGGGAGATTGAATAATAACCCTACAAGTAACAATGTCGGAATCCACCAACAAACTGGAATCAACCATAAAAATTGAGTAAACCTCAAATATATTGATTGAAAATAAGATGAATAAACTTCAAATACAATGCCATGAGTTGGCTTAAATAGAAAATAAAAAAACCCTAAAACCGTAGGAAACCCTAGGTTCTAGAATATTCCTAAACTTAGCTAACTGGAAAATAATAAAAATCATATTAGGAAAATAATATCCTAATAGATAATTTATTCTTCAAAATATAAAATTAAACATTAAATTAAATACAAATCTTAACAAAATCATAATTGCTTCAAACTTCCTCAATCAATTAGAAAATCCCAATGATACGCCTTTCGTCCTACATCAATGAAACTATTAGGTTGCGTTATGCCAACGAGGTCTAGCACAATGGAAAAGGGCATTGACTTGCAGACCAGATGTCTTAGGTTAAAATCCCCACGGCATCATAATTGTGTGTGTGTAAGAGCATGCCCTGCAGTTTAGACTAGGGATGACAACAGGTTGGGTAGGGGCCATGTATGACAATACCATCGCCGTTCCCGCTCTCCATCCCCGCCCCTATCCCTAAACCCATCATCGTTAATAGATTTCGGGAAATCCTCGTCCCCGTCCCCGTTGGGGGACTATCCCCCATACCCACCTCGAATCCCCAATTTTTTTTTTAATAAAAAATATTTATCATACATTTTAACTAGGGGTGGCATTTTAAACCGAAAAACTGCAAAAACCAACCGACAATTTACCGCAATGAAACCGCAATCGCAGTAAACCGAACTGCATTTGCGGTATTAAGAACTGAACCGCATTTGCGGTTGCGGTTGCGGTATTTGATTTTCAAAACTTGCAGTTACTGCAAATTGCAAAGTATAGCCGCACAGATGATGAAGTTGAATTCTACAAGGAAATGGAACATATGACAACTTGTAAGTAATTAGTTTATTTATGCTAATGTTATTTATGCTTCTTCTTATAATAAAATGTACTAAACTATGCTGTTTTATTTGTAGATAACATTGATGCTCAAACAACACAACGAGGTTCTTCAAATCCACTCGCCACCAACACTTGAGTTCGTAACTTTAGTTTGTAACATTGGTGCATTGCATTTTCCTTTTAGTTTGTAACTTTAATTAACTTTGAATTGGATTTTTCTTTTTGGTTGTAACTTTAATTCATTTTGGTTTGCATTTTCCTTTTGGTTTGTAACTTTAAAGGATTTGGAATTGGAATGCTTGAGAAGTTTAACTTTAATTGGAATGTTTGGAATTGTAACTTTAATTTTCTTAGGTTGTGAATGCTTGAGAAGTTGAGGAGATTGTGAATTTACATATGCTTGAGAAATTGAGGTTGTGTATTTATTTATTTAGGTTGTGAATTTATATTTTTGTGAATGCTTGAGAACTTGCGGTTTTAAACCGCTAATTCGCTGTAAACCGCAAAACGCGGTCGGTTTGCGGTTTCAAAAATCATCAAACCGCAAATAGTCGGTAGGTTTGCGGTTTGAGTAAAAAATCGCAGTTACTGAACCGCAACCACCCCTAATTTTAACATTAAGTTTCATATTAAATTATCATTTAACACATCCAAATTAACTATAAAGTTCAACTCCACTATTTAAAGTCACATCAATATGAAATTCCAGAGAAGATTAGGAAGAATTAGGAGAGGAAGGTTAACTTAGGGTTAAACATAAATATTATAATTATATATTTATTTATTTAAATATAAACATATATATGTTTGGGTCGGGTTCGGGGATGGGGATGCCAATACCATCCCCTCCCCATACCCGACGGAGACCTGCCCTTGAGACAATCTAACTTTTGTTTTTAAAGTTTACCCTTATTAAATGTATTAATAAAACAAAAATATATTTAATTAATTAATTACACATAATAAATTAAGTCTCTCTGTCTTCCTCCTTCCCCGTCAAGTTCCTCCCACTTTAATCATCAACGGCCCTCTTCCCACCCCCCTACTCCACACCTAGTGCTGGATCTATTAAGGCGCAAAGAGGTGCAGCTGCACCTCCCCTTGACAGAAAAGCCTTTATAGGCGCTGCATCTTGCCCCTTTGGTGAGGTTGGGTGGTGCACTCAACTTGTTCGACGAATTGCCTCAACCAAAACCAAGGTTTTTTATTTATTTATTTATTTATATAAAACAAATAAAAATAAAAATAAAAAAATCCTAGCCAAAACGACGTTTTGGACCATAGTTAAAAAAATATAAATAAATAAAAATCAAGAAACTGGACTTGCACTGAACATAGGCTTTAACAAGCTCTGATATGGGCTTCTTAAAACATGATAAAAGGCTACATTGCACAACTCCTTGTTTATGTGGGATTGGGAGGATAAAGGATTAACACCAATTTTGAGCAACCGTGTTTTTTTAAGGAACAAACACCAATTGCACAACTCCAAAGTAAGTTTGATGCTCTTTTTTTTCCCTTCTTGAGCAAAGGCGAAATTTGTTTTTTTGTTTTAAATATTTTCTTTTTTCATTTTTTTTCTAATTTGGCTCTCTCTGTTGTATTCGTATGATTAGTAGCAAACTCAAGGATGAAGAAGTTGTGCGACTCACGAGTCGAGGTACAATCAATTATGATTTGCTTATTTAATTAATAATTTGATATTGATTTTCGTTAGATTAATTGATGATCTGATATTGATTTCTATATTAATTGATATACTATAGTCAAGTAGTCATAATCATAGCCTAAGACCCTTATTGTTTCAATTATAATGATATTTGGTTGTCAATATTTTTTTTTATTATAAAGTTTTTAGCCTATCAAAATTACACCTCTGCTAAAAAATTCCTGAGTCTGCTAGTGCCCACACCCACCAAGGCCAAGCCACCCCACTCGACCACACCCAAGCCACACACCCACCACAACCCACACCCAACTAACCCCACGAACAAACCCAGGCCTTATTCTCTGATCCAACTTGTCTCAGCCTCTTCTCTTCCGGCCAGACTATAATGAGGGGTAAGTTATAAGGGGTTCACTTTATAGTCATTGGATCAATCCAAGGGCTGGGGAGAATTGGGATAAAGTTGTGCAATCGGGTAGGTGAGGAACCCAAACCCGAATTTAATATCCAGCAATGAAGTTGGTCCCAAAAAAAAAAAAAAAAAAAAGAGAGCAAGTTCGAAGTTTGAACAGAAAAAACCCATTGATCTCAAACTCATAGCTGAGAGAAACCGCTAAGCTCTGAGAAACGGTTGAAGGCAACGGGCAACGACGGTTGAAGGCAAAGGTTAACGACGGTTGAACGCAACTCCACTATCTAAACCGTGAAAAAGTATTTATTTTGAGTGGAAGGAGCAAAGGCGTGGATTCTGAAACAGTGAAAAGACGAAGCAGTGGAAGGGGAAGGAGAGAAGCCGTATTCGTTGGAAGTGATAGGTTCCATTTGTGGAGCAAAGCCGCACAAAGACCCAACACAGACACCTTGCGATTGTTCAATAACCAGCATTTGGTGAGTAATTTATGGAATTTGAGTTTAGGGTTAGAGTAACTGTTTTCCCCAATTTGTACCATGAATGTTGTTAGATTTGGCATCTCTTCTTTGTGCTTCACTTGCATGTTAATTTTTGCTTGGGTATATGTTAAAAAACGAATGAATATAAAGTCAATAACATGTCAATAACATGTCAATAATGATATGAATAAGGTAATGGTGTTGAATTGGAGGAGGCCCTCAAAACCTTCCACATTTGAAGCAGTGCAGAGTGCAGATTATCTCTCTGGAGCTAGAATATATATAATTTTTGAAATAAATATTATTTCCGTTGTTACTAAATTTGCCTGTTAAAAATGAGAACATATAATAATAAACTCATGAATAAAAGTGCAAAGCATTTGAAAAAAGGTTGATCTATGACGATTATGGCTGACTGAAGAAAAAGCTAGAAAGAAAGAAGGATGTGGCAATGGCTTAGCGAGCAGATAGCAGAGCAAATGCTTTGCTTTGCTTCCTTCCACCATCTTTCTTATTTATTTATTTATTTTGTGTTGTGTATGAAATGACAATAATTGTCATGTGTGTGAAGTGCAGAACTTGCCTAGATTGCACTCACACTCACTCATGCATCAACCATTGATTGGAGTTTGGATCCATAAATAAAACACATGCTATTGCTTGTAATTCACAGAATCATTGCATTAACAGGTATTTGCACAAAATATGTCATATTGCTTTGATGATGTTAAAGCCTGTGATCAGTAATCCCTATGCGCATGTACTTTGTAAAATTTGTAATGTGCTGGTTGACTAGTTGTGTAAATACCAATGTGATTGTGCAAATACGTGGTAGTATATGTGTTCACGTTATTTCATCTTGTATTTCAGGAAATGGGATCCAACGTTGAGCTGGTATGGCCAGAGTCAGAGGCATATTCCTCACGGGTGAACAACTGCTCACATGCAAATTCATCCCTAGCTGTAATTCGAGCGAAGTTGAGTGCCGAACAATTAGAACAATTCAAGACATCATGCTTTGGCCATCTTCTGAATATAGATAAGATTCAGTTTAGCGGGCAGATTGTGCATGGGGTTGTGTTGCGTAGAGTAGCGGGGCAGGGTGTGACTTGGATGGACTGAGTTTCTTAATAGGGTGCGACGTTGCTCAGTTCACTCGTCAGGATTTCTGTTTGATCTCAGGGCTTTGTTTTGGGGAAGTGCCTGAAGTTTCCAGTGGAGAAAGTGATGAAATTAGACTTCAGAAAAGATATTTTATAGACGAAGGAATTACATGTAATGCTTTAGAAGAAGCATTTGTGAGGTGCACAGAGGAAGATGACGTCTACAAGCTAGCTCTTGTTTACTTTGTTGAGTTAGTGGTTTTGGGAAGGGACAAACATTTGAACATCAATCTAAATTACCTGACCCTTGTAGAGGACTTGGATGCGTTCAACAGGTTTCCATGGGGTTCGGTGTCGTTTGACAAAACCCAAGACAGTCTGTTTTCTGCACCAACAAAGTATGTGAAAAGCTTTGAAAATGAAGAGGGAAGAGGGAAGGGGAAATGTAAGGTAACCGGAACAAGCCGGAGAAATGAGAAGGGCAAGAAGGATAACCATGGTGAAGTGCAAAGGGGTGGCTGGAGTTTTAAAGGTTTCACGTATGCTTTCCAGGTACATGGTAATAATGTTCATGTCGTTATGTTTTGTTGACTTTAAAACTTAAATAATAACTTGTGTCCTGTGAATTGTGTAGATTTGGGTATATGAATTAATTCCTAGAATGGCGGACCTGAATTACTGCAAGGTTGTTGATCCGACAGCTCTCCCGCGTATTTTGCGATGGAGAACTACTACGTCTGTTCCCGAGATGAGAAAGTTGAACAATTATTTTTTCCAGAGCAAAGAGGTTTGGTTTGCAGCCCTTGGAACTATTTATAAGATTCAATGAAATTATGAAGTAGAATGATTGCATATGACTCTTGTCTGTTTTCTGAAACAGTCAGTTCAGTTGCGGGCGCTATGTCCAAGTGAAGAGGAAATGAGACAACCATATTGGAGTTGGCCACAGGGTCGCCCTGCTGTTGTCTCGGCAGAGTCAATTCCTTCTTCATGTGCTGACCTTGATGAGTTGAACAAGGCGGTAAGCTTGTTGAGGTCCGAGTTGTTTCAAGTAAAGCGGGAAAAGGACGTCCTTGAGTTAAAGGTCATACGGATGGAAAAAAATTTGGGCCACTGTTTAGGTCCTCATTTTGAGCAGGAAGTGAGAAGGGACATAGCTTTACTGAAAGAGAGGACGAATCGTTGTGTCGTGTCACATCTATTTAAGGGATATGAGGAAGTGGATGGCATGCAATGGGATGAAGGGCCAAGTAATAGAAATGAAGGAGAGGAAAATGAAGAGGAGGACATTGAAGGGGGTGAAGGGCCAAATAACAGAAATGAGGGAGAGGACAAGGAAGAGGAGGGGATTGAAAGGGGTGAAGGGGCAAGTAAGACAAATGAGGGAGAGGAAAAGGAAGAGGAGGGGATTGAAGGGGGTGAAGTGCCAAGTAAGAGAAATGAGGGAGAGGAAAAGGAAGAGGAGGGGATTGAAGGAGGTGAAGTGCAAAGAAAACCAAGGGAGGTAGAGGAAGCTCAAAGGAAAAGAAGTGAGGGAGAGCAAGTGAAAATAAAAAGCAGCAAAGGAGAGGAAGCGCAAAGAAAGAGCATTGAGGGAGAGGAAGAACTGCAAAGAAAAAGCAGTGAGGGAGAGGATCCGAAAAAAAAAAAAGGAAGGGCAAGGAAGTGAAAAGACAGAGAAGTGAGGAAAAGGAAGTGCAAAGAAACCAATGTGAGGAAGAGGATGATGAAGTTATGTTGGTTGGCGATGACATTGGCGAGAGCACGGAGGGGACAAAGGTTGAGGTTACTCTCGGGGACATTGATTTGGATCAACCTACAGCTGTGTTATCTCAGTTGAACGTTTGGTTGAATGATGAAGGTCAAGGTGTGGAACGAGGGGTCCAATTACGGAAGAGGAAGAGGATTATTCCTATGTGGAAGATCGTTGAAGCTAGTGAAGTGGTTCAAAAAAATTTGCCAAAGACAACCGGACTTCGGACGTTAGACCCAATGAAGGCGATTCCGCATGATGATATGGTGAAATTGCTGAAACTTTGTTCGGAATGGCGCCATAACCCAAAGTAAGTCCTTTGTTTTTTGAGATAGAAGGCATGAGTGTATATATTTTTTAATTGTTGTGTTCTAAAACTTTTTTATATTCATAGTTTGGTGATGCAATTTGGCAACGTGGAAGCTGAGATTGAATTCTTCGCTTCCCTCGTCAAAGCTGACGGTTGGCTGAAAGGAGATGTAAGTTTAATTGATTAATGGGGAAAAAAAAAAAAAAAAAAAAAAAAAAAAAAAAAAAAAAAAAAAAAAAAAAAAAAAAAAAAAAAAAAAAAAAAAAAAAAAAAAAAAAAAAAAAAAAAAAAAAAAAAAAAAAAAAAAAAAAAAAAAAAAAAAAAAAAAAAAAAAAAAAAAAAAAAAAAAAAAAAAAAAAAAAAAAAAAAAAAAAAAAAAAAAAAAAAAAAAAAAAAAAAAAAAAAAAAAAAAAAAAAAAAAAAAAAAAAAAAAAAAAAAAAAAAAAAAAAAAAAAAAAAAAAAAAAAAAAAAAAAAAAAAAAAAAAAAAAAAAAAAAAAAAAAAAAAAAAAAAAAAAAAAAAAAAAAAAAAAAAAAAAAAAAAAAAAAAAAAAAAAAAAAAAAAAAAAAAAAAAAAAAAATGAATTCTTCGCTTCCCTCGCAAAGCTGACGGGTGCAGTGAAAGGAGATGTATTGAATTGATTATGCATGTGTTTAGAATGTGCATATTATGAGCTTGACAGAAAACATGTGCAAGCACATTGATTTTTGGGCGTTCGCATCGCTGAAGCGACAAACAGTTGAGGAATAAAATATCGGATTTGACAACGACACGATGTATTTTTTATAGGTAATGTGATGCAAGGATGCATAGGACCTGAAATTGTTATTGTCCTAATATTGATTTTGTGTTTTTTCCTATCGTTCTTTAGTTTTCACACTCCAGTCAGATCTAGTTCATTTTTCCAATCTATTAGGATTTTCTAAGTTTCCCCTATTTTCTAGGAATAGGATTTCTGTCATTACAACCGGGGGTTTTTACTTCTATCGCTCTCAGGTTTAGCGCTTGATATTCCCCTCTGTAGTGCTTTCATTGTGAATTGAATATTGATTAAAAGTCAGCTTAAAACCGCGCCCTGATTTCTGCCTGCCGTCTCCCATCGGGTTCGTCCCGTCAAACGTTTCTGTAGCTGTGAGGTCTTATATTGCTCTAATTGTTAAAACTACAACCACAAGGGCGCTACATCAGGTATCGCATAGGCCTCTGACCAGATGCTAGGATATAATTACAAAGTATCCATACATTGCGTTGTGAGAGGTTGGTGTAGCCTTGATTGTTTTTCTATTGCAACAGAATCACTCCAACTGGCTTTTGCGGAGAATAAGAATCAGGACAAACGAGCCAAGATTGTGGTGGTAATCTAGACCTGTTTATTGAAAACGTTTAAGGCAGGTGGGTCGGCTTGGGGATTAGGGATGGGCAGTAGACTACGTATAAGGTGTATGTACCTTTTGTATTGCTTGCAAATAGAAGGCTTGGGGTGGCTCCTGAGAGTTGAAATCCGTGATTTAAATGTGAGCAAACGTCTAACGATTCATGTGATCCAAGTCATCTCCAGATCACAGCTTAAGAAGACGCTCGCTCGGCCCCTACACATGTCGATTACGATTCCAAATCCTTCTGCCACCCTCTTGAACTTATTATGACGAGGTGTGGTCTACAGGACACGAGTGCACCCACGATTGGCTGGTGTCCATGGCCCTCAGCGGGTGGTTTAGTTCCACACAGGCTAAGCGTGAGCACAACTCTTTATTTAACTTATTATTATCTTTAATTTTTGTTGCAAGTATTTTAGAATGTCATTAGTTGAATCTATGATCGAGTTTCATTGTGTTGCTTCTAGGAGGCGATTGTGGTCTGTTCGTGTCAGTCATATTTGAGCTTTTGAGTGCTGAGATTTCCATTAGCGCCATATTGCACCCGCCCAACCAATACTTGGAGCATGCCTTTTTTTTTCGTTGAATTCCTGCAAGATTTGCAACAACTGGGAGAGGCTTACATGCCATGCTATCGTTTGAACTTTGGTTTTTGCACTGAGATGAACAATAGGTTGATGTTTGGGATGTCAAATTCAAAGTCTGATGCACAATAGAGACCCATGGGTCCCCGGTTGTCGAATTCCCCCCTCATGCCTCCTGAATTTCTTCTTCGTTTTTCGCGATCTTAGTGTATTTGTGTACAGTAAATTTAGATTTAAAAGTTACTTAGGAAAATAACTTAGCCACCAATAGTGGCAATTTTTAGCGGATGCCCATCTTTGCATTTTGATTTAGTGTGATTATACGCTTTACTGTTTTATTCGCATATGTGCGAAAATGTATATGGAGCTGTTTGCGGAGCATTAGAAAAAACATGAAGACTCTGAATGGAAATTCTGAGGGTTGGGAGAAAAAATGGATCTGTAAAAATCTATTCATAGGGCATCAATAGTGATAGGCAGTGCTTTTTTGAAGTTAACACAGTCCATTCCTAATAAATGTGCCTATGGTGTAAAGTTTTTTTGATGTAAATGAAACAAATCGGGTTGTAATATTGGCCTAACTCCTTCCGAAGTTACCTAAACCTCAACCCAAATCTGAATTGGGTTTGAGGACGCATTATGTGAATTGGGATTTGAAGAATGCATATTCACATGGGCTATGGCCTTTTTAAGTGTATACATCATCGCAAAGTGTATGTCACATTTATCCAAGCCCCATTCCAAATATCATCCAAATCTTTAAGCCGTTCACCAGCCTTGACTTAATCGCAATGGGGTGAAGTCTTAAGTAGTAATTCTGTAGGGGATAGGCTGCTATGGCTCGCGTCCAATCTGTTATTCAACCATCCCCTCCTTATGAAACACATGAAAAAGTCCCCAGGTGCAATGGCTCTACAAAACTCTATGGGTTCCGCATGGCCCCTTGGGTTTGCATCCTTCTCTAAACTGTTTTTTTTTTTTTTTTTTTTAAGTAATGGGTTGTTTGATTTGATTTTAGTTGTATTGTTTGGGGCCAACGAGTAACAGAACGAATGTATATGTGCTTGCTCTACATTGCTGTCTGGTTGGGTCTTATTGCTTGTCTATTGGTGATATCTAATTTCTTGTGTCTGGATTGATTTTGTATGCTACGAAGGAAATCATATACTTACACAGGCAGCCAGACTAGCTATATACACACAATAGTATGATATACCGTATACTAGACATGCCTATCACGTCCTCCCTTACATCACCATACGGAATCGCTTGAATAGGGAATTCGAACGTCGTTAGTTCCTTTGACTAAAACAAAGAATCGGGACCGTGGTCTTTAAATAATGGAGTCCTACTTTGCCCCTCCCAATTAACATGCCAATATTGGAGCATTACATGGCAAACTATACCTGCGTAGTAAACCTCAATCAACTTTCAATAAATCCTCAATCTCGGTTCAATACATGCGAAATACATGCAGTTACAATCATGAAACCTTCACGAAACATGTAAACAATCAATAAACCTCCATAAACACTCAATATCGGAGTAATACCATGCGAACTACTGCAGTTAATAAACCTTCAATAACATCATATCATGCGCGATTTACAGCAGTAACCAATCAATAAACAATTTATATACACTGAATAATTTAATGCATGCAATCTAAAAAAAAAAGGTATTGTCCTATTATTGCATGTATGGCCCTAGTGTCATTTTAGGTCTTCGTATGACTTTATTTTGTGTAAAGTACGTTAGGAAAGTTTTTACTGGGGTTTTCTGACAATTAAAGCTTTTGTTTCAACCATAATTTAACTCAAGCTAATCCACCTATTTGAATACACCAAAATTACCAATTGGGTTTGAAAAGCATTGGTGGTTGCTTGCAACATGTGTTTTTGTGGAAATTTACAATCCTTGAACCGTTGCACTTAAATTCAGTCATTAAACCATATAATATGCAATTGCTACAAACCTAGAACCGAATACCAAGTCCCTTAATGGACTTTCAGCTATAGCACGTTGGTAGCTCATACGGGTCAGCTTGCTGATTCTGCTTCAGCGCTCATGGTTACATCATCCTCGATTCCTTGCAATTGGTGCTCCCTATTGAGCATCTATATGCAAATCTTCGTCCAAGTTAACACCTAGGATTTTTTTTTTTTTTTCAGCCCGACATACATATTCTGCAAATGAGAACTTACTAGACGGTTAGACACTTCTCAAAGTGCTTCCTCGATTTATCTGTTTTGAACCTGAAGCACCATTGCACGCTCACCATACATACACCTCTTTAAGTTTGAGCGGGATGAAGAACGAAGACATTTGAAACTCTTATCACTTGTACTCTCTCTCACATCAGACCCGCTCTCCTACCTATTTCGGACAAGTCATATGCTTCTCAGTCTATACCCCTTCACGGGAGTCTAATCATAACCATGAACTTTCTCACTCAGCTCGCGTCTCATAGCTCGCCCAAATCGACTTATTTATCATTCTTTTGCTGTGTGTGGGTAATTGGTCCGAATCTGGAACTGTAGGCCGTCAATTGTGACACATTTTCCCTCCGAGCATAAGCGTATCAGTTCACTACCAATTACATCTACAATTTGAGTGGACACTATTTTTAAATATAGTTTTGCTTTATTTTATTAGAGACACTAGTTGGAAAGGAATCCTCTTTATTTCGGGGGTAGTGTGGGTGGGCAACTACAAAAGTATCTGTGGAACGTATCGATCCACGAGTCATAATACCACCATTTTACTCAGAATTAAATGGCGGAAAGCCACCACATGCTAGGAAATGGTCTAAGTACTTTTTGGACGGTCCTCCTGTCCCGCTGGCATTTTGATGACGTTTCTCCCTTCGCCTGTCTTATTTTGGTGGTTTATTCAGTTATCTTTATAAAAGGGTACACTTGGTACAAACCCCAAGGAACACCTGTTCAAAACATGCAACCATAAGGCTAAAACAGACCCCAACCCCCGTATAGTCTCATTTTCCCCTCTTGCTCCTCATAATCGTTCCCATTCCAAAATATTTCATGAATCCGAAACATTACACTAACAGTCAGGAAAGAGAAGAAGCATCTCATCTGGATGTGCCTCAACCTTCCTCCCGGAATTAGCTTGGTTTAAAGTGATGTTAACGTGGCAACCCACTCCTCGGAAGATCTCTTTTGTATGGCATGTGTGTGCCATTGCTCAATACGTTGGCAAACACTCCACAAGTGTGGAACACAATTTCAATGGAAAAGTACCAAGACCATCCTAACTGGTACTATGCCTCAACGCAGGTTCGGCATTTCGTGGACCAATGCAGGGCTTGCCAGAAACCCTGAGGCGATATTTAGAGAAGCGTTCGACATGTTTTTCAGGCAGGGTAATGTGAAGCATTGTCTGGGATGCGCGTTGCAGCCACGGCAGGCCATATGGAAGCGTCATATCTAGTTGGACTACTTGGCATGTCCGGAAATGGTCAGTCAAAGAGGATGCATTAAATTCTTGTGTTCTTTGAATCAACGTAACAACATTGATATGAAAGGAACCAGGGATGCTTTGAGACGATTAAGCGAAATTTCTCTGTTGGAAGACATATCGTAGATATGTTTCACTATGGGAAGATTAAGTTCAATCAGTGCAGCGCTTGTAACAACAACGACTGGTGTTTTGTTATTCCAGGCTGGGCCTAGTGAAGAAAAGATCAATCCTGCCTTCTGGACTTGTTGCAATCGATGCAAATGGCACCGTGAGAGTTTTTTGGTTCAAGGTGATGCGTGTCTATGTTGTGCCAGGGAATCCATACCCTTATAATTAGTTGGAGTATGTTTCTACGGTTTTTATGCGTGTCTATGTTCTACAAATGTTGTTTTCTATTTCATGTTTTAATCTATTTTGTCTGGTGTTTGTGCTGTCCTAACCCGTTTTATATATAAATGTATAATATTTGCTATATAGTGGAATTATTACTGACATAATTGACGGCTAAGAATGACATTTTACTGACACATATATTTTGCACAAAGCAATCTTAATATTTGGTAAACGAAAACGCATGCATGAAGTGAGTATGTGTCTTTTCACCGGTTCTTGGGAATGACATTTTCCCACTTAGCATATCCCAAATGATTGGGTTACACTTTCTTAAGCAAAACTTGAACAGTGAAAGACTTTGAATATTATTTCCTGATGTTGTAGAATGGATGGCTTGTATATTTCCATTTTATGTTTGAAAACATCCCTTAAACCTAAAAAAGAAAAAACATTAACAATTGAAGAAGAGAGAGAAACTGATTAGCACCAGAAATGGTCTATTCACACGAAAATAAAAATAAAATAAAAATTTGGAGTAAATATAATTAACAAATGTACAAGCTAACAAGTAATATAATAATAATAAAAATAATTTTGGATAAATAATAATAAAATACTAATGTAGCGTAACCATGAAACAGGGAATTCAGGAGGAAGATGAAGTCTCAATGAGGTCGTAGCAATTTTCGGAACATTATTGTGATTTTTGTGTATTTAGTTATGAATTTTCTAAGAAAAAGTCATAAAATAATAATTTAGGGTAAAAGGTAAGGATGTGGCCATGTTGACTGACGCACACTGTCAAGGGGTGAAAGGTGAGGGGCTGAGATCGCGCCAGGTGTCCATTTGGCAATTATTTTGGCTTTTTTAGTGCAAAAATCTTTGAAAAAATGCAATAAATAGTAGAAAAATCCTAAAAATGCCCCGAAAAATACTCCGGCCTCCGTGTGACGTTATAAAACGAGGGGAACCCATAAATCATCCATTTCGCATTAAAAATTCAAAAATGATTTACATAACTCACTTTCCTCTTAACCCTAAGTATATATGTGTTAACTTTAACTTCAATAACCTACTTCAACAAGCATCTCCCGTTAATGTTCGGAATGTTTTTTAAAATGCGTAACAACTAATCGGGGAATTCAGCAAGGGAGATGGAGTCTCAATGAGGTCGTAGCAATTTTCGGATCATTTTTCTGATTTTTGTGTATTTAGTTATGAATTTTCTAAGAAAAAGTCATAAATAATAATTTAGGGTAAAAGGTAAGGATGTGGCCATGTTGATGACGCACACTTGTCAAGGGGTGAAAGGTGAGGGGCTGAGATCGCGCCAGGTGTCCATTTGGCAATTATTTTGGCTTTTTTAGTGCAAAAATCTTTGAAAAAATGCAATAAATAGTAGAAAAATCCTAAAAAATGCCCCGAAAAATACTCCGGCCTCCGTGTGACGTTATAAAAACGAGGGGAACCCATAAATCATCCATTTCGCAATTAAAAATTCAAAAATGATTTACATAACTCACTTTCCTCTTAACCCTAAGTATATATGTTGTTAACTTTAACAAGTATATTTCCTTAATATTCGTTATATAATTTGTACTAATACAAGAATTAGTTTCCTTTCATATATAAGGATGTAAAATTATCTGTTTTGGTTATAATAATGTACATATATAATAAATGCACCACTACTTCGAAGCCATCATTGGAACTGCGCATGCGCCTAGAGCTTTGAAGACGTCAGAGATAGTCAATAAGTTGTCCATATGCACCTGCACCTAGAGTTTTCAACACGTCGGCGGTATTCAATAAGTTGTCCTTATGACGCCGCATTGGGAATCAGTAATATATTTTCTATCATGTCCAATCGCATAAACATATAATATAAAGAAATAAAGCAATAGTAGGAGATGAACCAGTACAAAAAACAATATATAACTGGTACAAAATAATGCCATAACCTTGTCACAAAACCAGTCACACATGCTTTTCCATAAACCTTACCCTAACATATAATACATAAAGGCAACATTGCATATGATGCAACCATGTCCAAATCTGATACGTGATCACAAAAAAATGGACATGGCAGCAACATATGACTGAAGTAGATGGACACTTTGCATCGTGTTATCGTAATTAAAGACATAAAAATATGAAGGTTGAAATCTTCTATAGTAGTAAGCATCAAAATAGGTTTGAAGCAGAGTTTAACGAAAATTCCAGTTCCTCTGATTTGCCTCTACTCAAACACGATAACCAAAATGGTTACTTCCCTTGTTGAGTATATTTGTTAACGTCGGAAACGGTAATAGATGACCAATCAAACCCGGGTACGACGAGTTTTGCATAGAACCGGAAGTAGTCGAATCCAGCTTGCATCACACGCTTCTTTGACTCCTTTGCATTAGATGAGTTCTTGTATTTTTGAACAGCTACACTCCGAAGTCGTTTGTGTCTACGCTTCATGCGCTGCAACTTCGCCCTATCCAGATGGGCCTGCCTTTTGTCATCTTCAATTTGGCCTTCAACAAATTCCAAACGTACCCTTGCCCTTTGGATTTCATCACCAAGTTGAAGATGCCTCTCCTTCCAGAAAGCAAGAACTCTTTCAGACTCAAAACTTCCAACAAAATGGTCATTCTGTCTAGGAAAGTGACATTGCTTGTCTGGTGACTCACTTGCGTTTCGAAGGCGGTCTTTGTTTGGAGGGGGTGTTATTACGCTCACATCAAACTTGGTTAGTAAATCCATTCAATGGGGGGAGAGAGTTTCTGTGGAGGAGAGAGTTTCAGTAGATGGAGACAGATTCGGTGGAGGAGTGAGTTTTTTGTGGAGGGAGAATTTTTATGAAGGGGGTGAGTAATACCAATAAAAAAAGGGGTTCCCGCCAAAAAAAATTTGGTTGACAATGTATAAATGAAAAAAGGTCTCATACAATCTAAGTTTAATCCTAACTAGTTTGTTTAGTTTGGTTGGGTTCACTAACTAGAGTCACTTCCATTGAGTTTCTTTCAACCACTAACAGTGGTGTAAGGAGAGTGTGAGGTTGACATGCTTGAAAAGCAAAACCTGACACCTCTTTTTTAAAATTGAAATAAAGTAGATGTTGACTACACGCAAGCTTTGGTATGTTGGTCTATAAAGCTATGTTCCATTTCTTAAACGAAATTGCATCTGCAATCCTCATCCTCTAAAACAAATAGGATTATTCAAGTATGTCAACCTCTTCAGGCGCCAACAACACAATCGAAGATGAAAAATTGGAGTCGCAGGTTCCGTTTCCACGTTGTACTCGCCGACCCCTTCCATTTTCAACATCATGGGGAGTGAGGGGGACTCCGATGATCCATTAGAGGCAATAGATGCAGTCAGTACCAAGCTGGATTATAATTCCAGACTGATCAATTCATGGCACGAGAAATGTGTTGAAGACGAGGCCATTTTGGCTGATCTTAACATTAGAGTGAACAAAGCGTTCTCCCAAAAGAACAAGTACTTGAAGCTGAGTCATAAAAGGAAGCTGAAAGCTGAGGAGTTGGATGCAGTAATGAATGATGAAATTAAAGGTTGTTTGATGAACCATATGCGATGCGAAGAGCACCACAGTGAACTGGAGTTGGCATTCAACAAGGATTCGAAAAATTCCGAGCATTCGCGGCAACTACTCATACAAGTTATAATTGGGACTATGTGTCCCCTGATGCTGTGAGAGAGATACTAGACGATGACGATGGTGGTGACATGAATGAGCATAAGCACGTCAAAGCTGCTCGGAAGAAGCGACCGATACGACTAAGTGATTGCGGCTACAGCTGTTCTGTTGGTGGGGGGTGATCGTGGTATTGCACAAATTAGAACTATATTCCCTTAATGTCATTATCTAATATAAAATAATACAAATATCAGTTTCATTTGCTTCATATATAATTATTGGGACTATGTCTTGCAAGTCATCATGTGTTCCTTCTGTCTAACATTATATTTGCAACTATGGAAATATTATTCAATAAGCAGTCAATATCACAGCACGTTGGTAATCAGTAAAGCCCCATTATCATGACACGTGAGTCATAAGTAAAATGCCATGTGCTATACATTGTGTAGTGAATGGTTTATGGTTTATGTATATATAATAAAATTCCAAATATTGCTGAATATTTATTTTGTCTAAATCACTGGGGACATGAGTGACCATAAGCACGCGAGACCTGCTAAGAAGAAGCTGACCAATACGACCTAGTGATTGTGGGCTACCGTTGTTCAGTTTATTGGGGAGATTGTGGTATTGCTAAGAGGGAGCACATAAAATGCTTTGCAATCAAATTTTCTTTTGTGTGTGGAATTATGAGTAGTTCAAATGTTAGTGTACCCTTTAATATTACCCAACCATTCGAAATGTGATTAGCTGCAATGTACTTTTTACACGTTGCTTTCTAATCTTTCTGTTCCAACAAAGTGCTTCAAGTATCCTTCAGCTACGAATGTTTGCAAAATCGTGCACCTAATAACCAGTCCAGCTCAGATCTTAATCACCAGTAAAACACTAGAACATAACATTCGCAAAAAGTGGGTGCTGCTACAAATGATGCGTGCTGCTGGAAATCATTACTGGTAATGGAAACAATAGCTGGCTGCTGGAAATGCTGCATTAGCCTGTCATATAATCAATGAATCTCTATTAAAACATAATTCACCATAAACTACCCATTTTACAAGGTAAAAGTCATTGCTTCTTCACATAAATCAAAATTTGATGCTTTATCTAATGTCTATGAAAATTTCTAAATAGGGAGAAGACGTAAAATTAACATGTGTCCAAATTTCATGCAAGAATGAAACCAAGCAAATTTTCATTTCAATTATCAATGGACATAGTAAGAGCTCATCGGTGGACATGAACAAAAAATAATAATAATAAAACTGCATCTAGAAAACTTCACCTGATCATTAGTCTTCATAATAACCGGGCTTCGTATAATAGAAACCTAAATCATTGAGTTGGTCCGTGCATCCTGTAAAATTCGTCAAATAATGGGTCACTAAGATCTATTGGAGTTGATTCGTCATTGTTCGACGGTGATGTCCTGCATAAAACATCAAACAGAAGCACATAAGAACTTTACCTATTCAAATTTTAGGTCTTATTATAAATAGTGTTAACATCTTACGGTGTGTTCAAATTTCTTGGGCATTGTCTTCTATCATGACCAATGTGTCCACACTCCCGACAGTGTCTAATCCCTCGCTTCATTGCCTTTTCCTTTGCTCCCGTTACTCGTTTCGACCCTCCATTGCACCTTACTCTCTTAGGGTCTTTCATATATTGTGTTTGAGAGCTGGACCCTCCAACTTCGTTATTACTTGGTCCATCCTTCAACAACTTCAACTTCACCTGCAAACTTTTTAGAGTCTCTGACAGTAGCTCCCATCCTTCTTCACACATTAATGCATCCTCAACCACATCTGAAGCAAGTCGGGACATTGTACTCCGCTTTATTAAAAGACCAGGATCTGCAGAGTCTTTAATTTTGTTGCCATTTGCATCTGACACCAATCCAAATTTCGCAGTTTTCTTCCACCTCTTCAAATGTATTTATCGGGCATATATTCAATCTGGTCCCTTCTGAACAATGCTAGGATGTGCTTGCAAATAATTCCAACAAATTCAAATCTTTTGCAGCTACACGATGCGTGGTCAGAATCTTTGACATATACGACTTCTGCCACTCTTGTTTCCCAATTTTTCCTTTCGCTCACATTAAAGACAACTTTAGAAGCATCCTCTGTTTTCAGCTCTAGGAAACATGCTGTACTTTGTATTAGTTCTTGCTCAAACTTTTGAAACATTGTCCTTGGGTACAAGGTAGCCATTTGTTTGTTCATTGGCATCGGTAGAATACATTGAGCCACTTCAAATGCATCTACGTGATCAGCAACTAACTCTTTTTGACGTTGATGAGAAAGTGCCCTCTCAAATCTTATTATGAAATCCATCAACGAATTTCTCCTTGATATGTATTGCTTGAAGAAACCATGAGAACATTCCGCTCTTTGGCTGCTTGACATTCCAGCGGCAAAAAAGTGTCGTGCGTAGGCTGGAACCCAAGATTCCTTTAAATCAAACATTGAACTTAGCCATGGATGGTCAGTCAAACCAGCCTTTGTAACCACAATATTCCATTTTGCATCAAACTCATCCTTATTGTCAATATCCCATATGGCTTTCTGGAATTCACCCCAATACTCCTTATAAGCAGAATGTGGTAACTTAACAGAGAACTTTGATGTGATGTGCCATATGCAAAGTCGATGAAATGTAGTCGGGAAGGCTATTGAAATCGCTCTGCTCATTGCCGCATCTTGATCTGTGATGATCGTTTTAGGTTCGCCACCTGGCATGGCTTTCTTAAACTCCTCAAACATCCAAATAAACGACTCAGTCGTTTCCTTGCTAAAAAATGCGCATGCTAGGACAATTGTTTGACCATGGTTATTAACTCCCAACATTGGTGCAAATGTCAAGTCGTATCTATTCGTGTTGAATGTGGTATCGAATACAACAACATCTCCATAAAACCCGTACCCCGTCTAGAAGTTGCATCTGCCCAAAAACATCGACTAAACCTGTTATCGCCATCTCCCTCAATCTTGAAATAAAAAGCCTCATTTTTTTTCTGTTCAGCCATAAAATACTCGGTCACTAGTTCAACATCGTGGTTCCTCAGCTTCCCATTCACACTACATTCAAGATTGTACATATCCTTTTTGATAAAACCGATTTTATCCATTCCTCCGGATTGCACCTCGAAAATACTTACCTTCTGATTAATGGGAATATTAACCGAACCCAACTGTTTTGTAAGTACTTTTGTAGAATCTGAAATACGACGGTGTGATCTCAGTAAATGCATTCTTCCTGAGGGTGTCATCTTATGATTGTGTCCCTCTGCAAAAAGAGAGATGGTATACTTCTTGCTCCCATGTGTCTTCACAACCACATTTTAGCTTTGCAATTGCATCTACTTATTCCCCGCTGTCTTTTTCTCTCCCGAGTTTCATCATTCCGGTATGCACCTTGTTTGCAACATACAAATTCTTTCTCAGAATCTCTTTCTTATTTTTCCCCCCAAAAGCTGGAATGAAGTCGAATACCAAAGCCAGCCAAGAATGCATATCTATTATAGAAATTATAAACGAGGTCAAGCGAGTCGAACTTCATCCCAACTGCTGGTGTTTCCTTATTTCTTACTTCAGGAATGTAAACCCTCCCATTAGCTGTTACAGAGTCATCACTCCCTGAGCCCCCAGACATTTTATCCACGTATATTATTGATTACTTCTATATTACTGCATAGCAAATGTTAATTCATTAATCAATCATTACTGCATCACAACTTATCAATGCATTCCACTTACACAAAACATTGCCCAAATTGACACAATACACACATAGCCTAGCTTGTTGGATTCTGATTACACAAAACACAAGCAAAATTTAATAATAGTTACGTCATCTCTTGTGAAATAATCTGGAAAAAATAACATTAGAACCAACATGTTCAACTAAGAACTCAAATGTAATTCAAACCAGCAATTACAGAACTTCACCAAATATCCTCTCCAAATGCTTACTTCTAATGCCATTAAGCCTAAGTTTAGGATCTTTTACCTACATTTCATAATTTTCCAATCCCCCTCCAAACAAAAATAATCAACTAAGTATATTGAATATTCATAAGGAAATGACGCATTATTGATAGCAGAGCAAATGACGCATTATTGATGCCACAAATGACAAATTTCTCACCCTCACAAAAAACAAATCAAACCCAGCAAAATCAATCCAGCAAGAGTGAACTTACCTCTCAAAGTCAAATGACGCATTATTGATAGCAGAGCAAATGACGCATTATTGATGCCACAAATGACAAATTTCTCACCCTCACAAAAAACAAATCAAACCCAACAAAATCAATCCAGCAAGAGTGAACTTACCTCTCAAAGTCAATCGGGAGCTCCGAACTCAGTCAGCTTCAAAGAATGTGGTGGACATTAAAGAGGATTCTTTCGTAGTGGAGACTCCATCTCTACCAAAATCCAAGAACAACTGCAGCAGCACGAAAAAGAGATATGCTACTTTGCTTTCATCTGGAATCTCTTCTGCTGAACGAAAAAGAGAAGGGGTTTTCACTTCAATCATAGAATCAAAACAGGGCAATAGCTAGGTAAAAGCCATTAATCATCATACCGAGGATACCATAAATCGCAGGCCTCCCAAGGAGCTGATGACAATGGAGCGATTATAGAGTTTGGGAGCTTTGGATCTTTCTAATTGTGGATTTGCATTACATTAAAAAAGAGAGGATTGTGTTCTTGAGTTTTTCACAGAGAGGGAAAAATCTTCAGCTAAAGTTGGGTTTCCAAACGGGTCAGATTTCAACCCGGTTCTACATGCACCCTCTTTTAAAAACTCACCGTTGGATGAAATCCAACGGCTCTTACATACCCCTAAAAAAAAACCCTTATAACTTTCCACTCACTATAGAAGCACTCCTTCTCTTCTCCAACTGTCTCAGCCCAAACCCACCCCATTCTTGGTGAAGGCATGGCGCGGCCCCATTTTATTTCTATTACTACTGAAATAAATTCCAATATATATCAAAGGAATGTATCAGAAAATATTTTACAATTGAAACCCAATTTTTCTCTTCCGAATAATCTTTGGAATTTGGTTGAAAAAAATAGTCATTTTGCCGTGCCACACTCACCCAATAGCAGTTGATTTATTTGGTGCAGTTTGATTTTATGATATGAAATTTAGGATTTGGGTTTGTTTTTTTCTTCATTATATGGCATGGCAGCCTTGGCTGCATGAGATGGGTGTCTCTGTTTTATTTTTTCTACATGGGTTTTGGGGTGGTGGGGTGGGGGCTTGATGCGGAAGAGGAAGACGAAGGGAGAAAGACTTAGTTTTATTTTCAAATTTTAAATAATTGTATTTTAATTATGGAAGAAGGCGATGACATTACCCTTTTTCTTATTGAGAAAAAAAATTATATTCAATAAGGGTAAACTTGAAAAACAAAAACTATGCATTCATGATAGGCCATATAGAATTCGATAGAAACTGATTATTCTAATCATTTAGTCTTAAATAGTAATACACTCATAAAGGTAAGACCAATTAAGCCATTAACATAATTAAGATGAACAAAATAGACCCTACTAATTAAGTAACTAGCGTGGCTAGAGAGCCCATGCGTTATTCTTATTGATTGAAGATCTCAAAATTCTTCAAGGAACCAACTTCTCCAAATTAGGAACAACTTTTACATTTATAGGATCATGAATTGATGGTGGTGATGGTGGATTTGCTGGCGGGGATTTAACATGATTGGCTTCATCGCAGTAACCCTTGAGTACATCATTCTCTTTCGCGATAAACCCTAGCGTGCCAAGTAAGGCAAGCCAACACTAATGCTCAATGGTCTGAATGGCTTCACAGCAGCTGTGACCCAAGTAAGCCTCACCATTCAGAAAAAAAACATGACAACCTCACCAGAACATGCCTAGAGTTGGAACAAAGAGTCCCAAACAGTTGGAAGATTCTTCACCCAAATTCAACCTGGCTACGAGGTTCGAGTTCAACTGAATTAGGTTAGGATTCAAAGGTTGAGCACTTGTGGCTAAGAATGGCATAGTCAAGGCTAGAAGAGTTGTGAGAAGGAAGAGCTTGAAAGTTGTGTAAGCTGCCATTTGATTTTGGGTTATTGTGGATGAGTAAGAGATTGATACGAATGAAGGGTTTTATATAGATGGTGAGGTGATTGTGTTATAAATGAAAAATAAAAAACGTTACGTGCATTGGGTGGTGAAGAGGCTGCTGAGGATAACTCATAATGACTATGATCATGTGATTATTTAACGGCAAGAGAAGTGGATGAGACTCAACTCATCAACTGATGATGCATATATTATTTATAACAGAATTTGTGGGAATTAAAATGATTAAACGTAATTCCCAACCAATGATATATCAGACAAATTAATGGATAGTTTCTTGTGTTTGTGATGGTTTGCTTGCTAGCTAGTGTAGGTTTTCTTTGCTGATGTCAAAAGGATCGACCATTCATTTGCTTACTGGAAGTTGGTTATTGTATTGAATGAGACCCCTAATTGCATGATTTTTATGTTTGCTTTATATTTTAATTTCAATTTTCCATTGGATTTTTAACTATTGAAAAAATATATGCTGACCTGTTTAGAGCTAGACAATAACAATTTATGATTGTGGGTTTGCTTCGGCATTGTGCTTTTGCATGTCTGCCCGATTCGCTAGAGATTTTGGGCTTAGTTGGTGCCCTTCGGCCTTCGGTTGCTATCTTCGATGTTTGTTTGGCTATGTTCTGCTTAATTGGGCTGTGTTTGTTGCTTGCTGAGTTTTCGGCCTGGCTTTTCTACATTGGGTTTCCCTTTTTATTTGGGATTCCCTTGTTATTCCTTTTTGAACAATATCTCTATAGCTTACAATACATCTTAATGTTTTGTGATTTTGATACTCTAGCATATGTAGTAATGTCAGTCTTCTTATAGCTCCGAAACTTCTCCTAATAACAATCAAAAGAAAATGAAAGTAACTACTTAAGATAGATGAGATCATGGAAGACATATACTTGATTGCTGAAAGTAACTACTTAATGATTTGCAGTATGTTAACAGATACTTTGCTCAAGTGCTAAATAATATGCAGCAACATGAGTTAATTAACCTGATTAATTAGTGCTCTGCAGTAGTTAACAAAGAAATGTTCTTTCTCAGATGCATAAAGCTCATGTTATCAACCAAGATGACAAATGTACATGAGAGAGAGAGAGAGCAGAGGAATTATCATTGAAGATATGAATCTAATGATAAATGCATGGCTACAAAATAAAATGCAGGGAGACAGATGGTGGTGACTTACTAATAATATCCATTGTGAGAGCAGTGTTATTGGCCTTTAAAGGATTGAGGTGCAGATATTTGAGGAGGAGGAGTTTTTAACGAAGGTAGCAAAATTTTAGCTCCTCTTTTAAGAATAACAGTTTTTATTAAACTTTTCAACAATATAAGAGGGGGCAAGACCTAAGTAGCAAATCAAAAGTCCTATGCACCCCCTGCTGTAGTTGAAAATTTTCATAAAGTTGTTAAAAAGAGGGAGAAAATCTTTACAAGTTGAGAGAAATTCAGATATGCTCCTAAAACAAAACAAGGAATAGAGTCAAATAAAAAAACAATGGGAGAACGAAAAGAAGGAGCAATATAAGGCCAAAAGAATGAAGCACAAGCAGTGGAACAAACAATAGTACGTCAAATCCAAAAAAATTGAAAACTAGAATCAGCAAAAGCAGCAACTCACATTAAAATGCAGCAGCTGTGATGCCTCTTGCTTTGAAAGTGAGGAATCATAGCTCAGTCCCAATCACATCGATCTTTTTTCTTTTTCTGGGCCGAGCTTCATCAACAACATCATTTAAGTCTGCCTCTTCGGAAACAGCATAGGTATTGCAGAAGAGAGATTTTTGGTGAGACCTACCACTTCCACTAGGACTAGCCTCCTCGTCATCGTGGCGTTGTTGACCTTGTGCATCAGCTGATTTGGTAGGACAAGTAGTAGTGCTCTTGATGATGGATTTGTTCATCATGATCTGGTTGAGTTGTTCCTCATCTTGCTTGTGCACCAAACAAAACCCACACTTCTTCACACAAGATTTTTTTTCTACCCACACTTCTTCATGAGAATAAGTTGTGAACAAAACCTTTATTGACGGCATATCTTCCCAAATTCTTTACGAGATACATAAATTACACAAAGGTGATCTGACACAAAATCGCCTATTTTAAAATATTTTGAAGATACTCCACGTGGCACCATTCCCAAAGGTGAGGAACAACTAATTCGAAAATAATGCAAATCAGAAAGATCATCCTGAACTTCAAACACAGCACATAAAGCAATTCCTATCCACGTGGTACATGAATCCAGAGGTAGCTTCACAGTTAGGGAATCTCCCAAACTTTGATAACTGAACCACTCTGGAATTTTCCTTCCAGACTAGGAGTTACAATTTCGAATTTGTGGTTTCGGAAATCAAGCCTAGGGATTAATCCCTGTACCATATGCATAGATATATATGAGGTTAGTAAGTTGTAATTATTATTACAGCAAACAACAAAAGAGAGACAGACAGGTAGAGAGAGAGAGAGAGAACCTGAAGGTATCGCTGTAGCATTTTCAGTATTATACTATCGCAGCCTTCATTGTCAACCAATAAAAGGCAATTGGCACAATTAAACGTATGATAACCTTTTTTGTTATCCACTAATGAGCAATTTGACGAAAGATGTGGTAACTTTTTAAGGAAGTGCAATCGGCTATGTTTATATCCGCTAATGAGATAAGCTTAGAGAGATCTGGCAATTGTTCAAGACTTTGGCACCCATTCACCCAAAATAACTTAAGCTTAGAAAGACATCCAATGCTTGCAGGAAGGCTAACAAAATTATTTCCACTAAGCCATAATCCTTCTAAAGAGGACAAGCAACCAATATCACTGGGAAGATCCCCTTCACAAACACCACAATTACTCAGATCCAATGCTTCAAAGATAATAAACCATCAAGTGAAGCCAACACAAAAGCCTTTCTTCCTTTTAAGCGGGGGAGGCCCCACCAAAACCTTGATTTATTAGGCTGTGATCCACTTCTTCCACCCAAAGATAGATTTCTCAATTTTTTCAAACCAACAATGGAGTGTGGCAGCTGTCTTATAGAAGTTTCATTCAATCGAAGCTCTGTAAGAGACTCCATCTCCCCTATGTTCTCTGGGAGTTTGTCAATTTTTGAGCATCCAGTGGCATCCAGTTCTTCAAGAGACTTCAAATTACAAATTTCACTAGGAAGATTCGTGAGATTTTTGCAATCCATTAGAAACAGACCAGTAAGGCCAACCAAACATCCTATTGATGAAGGTAATTTCTCAATGGACGTATCATTTAAACGAAGCACTGACAAATTTTTCATTTGCCCTGAAAATTCTGGAATATTTTTCAATTTTGAGCAAAAAACAAGAGACAACCTTTTAAGACATTTGAGGTCTGCAATTGACGGGTGAATCTCAACCAAATTCTTACAAAATAGAAAATCCAACTCCTCAAGATTCGGAATGCCACTGAAATCTGGGGTTGTGGTCAAGTTTTCAGAGCTCGAAAGGTCCATTTTTTTCAAGTTTGGCAAGTCCTGTACAATTCATAACAATGGTAGAATAGATAATTATAGCTCAGATCAAAATATTTAAAATAAAATAAAAAAAAACTAATTTCTAGAATGGCATATGGTCACTACTCTTACCTTTCTTCCATCCCAAAGCCGTACAAGTTTGCTATGAGGCATCTCAAGTGCAAAAAGGAACTTCGGTTGAAAACTTGATGGGAGAACTTTGAAAGGATACCAACTCCATTTGATAATTCTCAAGGAATTAGGAAGAATTTTGGGGCATGAAGAAATGATCACATTGTCAAATTCGAGAAATTTCAGCTTAAGCATCTTAGAGAAGGCTTCACAATCCCAATTTGCCTTTTCAAGTCTCGCCATGCGTAAGGCAATGCCTTTAATTTTGTTTGTTGCCTGTAATTAAGAATAGTAAAGGAAAAGTTAATTGCACATTTAAGTCAAATTTCAAGATAAGAATAAATCATATTTCTTTCAAAACTTGGTATTTTCTACATAATTCTTACCGTATTATTTATGAATACATGAGAGATATCATCACGATTGCACAATCGACTTCGTCTACCAGGCTCTTCAGAACACTCCCGACGAACAATTTCCAATGCCATTTCTTGTATCAAATCATGCATCTCAACACTGTTGTTTGAAATATCAATAGTTAAAAGTGATTTTTGAACGAGAGAATGTATCCCAATATGACCACATAGGCCACAACTGTCTAGTATTTCAATTACATGCTCCTTCAACATCCCCTTATGAAAAAATGCAACATCAAGAAATATATCCTTGTTCATGTCATCCAGTCCATCGTAACTTATTTTGAGCAAATCAATAATTTCTGACTTAGGAATTTTCCGCAACTTATCCAATTCGCTTTTCCATTCGTACTGATCTCTCTTATACACTAAGCATCCCAAAAGTTTAAGAGCTAGTGGAAGCCCTCTTGCATAATTTACAAAACCCCTTGACAATTCCAAATAACCTTCCTCCGGCTCATTTTTTTGAAGGCGTTCCGACTGAAGAGCTCAAGAGCATCATCATCACCTAACCCCTCTACCTTACATGATATATCATGATTAACTAGCAACCGTGTATCTCTAGTTGTAATAATGATTATACTCCCCTTACCAAACCAATCCTTTTCACCAGCCAATTTTTCAAGTTGGCTTGATTCACTCACATCATCAAGAATGAGAAGAACCTTTTTATTATACAAGCAATTCTTAATGATAGAGGTTCCCCACTGTTCATCCCAAACTTGAGTAATTTGATCCTTTAAGATTGGAGAAAGAAGTTGTCTTTGTAGATCAACAAGATTACCACGTTGAGAAACCTCTCTAACATTAGCAAGAAAGCTGCTAACTTCAAAATGGGTAGAAATGCTATCATAAACTAGCTGAGCAATGGTTGTTTTGCCAATTCCGCCCATCCCCCATATCCCTATAAAGCGAACATCATCCTTAGGATGAGCTAATAGCCAATCTATTTGCTGACGTATGAACTTCATTCCCACTAACTCTGTGGAATCCAACAATTTGAATCTGTGATGCACTTTCTCCCACACCCATTGAACAATATTTTCAATAAGCCTTCTTTCACACCTACAAGGAGGAAAAGTAAAACATCATGAAGTCTAGAATATAACAAGATATGAAGTTACATCAATGGCTTACGAAAAAACTTACTCATTCTTTGAATCAAACCCAGATAAATTGGCCACTTCAATTAAAGCAGCTCTCCAGCTCTTCACCCTTTCTATGTCTTCCCTAAACCTTTCCTCATGCTCAGCGAACGCACACGCAAAACTACCTGTTTGTTTTCGTAGGTCGGAAGGATCCACATGATAAAACACTGGCAGAACGGTGCTCTTGGATTTCATGCATTGGAGAATCTTTGTAAGTTCATCCAAGCACCAGGAAGAAGACGCATAATTCGGCGAGAGAACAACGATTGCAAGCCTTGATTCTTCGATTGCCTGAAGAGCTCTGAAGAAATATGTGTCCCTCTTTCAAGCTTAGGATCATCCTTGAATGTTTCAATGCCCCTGAGCTGCAATTCGTGGTATAAATGGGATACAAAGCTAAGTCGAGTGTCCTCACCCCTGAAACTCAAAAACACATCGTGGTTCGGTTGAGGAGCAGACTGATGAGGTGAAGGAAGAAAGGCAGAGTCTCTTTGGGTGCTCAATGCCATTAGGCAATCTGCTGCTGCTGAAAACACTCAATGAAAATAAGCCTTTTGCTAACTAAATAGAAAGATGATGAGAAACGGCAAAAAAGAAAAGGATTAAAATTAAACCTGAGGAGAAATAAGAAAGATGAGGAAACAAGTTTCAGAGCAAAGAAAAGGAAACAACAAGAGAGAAACAGAGAGAACTGGGGGAAATTATACATGTTTTGTATTTCAACCGAGGGAAACAGAGGAATTCAACATATAAACATTAGCAGGAACAAAAATAAATTTAAAACAAAAATTTAATGCCATCTAAAACAATGCAGAAATTAATGTTTTACTTGAACAAAACAGAAATGTGGACGAAGCAAGCCAACAAGTTTAGCTTAGTGTTACCTCAACACCGAAAAATTTACAGAGCCAGAGAATTTGTAAGACCAGCAAGCCAACCAGAACCTCACAAAATATACAACTTCTCAAGATCAGCCAAGAAACCGACAAGAAGAAACAAAGCTAGCAGCCTCAGAAAAGAGAGAGACTTGGAAACCGTGTAGTGGTGAGAATTGTTAACCTCTCCTACCTAGACCAATAATTCAAAAGATAAGAAAAATCTTATCTTGCACAGAGTGCGTGGTTAACAAAAGATATTACCGCAGAGAGACAAAAATACCACATCTATAAAACAACTGTGTTGGCATTGAAAAGCCTCATCACTACAGCAGTGAACTAGAAACCGCATATGCTACTTATTAATTAATGTTACCTGAGCAAAGCAAATATGGTAATGTAGACGAAGCAAGCCAACCAAAACCCACAAAAAATACTTCTCAAGATCAGCCAAGAAATTAACAAGAACAAGCAAAAAGCTAACAGCCTCAGAAAAGAGGAGATATAAGTAGTGGCCAGAGAGAGAGAGAGAGAGAGAGAGAGAGAGAAGGTTGAAACCGTGTACTTACAGTAAGCACACGCTTTCTCTTGTCAGTTATCTCCAACGTCTCCAATGGGAGTCTAAAAGTCTTGGGTCAATGAGTGATTTCATTTGCTTTTCAATGAAGAGGCCAATTATTTGATCCCAAAAAAAAAAATATATATATATATACAGGGAGCTTCCATTGAGGGATCCATCAAATAAGCTTATTTGAGGGACACCCCTTGTAGGCCCCACTTGGGATTGTATTTCACTAATTCAAACCGCCTATTTTGTAGATACTCATTCAAAGATCATCTCTACAAAAATCATTTGAATCCAATATTATTTGACCACTAAATTGAGTTATTGAAATTTTAATACTTTCTTGAAGCACCGTGTTCATTGATTTTGTAAGACACAATTGGACGTCGAAACGGTTTTCGATTTGTCTAATTTTTGTAAGGATGATCTATGAATGAAGACCTAAAAAATAAATGGTTTGGATCATTGGGAAAAAAATTGTAGGATACCCTAAAGGGTGTCCCTCAAATAAAATTATTTGAGGGATCCCTCAATAGAAGGGGACTGATATATATATATATATATATATATATACAGTTTGCTTTTGATCCGTCTAGAAGTCATCAAGAGCGAAAAATGTAATTAGAAAAAATTTAAAAGTTGTAAAGCAATTTCAAGGAGGCTTTGCTTAATCAAGGGTCTCGTCTTTGCAAACAAATATTTTAGACTAAGACTTAGGCATCCATGGCATCACTTAATACGCAAATGTATCATATTTCATTTTTATTTTATTTTAAATTTTATGAGTAGTGTTTTTAATTATATTGGTTTGGCCTCCATCTCTCCTTTTCATAACTACATCCACATTGCATGTGTAGTTTTTCTAACACCAATAACATCACAAATTATAAGTGATGACATAATGGCCAATTAAAAGCTAATAGAGGTTAGAATTGAATATAGCAAGACCAAACAAAACCTTACTAATTATTATTTATTAAAATAGCAAGACATGCGTTCATGAATCTTACACTGAAACAAAACAAAATACAAAAAACAATTCTCGAGGAACCAACTTTCCAAATGAGGAGCAACTGTTTTGTTAATTAATATGTTAGTATTGATTTTGTGATTGGCATTTCCTAGAGACAAATTAGATTAAGTATAGATGGTAAATTAGTTGTGATGGTGGCTGTCTAAATTCCAAGATATGCTCTGAAGGCTCATATGTCAATCAACGATCACTAAGGTAAATTCTTCATTCAATCATGCATTTTGATTGTGGTATTTCAAGCATTATTTCATACTCATAATCTTATTAACATTTTGATTAAGAAGAATTTTTATTTTAAGAAAGATTAAATTTCTTTCCTGTTCTGAACATTAAAAAGTCTTCTTTGATTGGAAATCAATTAGTCTGATTCTGGCAAATTAATCTGTTGATTAGGAACTAATTGATCTTGTTTCCAGTTTTGAAAACCTTTATAAAAAGCAAGGCTTGGTTTTCATTCGATCACAACTTTCAACGACTAGAGTATTTCTTGAGTTTTCATATACACAAAAGAAAGCTGTTGTGCTTTATTTTCTAGAAGGATAAATCATCAAGAGTAAGATTATCTTGGTGATTTATCTTTGTATTCATATTGCATTCATTTGCATGTTCGGTGACTCATACGGTTCAGAGCACCAAGATCATTGTGGCGGTTTTTCTCCGGTGAGCTTGAATCGATGGTGACCAATATCGGATAGGATTCAACATAAGGAGAGTTGGAAGAACTCCGGCGAGCTTGAAGCAATTGTGACTAGTATTGCGTTCAACATAAAGAGTGTCAAAAGATCATCCCGCGAGAAGTTGAGTTACGGAGAAGTTGGTACGTTGTCTAGAGTGTCTAGAACAAGTTTGTATACTTCTTGTAATCATTGTTCTATAGTGGATTTGCCTTGGACTATCAGGTCCCGTGGATTTTCCCCATAGGTGGGGTTTTACCATGTAAAATGACTTATGTGTTTTTATCTGTTTTTACATTGTGTACTGTAGAGGATTGATACGATGTATCAATCCCTTTGGCGTATTTTTATATATTATTGTATTACTCTTGACTATTCAAAACGCATACTTCACTCTATTAGTGTTTTAAGCCATCCTATAGGTATTTTCAAATAGATTTATCAGCAGCGGATGGTGATGGTGGTGTCGAGGGAGAGGATTGAATATGACCGACTTCATCACAATTAGAGGTGTCAAACGGCCTTGCCGGCAGAGAGATAGAGGGAGAGAAGGTTGAAACCATGTAGTTTCAGTAAGCACACAGCTTCTCTGGTCTTCAATGGGAGTCCAAGTCTTCTTGGGTCAATGAGTAATTTCTTTTGCTTTTCAGTCAAGAGGAAGGAGGGCATCATTTCATTTCAGACAAGTTCTGCTCATAGACCAATTATAGGGGCCCCCACGTCATGCCAATTATTTGAATGGTCGGTTTCTTGGTAAAACATTGTTGAGATTTTTTATATTTTTTTAATTTTTGATGAACACAGTGGTGAGATTTAATAGAAGGACATATCAAGGCAATTACTTGATCTTTTCCTCAAGATAAATATGGAGTAAAAGAGAACAATCGATCAAATTATGGATTTTTCCTTTCTCTACAGTGTTTACTTATGATCCATCTAGAACTCATTAATAAAGAGAAGAAAAATAACTTTTGTTTACGATGAGAAAAGAAACGAAAAATGTAATTAGAAAAAATTTAAAAATTCTAAAGCAATTTGTCAAAGAGGCATCCATTGTTGCATCCCTTAATACACAAATGTATCACAAATTCTACGACCATGTTTTGTGTTACATACATATATGAAAGTTCCAGTCTCTTAAGATTTCCATTTTAATTTGTATGGCTGGTGTTTTTAATTATATTGCTTTGGCCTTCATCTCTCTTTTTCATAACTACATACATATTGCATGTGTCATTTTTCAAACACCAACATCACCAAACAAAGCCTTACTAATTATTAATTTATTAAAATAGCAAACATGCATACATAATTTTTTATAATCTTACCTAAAAAAACAAATTCTTCAAGGAACCAACTTCTACATACCAAAACTGTTCTATTAATTAATAGGTTTATCAATAGCATGTAGTGATGGTGTTGACAGAGGGAATTGAATATGATGGGCTTCATCACAATAACCCTTGAGTACATCAGTCTCCTCGGTTGTAAACTCTAGCATGCCAAGCAAGGCAGGCCAACACTGATGCTCAATGATTCGAATGGCTTCGCAACAACCATCCCCTAAGTAAGTCTCACCATTCAGAAAAAACATGACAACCTCACCAGAACATGCCTGGAGCTGAAACAAAGAGTCCTAGCAATTTGATGATTCTTCGTCCAAATTCAACTTGGCTTCGAGGTTCTCGTTCGATCCAATTGGGTTATAGTTCAAAAAGCGAGCACTAGTGGTGGCTATGAATAGTGGCATGGTCGTCGACAAAGCAAGAATAGTGAGAAGGAAGAAGTTGGAAGCTGCCATTTTCACTTTGGATGATTGAGAGATCGATGTGATGTGTGAGGAAGGGAGAATCCAAGGATTTATATATAGAGGCCACAACAAGAGGAATTAATATCACTCATGCATGTGTTATTACAAAATTAGTGGGCAATTAAGACTTAAACAACTAATTAATACTAATGAACCGTTGAGATGTTCATATCAAAAAGTAAATTAATTAGTTTCAAGAAGACAAATAATAACCAAAATCCTATATTGTCGATACATATTGTATTTGTATATAGCTTCAAAGGTGCCATAACAAATTAAATAAGCTTGCTATTGGATTTTAATGATAAGTTTTGTTGCTTAATGCTTATGTTAACGTTCCTGAAAACCTAAGATGGCAATTAATGCGTCCAATGAGATACCATTACAATTTACTAATTAATTAGCTTTCTTTGTATCCCAATTGGATTTCAGACATTTAATTAATACACAACATTGTCCCATGTCTGAGTCAAAAAGAAAAATAATGTTACGAGTGCTGTAATTTTTATGCGAGTAAAAAGAAAATGTTTTTATTCTTGCTTCTTCTCCGCTTGATTAAATTCGTTCGTTTTGAGTAAAAAAACAAGATTTAGAAAACAGCAAAATATATATTGCAGCATATACATTATTTTTGCAATGGAAAAGAAATTTAGACATGAGAATTATTATCCTCTCGTACCTAATAGAAAAGATAAAAAGAAATTCTCTGTTCTAATCATTTGAATTACTTATTGGACACACTGCCGCTTTGAATATTTGATTGCTGAATGTAACTGCTTGATGATTTGCAGTATGTTAACAATGGAAGTCCAAGTCCTGGGTCAATGAGTGATTTCTTTTGAAGAGGAAGGAGGGCATCATTTCATTTTCGGACAAGTTCTTTTGCTTTTCAATCAGTACATTTTATTTTATTTTATCGTCACGTCAATTATTTGAGTGATTGCATAATTTTCATTTGGTCAAGTTTAACTCTACACGTATACATACTGATTTGAAAATTGGCTGCACACATTTCAAATAAAGTCAAAGCAAATGGATCTTTCCATGGAGAAGCCAAGAAATTTCCTATGTGAAATTGGGTCTATTCATTAACCGTCAGCCAACTCTATCCTCGAACAAAGCCCATAAAATAATAATTGTCAAGAAGAAATTTTTTTGTTTATATGCAATTCCAAACCAACTTCCGCACACTAAAAGACAAAATAGTGGAAAAGTAAATGAAGAAGCAGAAAGGCAGATCCATATTAGGGTTGGAGTGGGCTCCAGCCCAGTGCCAACTATAAAATAGGCTTGAGTGGAGTCGCTCTGTTATGAAGACCGCCATATATGGTCCTCAAGTGCATACCTGTATTATTAGTCATAGAATTAAATTGAACCGTCCAGATTTGAAATTAAAAGAATAATGCCACAACCGCTTTAGCACAGCGTCACCCACCTTTTACTCAACAAACATTACCCATGTCTTTTTCTTCAAGGAGTTAATTTTAGTTTTGTTCTCCGTTTTGCTCGATAGATCTGCTCATATGTCTGAGGGGGCCATGTGTTTATACCCAAAATGAACAGCCAATAAAAACAAGACATGTGGGCAAAATCAAGCATGGTCATGGTTGCCTTTGGCACCTAGCCTACCGATCCGTCAATTAGGGCAACACCCTTCCCTGGGACACATGGCATGCTTACAATCGACGTCCACAATCCCACATCGAAATTCTAAACACAATGCACACCTCCCAAGGTCTATAAAAGAGAGCAACAGTCCCAAAATAGAGGTAATCAGAACTTACGGCATACAAACCTATTGATATGTCAGTTAACATTTTCTATATCCGAATTTACTTAAGCATCGAAGAGCCTTCGGCTGGTACCACACCGGTGCCCCAAGCCTTACCAAGCGTTTTTCTCATCTCGCAGATTGCACGCTCTACCGAGGCCCGTAGCATTCCGAATGCCCAAAATCACTAAGTTGAGCCCAAAAGTGCCGAACCACTTTTTCGCATCAACAGTTTGGTGCCGTATGTGGGAAACGATAAATAATCGACCATTTATCCCTACCACATGGGGACCACATCAAAATCAATGTTCTTACCACATGAAGGGTTACCATTCGGTAAGCAAGACGGAGCTAGCCCAGCGCTGCCCCCATGCACACCCAACAGGCAATCCCACTGTAATCCAAACCACCGCCTAAAGCTGAGCTCTTAGCTCAAATGACAGCTCTTTGGCAGGACATGACTAAGTTACAGGAACACAACAATCTTCTCTCGTCCAAAGTAGACAAAACACAGCTATTGCTTAACCATCAGCAAACGCAAAACATTTAGACCAACCGATCCTTCCCTCGTCGGCAGAAGAAGGGTAAACAGAGGGCAAAGGCCACGCTTGCGCCCTCTAAACAACTGATAGTTCCCGCACCTAAAGGAAAACCCCACGTACCGAAGAAGGTATATTCTGATTGTCGCCATTGATTACTGGATCGAGAGGCCGAATGGCAGAAATCACCAATCAGGATTAATGTGCGCCTAAACGATTCCCGACTGAGGATTCTGGGGAATAAATCTCCCATACGAATGGTAGAAGGCTCGGAGTCAACGGCAGAGACCGACCACGAGTACGCCCCCTCTACCAATCGGTCATCAACCTACCGTTCGGAAACGCCAACAAGGTACTCGGAGGTCAACCCGATCAAGTCCCCTCAGCATTCGGGACACCACACAGAAGAGGAGATCCCAAGCCTGGACCCTGTCATTCGCCTCCTTCTTCAGAGAATGCAGAAGATGGAGGACGACAAGACTCGTTCTCAGGAACCCGATTGGGGAAGGCTTTGGCCAAAACCGGTCACCGAACGGATAAGGCGCTCACGGCAGGACAGAGATGTACAGCCATTGTGCATACCGTTTTATTTTGGGGTCGAAGATCCCCTGACACACTTGCATTCCTTCCAATCCACCATCGGAAGCAAAGGCCTTAGTGACGATGGCCAATGCCTGCTGTTTCCATCGGCAGGAGTAGCGCTGAACTGGTTCTACCGATTGGAGCCAGGCACGGTGGACTCTTTTGACGAGTTAAAGCAAATATTCCTCAACCATTTCATGATCCAGACCGACCGTTTATACTCGGCCGACGACCTGTACACCGTTTGGCAAAAAGACAATGAGCCTTTGCTTGAGTACACTGCACGGTTCAGCCATGAATACTCGAGATGTCCAGATACTGATGATAGGGCCGCTTTCGGTGCATTTAAGAGTGGCCTTCGGTCCTCACACTTTCGGTATTTGGTACATAGCAACAATTGGTGCACGTATGACGAACTGATGAAACAGGCGACAATCCACGCAAAAGCCGAGTACTTCAATTCGAAGACCTAGCCTACAGCTCAGCAAGATGAACCCATACAACGGTCCGCAATAGGACAGGGATCACCGTTCGCACCAACAGAAAAACCTACTAGATTCCCCAAAAGCCACAAATGAAAGGTCGTCGGGGGCTCTCGGAAAGAGCACTCCAAGAATAAGGGGAGATACGGCAGAGACAGCTACCGAGCACCGCTGCCAGCTCACAACCCAGGAACAGAGGTCTTCACCCTAATTAATACTTCTTATGAAGCGGTGTTGATGAACGAGAATGAGATCATCCCAAAGCCGGCCTTCCGGAAGACTAATCGGCAAGACAATTGGGATACAAGAAAATTCTACCGATACCATCAGTAGAACAGTCATAATACTGAGGACTGCATAAGCTTGCGAAAAATTGTCGAGCGGCTCATTCGAGAGGGCAAGCTAGATCAATACGTAGCCAGACCACATTAGGTGCCGATACCGAATGCCAATCGGCAAATCAATATGATTAGCACGATTAACGGAGGCCCAACACTCGCAGGGACGTTTAATCGATCAAGAAAGCAATATGCCAGAGTGGCACAATACCCCCAAATCCTCAGCATCGAAAATAGCCGGCACACCAAGGTTCCGAAGGTCATATGGGAGCCCATCACCTTCTCCGAAGAAAAGGAAGAAGGGATCCTCTATCCACATGACGACCCCATGATCATCCGAGCATAGATCGCCGAGTTCGATGTTGGGCTAATCTTGATCGATACTGGAAGTTCGGTAAACGTCATTTTTGCCGACGCGTTTAAAGGACTCGGGAGAGATGACAGCCAACTCAACCGGTAGCTCTTGCCTCTACTCAATTTTTCAGGGGACCTAGTCCAGCCAATCAACAGCGTCAGTTTGCCAATCGCCTTATGCATGGCACCAAGGAGGACTATGGTCTACGACCAGTTCCTTGTTGTTGACTATCCAATGGCATACAATGTCATAGTCAGCTGAACGGGACTTATCGCGATAAAGGCCCACCTATCCCTTCACATGTTGCTCATGAAATTCCCTACCAGCCAGTTAAGTGCTCGGAACTGTTACGCCACGACATTGAAAACTGGGGTCCCTCGAAAACAAAAGGAGGCCTTCGCGGTCGAGGGATGCCGAACGACAATGGCTTTATAGACGGTCCCAAAAGAGAAACACCAACCCCAGTAGTGCATCCTACTGAGGACCTAGAAACCGTAGCACTGGATGAAAGCCGGCAGGACCGGTGTGTGAAGATCGGTACCATGCCAAATGCCACCCTCCGGGCCGAGTTCATCCATTTCCTTTGGCAACACTCGGAGGTCTTTACTTGGTCCTACAATGACATGTCGGGCATATCCCCTGAAGTCATCAGCCACAAGCTGAGAATTTCTCCCGCCTTTAAACCTGTCAGGCAAAAGCGTTGATCTTACGATGCCAAACGATACGAAGCCATGAAGAACGAAGTTGACAAGTTCATGACCATAGGCTTCATCCGGGAGGCCACGTACCCAATATGTCTGGCCAACTCTGTAATTGTTCTGAGGGCAAAGGGCGGATGGTGAATGTGCCAAGACTACACCGATCTGAACAAAGCCTGCCCAAAGGACAGCTTCCCGTTGCCCCGCATCGACTAGTCAAGATGCCAGGAAATGACAAAACCTTATCAACTATCATATAAGGCAGATGGTATTCTGTTGGAAAAAGTGGTATACCAACTCTAGAGTTAACCAGAACTCAAAAGAGGAGGGTTCAAAGGCAGTACTACACGTTCCTCAACAACAAGAGTGACGCACAGGCACGTTCAGAGACCGGCTCTGCTAGAAAAGGGAAAAATCCGGAAGTACTTCTTTAGACAGAACAAATAGCTTGCCAGCCACAAAAGCTGGAAAAAACAGAATCTGCAGGCAAACCTTCTGTCAATCTTGCCTTATCCTCAGGCAATCAGCTTGAGCCTTCACAAGCACAAGGAGAATCCGAATCTATCCTACTATGAACCATCTGCCAAAGAAGTACGAAGAGGACTGGATTGAGGAATACGAAGAGGAGCAGCTGGACTATGAACCATTTGCAGACGACCAGAATGGACTCTTCGAAGCAGGAAAATAGGAAGACTAGACAGAAGAATATGGGGAAGAACATATGGAGTATGACGGAGAATTAGATGCGGAAACAGAAGCCTTTGGTGCAGAGTTAGAGGACCTGTTGCAAGGTGATTTGGGCATTAACATGGTGTTCATTCTGCCAGAGAAGTTCAGGGCCACAAAAGGGCAAGAAAACACTTTGGAATGAGATGTTTTCTCCCAAGAAAGCTTTGAATGCAGGTTGGCAGAAGCAGAGGAGGCACCAGAATAGCAAACAGGCAATCCCAAGACAGGCGGAATTGCCAACAAACCGGCTGCAGAACAACTTTGTTTCTCCAAACCAACCAAAGAGATGGCCAATCACCTCAGACCATTGTTTATAATAGCAAATTTTGGGCGTGTTTCTATTCCCAAGATCATGGTAGATGGAGGTGCAGCCATTAATCTTTTGCCTCACAGAATGCTGAGCAAGATGGGCAGAACAGAGAAGGATTTGATTCCAACATGCTTAATCGTCACCAACTTTGCTAGGGGCATCACCAAAACTCATGGAATTTTAGACGTGGATGTCATAGTTGGAAGCAAAGAGTTGAAGATTGTATTCTTTGTGGTAGACACCACTTCTACCGCCTACAATGCACTACTTGGCAGGGACTGGATTCACCAGAGTTTATGTGTTCCTTCCACTCTCCATCAGCAATTAGCTCTATGGAATGAAGAGGGTTACATGGAGATAGTAGAGGCCGATCCACGACCATTCCTGCCCTTTACCATGTGTTTTGAGGCAAGGTATTATCATGATGACCTTAGTCCTTTCACCTTCCTTGGAGTCAACCAGAACGGCCGCCCTCATGGTGTCACAGCCCAGAGACTCATTGAAGATGGTCTAGCCAGTTCTCTAGAAGACTGGAATAGACCTTTTGTGCTAAACTTCCAGAACTTTGATGTTTAGTCCCAATCAACTGGAAAAGGATCGAGCTGCAATAATCTGATCCATTACAAAAAGATTGTTGGTATATTGGGAAGAAATGAAGCTCTTCATGTAGGATCCAGCCATCAATATGGCAGAATTCACTCATGAAAGCATGGAAGATCAAGAGGAAGAGAGTTTACACGAGGAAGTGTTAGATTTTGCACCGGCAGCACTGGATGATTCTCTACTAGAAGTGGAAGATTCTTTGCAGGAAATAAACTTAGGGACAGAAGAAGATTCAAGACCTACTTTCATTAGTGTACTGTTAAAAGAACCACTCAGGAGTGAGATCATTACACTTTTGCATGAGTTTGGAGATTGTTTTGCTTGGCATTACCATGAGATGCCTGGACTGGACAGAAAACTAGTAGAGCACAAGCTGCCAATCAAAGATGGCTACCTTCCAGTCAAACAAGCCAGAAGAAGAATGTCTATGGACACAGAACTGAAGGTCAAAGAAGAAATAGAAAGATTGCTCAAGGTAGGATTCATCAGACCAGCCATTTATGCTGATTGGCTAGCCAATATTGTACCGGTTCTGAAAAGAAAAACAGGGGCAGTTAGAATTTGTGTGGACTACAAAAATCTGAATGAAGCGTCTCCTAAGGATGAATATCCTATGCCAATGGCAGATATGCTAGTAGATGGAGTTGCTCATAACCAGATGCTATCCTTCATATATGGTAATGCAGGTTATAATCAGATTATGGTGGCAGAAGAAGACATCCACAAGACAGCTTTCATGTGCCCAGGACATATAGGTGCTTTTGAATATACTGTAATGCCTTTTGGCCTAAGAAATGCAGGAGCCACTTATTAAAGAGCAATGAATTCTGTTTTCCATGATATGATAGGGCATTCTTTGGAAGTGTATATAGATGATGTGGTAATTAAATCACTAGAAGAAGGAGATCATGTGTCGAATCTAAGGAGAGCTTTCCTAAGGATGAGACAACATAAGTTGAAAATTAATCCCAAGAAATGTGTCTTTGGAGTCTAGGCAGGAAATTTCTTAGGCTTTTTGGTCCACCAAAGAGGCATGGAAATTGATAAAAACAAAGCAAAGTCCATCATAGAAGCTTTACCACCTTGAAACAAAAAAGAACTGCAGAGTCTCCTAGGAAAAATTAATTTTCTAAGGAGATTCATATCCAATTCTGTAGGAAAGTTCCAGCCTTTCTTTTCTTTGTTAAAATTGAAGCAGGAACAGACGTTCAAGTGGGAAGAACAGCACCAACAAGCTTTCGAGGAAATCAAGCATTACCTCTCAAATCCACCAGTTCTGACCTCGCCAAAGAGAGGTAGACCACTCAAGCTCTATGTGTTTGCATCAGAAGTGTCCATTAGGAGTCTGTTAGTTCAAGATAACAAGGAAGGGAAGGAACAAGCAGTCTACTATCTGAGCATAACCCTGACAGAAGTGGAAAGAAAATATTCTGCAATTGAAAGACTTTGCCTAGCCTTATACTTCGCTGCTGTGAAGCTCAGACACTACATGCTGCCATACACCATCTACATCATTGCCAAGACATATCTAATCAAATACATGCTAATAAGACCAATGCTGAGGGGGAAAATTGGAAAATGGACTTTGGCTTTGACAGAATTTGCCTTCAGATATATTCCTCAGAAAGCTGTCAAAGGACAAGCTGTGGCGGATTTCCTAGCATATCATCTAGGAGAAGAGATTGAAAACATGGACTCTTTGGACATAGCAAATGCAGATCTGCTAGCTAGAGCTCATACTTGCCTTAACAATCCTATCTATTCAGTTCATCTCACACCTTGGAAGCTGTATTTTTATGGATCAAAAACTGATATAGCTTATGGGGTAGGGATTGTTTTGGAAGAACCATTGGGAATCAAACATTGCTATTCTTTCCAGTTAGATTTCCAGTGCACCAGCAACATGGCTGAATATGAAGCTTTGATTGTAGGACTTGAAATGTTGGTAGAATTAGGGATCCAATCTGTGGAAATCCTGGGAGATTCCATGCTTGTCTTGAAGCAGATTGCTGGAGAATACAAGTGCCTAAGTCCTTCTTTGGCTGTCTATCTAGTGGCCTCTAGAAATCTTCTGACAGAATTTAGAGAAGCTACTTGGGAACATATCCCAAGGGAGGAAAATTTTGCAGCCAATGAGCTGGCTCAGGTAGCAACAGGTATACAAATGCCTAAAGACTGTGTACAGAGGATCATCAAGATAGGAAAGAAAAGTCCACCATCTGTTCTGACTAGAGGGATGGAGATAGATGTCAATTCTGCCATAATCACTAAAGATTATTGGAGAAATCCTATCATAACTTACTTACAATATCCAACCATGCCTTCTGAAAAGAGAGTCAGAATCATGGCTTTGAACTACCTTATGTGGAATGGAGATTTGGTCCAAAAAAGCAAGGATGAGGTACTATTTAGGTGCCTCGGAAAGAAATAATACATGAAAGTCATGGGAGAAACTCATGAAGGGATCTGTGGAGCTCACCAAGGAGGAAGAAAGATATGCTGGTTAATCAGGAGATATGGCTACTTCTGGCCAACCATGATGAAAGATTGCATTGACTATTCCAAAGGGTGTGAGGCTTGTCAAAGGCACAGCCCAATCCAGCAGGCTCCTTCAGTTCCCATGAATCCAGTAGTAAAACCATGGACTTTCAGAGGATGGGCAATGGATTTCATTGGCAAAATCTATCCTGCCAGTAGCTAGCAGCATTGTTTTATCATTATGGCCACAGATTATTTCACCAAATGGGTGGAGGCCAAGCCTATTAAATCCACAACATCTCAAGAGATCATCACTTTCATAGAAGAGCAAATTATACAAAGATTTGGCATTCCAGAATCAATCACGACTCACACAGGATCTTATTTCATATCTGGGGATATGCTGGATATGGCAGAGGCGTTCAAATTCAAGCTGCTTCATTCCACTCCTTACTATGCTCAAGCTAATGGACAGGCAGAATCAAGTAACAAGGTGATCATCAACATCATCATAAAAATGCTTGAGAAAAATCCAAAGCAGTGGCATGAGAAGTTATCAGAGACTCTGTGGGCATACAGAACTTCAAAAAGAGAAGCAACTGGCATGACCCCTTATGCTCTAACCTACGGCCATGATGCAATTCTGCCTATGGAGATAGCAGTCCAGTCTCTTAGAATTGCTCATCAGCACAATCTGGTTGGAGAAGACTATTCTCAAGCCATGCTGCTGGAACTAGAAGGATTGGATACAAGCAGGATTGATACGCTCAACAAACTCTTAGTAGGAAAACAGGCTGTGTCAAGGGCCTACAACAAAAGAGTTAGGAACAAGAGCTTTGAAGAGGGAGAAGTAGTCTGGAAAGCAGTTCTGCCCCTTGGAACACATGTAGCTGGTTATGGAAAGTGGTCACCTACATGGGAAGGCCCTTTCATAATTAATCAGATCCTTGGAATGGGGGCATACAGATTACAGGATCGAGATAGAGTTGTTCATGTTGCCCCAATTAATGGCAAGTGGTTGAACAAATTTTATCCAACTATGTGGGATTCACAGGTTGTACAGACAGATCCTGGGATAGAGAAGGAACAAGACTGAAACTGTCTGTTTCAAATTCTGTTCAGAGTTATTTTTGCTTTAAGTTGATTAAAGTTTGTTTTACTTTCGATTTTACTTCTGTTTATTTTATCAAAAGAAAAAAATAGCCACCCTCATGGCAAATTGTTCATCATAAAACCAAAAATTAAAAATCTAAAACCCTAATTTCCTAAGGGTTTCTTGCAAATTAGCCTTCTTTATGGATAGTTCTTTCTGAAGCAGCACCCCCTGGTGGATTGAAGCCTCTGCAATTTCCAAAGCGGGCCTGGAAGCTGCAACCATGCTCTGCACAAGGAAAGTAGCCTTGGTCTTGGAGCTCAGTCCAGCCCCGAGTCTATTCTGCACCTCCCTGCACTCTGCTAGTTGCTTTTGGAGCTCTTCAATCTTCCTCTCCAACTTGTCTACAGTACCCTTAGCTTCCTTATACCCCGCGACCATCTGGTCCAATTCTTCCTTCTGCTTGGCATAATCAACCAAGTTGGCTTCGTGAATGGCTTTGCAAAACTCAGAGGTCTTGAAGGTAGGCTTGAGATCCTCATAGTGGTCGTGAAGGTTGAGCACATCTCTTGCCAGGCCAAGGCTCATCTCGAGTATGGGTTTGGGAGCCATGTTCTGCTTGTGCAGCAGGTCCAGATCCTTCATCAATTGATCAATGGCTTCCCTATCCTCATCCAGCTCCAGCTCAGTAGATTGCCAAATCTTCAGCCTCTCCACGGCCTCCTCCACTGCCTTGGACTTTGCTTTGCCTGGAGTGGAATTGAGTTTCTCCAGTCTGTCCAACTGTGCATCTAGGTCCATGGCCTCAAATTCCGCCATCTCCGGATCAGCAAAAGAGGCGATGGCAGAAGAACCCGAGAAGGAATGAATGGGAATTTGCAAGAAGAGCTCAAGTTAGTTCTATGAAAAATTTGGAAACTAAGGGAAACTCCAGAATAGGTAAATACTGACAGCAACAATTGGAGGCTTCAGAGGACTGGTCACTACTTACAAAACCCCAGCAGTCCTAGGCATTTCTACTTGAAAAAGACTAAACAGTTAAAGAAGCAGAAACAGAACTGAAGGAAATAGGTGGTTATTTTAAAAAAAAATTTACCGCAAAGTCCGGAACAGAAGCAGCTACTTTCACTACTGTTTCAGGGAATGCAATCATTTGTTCTGCCTGCTCCACAGGCTCTGATGCAGACTGTTCTGCCTGCTCCTCAGTTGCTGACACGGCAGTGGAGTGCTCCACCTCTGCATCTTCAAAAAAGGTTAACTCTAAGCTGGTCAGCTCTGCCCTCGTGTTCTCTTGTTGCTTTTGCGCCAAGGCAATGCTCTCTGCTATTACCTCAGTGGGAATTTCCTCCTGCAAATAGACAGAAGTCAGAAAACAGAAAAATAAAAGACAGAAATAGTTAGAACGCCAAAGACTCACCTCTTCTTCCACGATCTTTGCCTCTCCTTGAGGTCCTTCTTCTACCTCTTCTGGTTCTTCCAGCTTTTTCTCCTGCTCCACCGCCTTAAAGGCCTCTCGCAGCTCATCATCAGTTCCAGAAGTTTCAGTTGGAACAACTGCAGGCTTTTTTGTCTCATCAGATTCAACTCTAGTCCTCTTTCTAAGCCTTTTTGACTTAGTAAGAGGTAGAGGAGGACTCTCAGCTGCATAGATAAAAACAACGAATAGGGGTTGAGTGAGTAGGCAGAACAGGGCAGGACAAATTCAAGGAAATAATTAGGAACGTTAGAAACCTTACCCGAAACCTCAGCTTGAGTAGCAATGTTCTGGGAAAAGGAGTAGCCTCAACAGGAGGTTGTTCTGACAGAATTTCATCCTCATCTCTAGAAGGAAGCTCTAAATCCCCAGCATCAATGACAGAGGTCACTACACAGGAAATGGAAAAGTCAGAAATCAATCTAGTAGAAAAATGATAGAAGGAACAGAATGTCAAGAGAACTTACCAATCACTTTTCCACTCTGGACAGATTGGCCACCAATGTTCTTTGTCAGAGAAGGATCTATTTCAGGCAGAACAAAGTATTAAGTATCATCACGAAGGTAGAATGGACAAAACAGATGGTCTGCACCATGAACTTGTGAGTCTCCTCTCCTGTGTGAACAACCCAGGAATCCTAGCCATCAAAGAGGACTTCGAGTGCAGTACTGGAGGCAGGTAGATCTCGAAATCTAGCCTTCCACCAAGCGTCAAACTCGGCAAAACTGCAGGAATTGGGTTCCCAGGATGGATAAAGAGCGTCTGCATTGTTTTTGATCTTGTTTACTACGCACCTGGCATCCTTGTGCACTTCCAGGTCATCTACATCCCTCCAGGAAGTGGCCCGATTGCAGCTTCTGTAGGATTTAAGTGGAATGAGCTGAGGGCAGCCTAGTTGTCTTGCGCAGAAGTTGGGATGATAAACTTCTGCCCCCAAATGATAATTTGGAGGTTTTCCTCCTCCATGGTAATTAGAGAAGGAGCAGTTCTGGTTGATTGAGGCTGGAGAGATGGTGAACGGTTTTGACAGCTTCTCCTGGTTCTTCCTCCTGTGGTAATCACCAACTACATCCACATGCCTTCCATGAGGTCTGAACCCAAAAATTTGAGCCATATCTAGCAGAGTTGGAGCCATGGGGCCTATGCGAAAATTGAAGGTGTTGCTGGCAGAATTCCAGAAACACAGGGCAGCAGCAAGCAGGTTCTCATCCTTGTTGATGGATTGTTTGGACAGGAGAATAGCGTCATAAATACCAGCCCTCCTCCAGTGAGCTCCATACCGTGGAAGGAGCCGGTCAATCCAATCAGCCCACTTCACTGGATTGTTCCTCACTTCGCTCGAGGGGAATGAGCGGCTCAGATTCTTGCTAACCCAAGAATGGGATGATAGGGCAGAAGTGCTTTCAAAACACAAAGGAGCTTCGGCATCCTTTTTCATCAGCTCCGCCATCTCAGCCAGAACAGGACCAAACCAGTGAGGCCCTAGCACCAGAGTGTTCTTGAAAAGATGGAGGATGTTCTCGTCTAGATTCTTTTGGGCAAAAGGGTGAAGCTTGCTTCTGACTTCTATCGCATGGCTGTCAACTCCAGTCCTAGTGATATAATCAGGAGGAACTGGAGATGAGGAAGATTGAGCACGGGTTTTTGGAGAAGACATTTCTTAGATGTTTTTTTCTTTTGCGAAAGCAAAAATGGTAATGAGGAAGACAGGGTTCGAGCAAGGAGAAGGATGAGAAACTTCGAAGAAAACTGAAAAGGGCAAGGTCTGAAAAGCTAGGTTTTCGAATGAACAGGAACTATGAGTTTGAATTTCTTTTAAAAACTCAGAAACATGGGGGAAGAAGGCAAGGCGTCATCTGTCAAAAAACTAGCTAGTAACTAGCTAATAATTACCCAGTTTCCCCGCGAACTCTAGCTCAGTGGACAAGACGTGGTAGACGTGGGTTAGTAGAAATGGAAGAAAGTGGCGCGCAACATTAATGGCCAATTGATTCAAATCTGAACCGTTGGAAGTTAAAGAAAAAGAAACATTTTTAAACGATTTAGATTCAAGGGGGCATTGTTTGGGCCAAAACTCTTGCGCACCCAGCCCAACACTAAAAAAAGCAAAAGGGCACAAGGCCCACATCTAGACTTTGCGAACAGGAATCGAAGGCCCAGAATCCATAAGGACCCAGTCCGGAATCTATCAAGACATAACAAAACTTGGGCCTCAGAAAAACAGAAAGAGAGAAATCAGCCCATAACTCCAGAAATTCAGACTGGGCCCAAAATGATTAAAAGCCCAAAGTCCAAATCGAGGGGCCCATGATTTTTACAAAATGGTAAAACAACCACTGAAGCTGATCAAAAGAAAGCAAGAATCCTTTTCAGAAAGCCTATTTTCAGCCCCCACGTGAAAATCCTTTTTCTGGTTTTGAAAAGTCAACAATTTCAACTATCATAGAGTTTATTAGGAAAATTATAAACAAGTCATTGACTGACAACTAGGAAGAGACATCTCTGAAAATATGAAGATCAAATCCCTCATATATATATATATATATATATTCAGAGATATTGTTTCCACTCCAAAGAAAGCATCATCATTTCAAAAGATACGCAAGCTATGTTTTTCAGAAAAAAGATAAGCAGGAAACAGGGAGCTGTTCAAATTGGGAATCAAACTAACCATCACGGTTTGAGCTCCCACAAAGGGGCAGTTGGAATTTAAGAAGGATTAGGTTCTCTTTCAAGAAAAACAGGGAAGTGATTGCCTTTGAATTGACTATTAAGAGCCTATTTGCCAGAATTGATAAAATCCCCTTTCCTTTGCATTTAAAATAGAAGATCTTTTTGGGAATTTTCTGCCACCCATTTTTTAAAATAGAAGATCTTTTTGTGAACATTCAAGGGGACGACAAAAAAATGATCAGTAAAAAAAAACAACAAGAAATCAACCAAAAGCTCACTCAATCCCCAAGAGAAACCAGCTTCAGATCAGAAATCCCAAAGTTCAGACTTAGAGAGATAAGTCATTCAAAACGAGTTTCCACTCGTTACACATTTGGTTCAGCAAAAGCTAAGACAAGCAGAGTTTGAGTTCTCCCAAATATGAAAACCTCAATAAATTTTACAGTACAGTCTCCAGCTCATTAAACCCTTAAGAATAGCCACTTCTGCCCCTTTAGACTGAAGAAGCTGCAGTTCTGCCCATTCAAAAGCCTCCCAAAGCTTGAAGTAGATTAAAGCTCTACCAAACTTTGGTATCAATTTACAGCTGAAGCTTAGCAGTTCAAGTTGTTAAAAGTCCAGTCCAGCCCAAACATACCCAGTCCAGCCTGGATCAGAAGCTTCTATCTAGAATAGGAATGGAGTTCCAGCATTCCTTTTGCTTTTCTAGAGTTGATTTCTTCTTTTGTAGCTTTGTAAAAGGAAGTTCTGTCTAAAACAGTCCACTTTATTGTCCATTACTCTGGCCAGAATTACCAGTCTGAGGCAAGAAAAAGAACTTACTTAGGAGATATTCCTCACCCAAATTCATAATCGCTTGTTTAGAAATCAGTAACTTGGGAAGCAAGTTATCTGTTTTAAAGAAGTCTGCAAGAATCTTTATTGCTAGCAGTAGCACGCTCATACACCAAAGAAAGCTGACTTGTTGACCAGTCAATGGTTTCCAAGGCAGTGGGGAACTTTGCCCTTCCATATCAGGAATAAACACAAAACGGGTGAACAAGGGTATAGATTGTAAACTTGCCCACGGCAATATGAAATGAAAGAGTTTTTATTCAATACTGACTCCGAGTACGCACGTCAACCTTTGGCGACTCAGTTACTTGACGATAAAACAAGGTACCGATTCTGAGTTCACTTGCGCTCAATTAGACAAACAATAATTTAAAATTAACAAAATTTTATGAGTCATCGGAAAACCTTGTATTCGATTAAGCCCTCGGCAAGTCTTATACTTAGTTGGCAACTAGTAAAACCCCACGCATGAGTAGCCATCGGCAATCTACTGTCCGATTAAACCAGGAGCAGTACAAAAACCTGCCTACTCTACCGATCAAGCTTACGCTTGGTAATCCAATTAAAAAGACCATGGACTTGTTAGCCCTCAGCAACAGTTAAGCAAGTAAATTGACGATATACAGAAAAGAGGTTCAATGCAAAACTAAAATTAAAGATGCCCTCGGCATCAATGTGTTCAGAACCAACTGACCTATGGAGAATTTAAAAATACAACAATAAAATTACAAAGCCCAAGGTTTTCAAACGGTGGCCTCCCCAGCAGAGACCCTAACACCTTCTCCAACATCGGCACCAGCAAGGCCATCGGCAACAGTTGAAGGGTCTTCAGCAACAACAGCAATCTTGACAGGAACGGCACCCTCAAGAGCCCCCTCCTCTTCATAATCCTCGATCATCTCTTCTGTAACACCTTCAGGAAGAGGAGGGGGATCGGCAGCAAAGTCCAAGCTCAGTTTCTGCCCAGGGTTATACTGTTTCAAACGATAAAGGAGGTCTGCCATCTCCTGGGCCACTTCCTTATCCAAGAGTCCAGTAAACTCCTCGGACAAATGGTACCTCTTCACCGCCTCCCGAACAGCAGTGTCCATTGTAGTAGCCTTGGACCTCTCAGACTCCTCCAGGTCAACCTGCACAGCCACCTTGGCTGCCTCGGCATCCTTCGCCGCTGTCATCGCCACATCCATGGTCGCTATCATCTCAGCGAGTGTGGCCTCGGAAGCCTTCACCTGCCGTTTCGCCACCTCCTTCTCCTTGAATAGGTTTGCATGGTCCTAGAGGGCTTTCCCAGCCTCGACAACTTTGGCTCGACCATCGTCATACATCCTCTTGTCACGCTCAGCAACAGTGATGGCCCTCTTCATGCACAGCCACATGTCCATGGATGCTTGAAACATAAGGAGACAAGTTAGTGTAGTGTATTGACGAATGGAAACCAAATCGAGAGGAAGATAAGATTACCGTGGCCTGCAGATGGAAGGCACGCCTTGCCTCCTCACGAAGGAGCCTCTTTGGTAGCTCCTCTATCTCAGACAACTCCATCTGCGAACCCAGGATCATGTGATTCAAAAACTGGACCGTCTTCAACGGGCAGGCAATGGTAATGGCCTCGGTAGGCCCTTCTTCTTCTTCCGCTGCGAAGACTGCCATCGGTAGAATAGGGTGTCGTGCGTGCTTGGTAGTGGATGCGGCATCAAGATCCACCATCATTGGCCATTTCTTGGATGCCTTGGAGGAAGCAACCTCGACGCCCGGCCCACGCCTGGGTGCCAATTCATCGTCAGGCGCCCTTCTGGAAACCAGTTTGGCATTCAGTTGCCTTTGCCGGTCGGCCAAGGTCTGTTCCTCCAAGGCATCAGCCTCCACAGCCCGCTCAGGAACCACCTCTGACTGCCGACACTGCTTCTTCCCCTTCATCGCCGCCTGGAAGAGCCTCTTGGAACCCTCGAACATCTTCTTGGACTCCACAGACTTCCTGGCATCGGTCACTGCATAAAGAAACAGCTTCGGTAAGTCAAAGAAAAAGCACTAAGATGGACTCATAAAATTGAAGTACACTTACTCTCGGCAGGATCAACGAGGTGGGTTTTGATCAAGTTCTCGGTAAAAAGGAAGCCTGGGTACACTCTCTCAACGGCCGGAACCTTCAGTCTCACCTTCTCGATCTGCCGAATATCGAATTGAGCAGGAGTTGGTCACTTTAGCTTGCCTGCACAACAATTGGAAATGGTTAAAATTGAATGGAAGGAAGGACCTGTCCGAAGGGCATGTTACTTGTCCTACCAGTTATTTGGAAGGTGGTGGGGATGTGAAACTGGACGGGCCTGTCCAAGGGTGACTCCCAGTCACCAGAGAGAAGCACCCTCCGATTCCTCCAGGACTTCTGAGATGACGGTACAACACCGACAAAGTGACCATGTTTGGAAGCCCTGAGACAGTTGGCTTGACCCAACCTCCGTGATCAGCACACTTGGACTTTGTAATGCTGTACAAATAGGAGAATTGCTCGTAGGACGGCTCCCCCTCTTCGGCAAGGCCAAATGCTAAGATTACCCCTATCAGAGCCACCCAGAAGTTGGGGTTGTACTGCCTTAGAGCATACCCAATCTGAGAAAGAATCCTCTGAACGGGAGGATGCAACGGTAGCCAAACCCCCAATTGGAGAATGTGAGTAAAAACGGCGACCTCGCCGTCCTTTGGGTTACTCAGGGATTCGGTAGGACCTGGAATTCTCATCCTTACCGAGTCCGGTATTCGGAACTCCTTACGAATTTTAGTCAGCTCCCATTCGGTAATCTTATTAGGCTCCAAATCATCTACCCCAAACAGATATTTTTTCGGCACACCAACCGGTACCCTAGGGTTCCCTTGGTGGACTATGGTTACCTTCGGTTGGGAAGGAGGTGCGGCAGTAGCCTCGACACAGCCGAAAGTTAAGGTCTCTAACTGATGACTAGGGTGCCGATCTGGCATCCGAGTTTCCACCACTTGGAACTCGCAATACTGGTGCGCCTTGGCATGACTGCGGTCACTATACACCACAGCCAACGACATCGGTTGGCTAGTCATCAGCCCCTTCCCGATGTCGTGGGTAGGAACGGAGCTTGTCCCCACATCGATTATCTCGACATCGGTATTTGCACCACTCTCGGCATCGAGGCTTACGGCCTCACTATCAAAATCCCCATGATCGTCCAATGACTCCCCATCGAACGTATTAGGCTCTCTTTCGAACGGAGACTCGCTATCAGACATCTACAAAACGCAGAAAGAGGAAACTAAGGGCCATGCAGAAGACTATCCTACCGATGCCTGCATCACTACCTATGGCACTAGACTACCGAACGAAACCCCACTTGCACAAAAGTTCAGTCTAGTTCATGCCAAGGAAGGACGCATACAGAATAAACGAAGGTATTTTGATAGAGTGCTGAACAGTACCTTATATCAAGCTGTATACAGAGGGAAGTGCCTGAACTGCCGATCATCATCGCCGAAAATCGCCTTAAACTACCGATTGGTCACGTCAGAAATCGCCTTGATTGCTGTTAGCTCTCGCCAGAAATCGCCTGGATAGAGCTCTCGCTTCAACTCGCAAACACAAAGTGGACTTCTCGTCTGAGGTCACTCCTATTTATAGGACGAGAGGCTAGAACAGTACACCTCGAGAAACCAAATGGCGCAATTATGGCGCCGCTCCGCATGCATAGACACGCCACATGTCACCTAGGGAATGGAGGTTCTGACAACACGCAAGGCACGAAAGATGAAGCGTCATTATGTCCCATCGTTTCTCCTCCCCAGCGCGCGAGCCTCGAATAAAAGACCAAATTCGTCCAAGTCGACCACTCATTAGAAGGACATGTTCGGCACCTGCCCTGTAGGGTGTCATCTACCGAATGGCAAGCCTCGAAGTTGCGACCCTTGAGTTCCTAGATGTGTGCTTCCGAATGAAAAAACACAGAAAGACAAAGACCAAGCACCACCATCTGCTGAACCGCCAAACGGTTGAACAACATTTTGGTTGTTGAAGAGGGTATCAAGTCCCCATCCAAGAGATCTCAGATGAGAACTTGGGGGACTTCTGTTTATACCCAAACTGAACAGCCAATAAAAACAAGACACGTGGGCAAAATCGAGCCTGGTCATGGTTGCCTTCGGCACTTAGCCTACCGATTTGTCAATTAGGGCAACACCCTTCCCTAGGATACGTGGCATGCTCACAATCGACGTCCACAGTCCTACATCGAAATTCTAAACACAATGCACACCTTCCAAGGTCTATAAAAGAGGGCAACATTCCCAAAATAGAGGTAATCAGAACTTACGGCATACAAGCCTATTAATCTGTCAGTCAACATTTTCTATATCCGAACTTACTTAAGCATCGGAGAGCCTTCGGCCAGTACCACACCGGTGCCCCAGGCCTTACCGAGCGTTTTTCTCATCTTGCAAATTGCACGCTCTACCGAGGCCCGTAGCATTCCGAAGGCCCAAAATTACTAAGTTGACCCCAAAAGTGCCGAACCACTTTTTCGCATCAACACCATGAAATAAGTATTCCTATCGAATGATTTTTCATGGACTGTAAGTGGTGATTTCAGATGTGTGGAAACTAAGACATTAGATAGTGGTAATTTCTGTGAAACCCATCTTCAACTTTGGACTCCTCTCTCTCTCTCATGCTCGACAATAGATGGAAACTAAGACATTAGATTGTGGCAATTACTTGATCTTTTCATCACAATATATGGAGTAAAAGAGAACAATGGATCAAATAATAATCACGAAATTTGGCTAAGGCATCAAGGATTTTCCGTCTAGAACTGATCAATAAAGAGATAAATAAATAAGAACTTTTGTTTACAATGAGAAAATAAACGAAAAATGCAATTAGAAAAAAATTAAAAGTTGTAAAGCAATTTGTGCAAATAACGTAGTCAAAGGGTCTCGTCCTTTCCAAGCAAATATTTTAGACTAAAACTTTAGTCATCAATTTGTGCATTGCATCCCTTTTTGTATCATATTTGAAAAACGGACCAAAGTTGGTTTATTTTTTAAATATTAAAATTACGTTGCACCCAATTTTTTTTTTTTTTTTTTTTTTTTTTTTTTTTGAGGGCAGGTCGAAGCCAGACAAGAAAAAAAAAAGCGAACAAGGCACAACCCTATTTGGGCTCTTCCTAGATCATCATCCAGCAACAAGCTTGAAAGGAAGACAAGAGCAGACTCGTAGTTATGAAGCCCCAAGGGTAACTCATACCCTAAGTTAGCAAGGTGATTAGCTGCTCTGTTTTGCTCCTTGTAGATATGAGAGACATTGCATCTCCAATCACGGTTAAGTAACAACTTGCAGTCTTCAATCAAATAAAAAAGAGGATGTGACAAGCCTTAGCAATTAGAGAGACAACAGACAAGGAATCACATTCAATATCAAGGGAGGGACCTAATGCCCTTGGCCCAAGCCATTTGCAAACCTCTAAAGAGACTCCATAGTTCAGCCTCATTAATATTTCCAATCCCAATATTGGCAGAGAACCCACAGATCCATGCTCCATTAGAGTCCCTTAGCAAACCACCAGCACAGATCTTCCAAGAATTCGTTTTACAGCTGCCATCCACATTCAATTTGAAGTTGCCAAGAGTAGGAAGACTCCAATGACTTGGATGACCTCTGTAGTAGGCTTAGCATTAACCACATTATTGGCATCAAGCCATTCACTAGAAAATTACATAATAGTATGATTGGGGTTGGGAGGAGTCTCATAGTAAGGGTTAAAAATAGAGTTACATCTCCATTTCCAACAATGCCAAATAGAGGCAGTAAAAACAAGTGTCCAAGGAAGGTTGCCGGAGAACGTAATCTTGCTCTTGAGGTTAATTCTTAGCCAATAAGTAAAGTCTAAGGAGAAAGAGTGAAGAACATCAAAAGGAACCTTTATGTAATTCCATACCTTAGGAGCAAATCTACATCCTCTGAAAACGTGACCCATAGTCTTAGGAAGGGAAAGGCATTTGTGGCAGTTAGGATCAGTTGTCATCAATCTCTTCTCCCTTTGAACATTAGTAAGGATTTTGCCATGCCCAATTAGCCAAACAAAGGTTTTTAACTTCGGGGGCAAGCACAACATCCAAATGAAGTCCCAAGGCCAAGGCATAACATCTGCATCATCAAAGAAAGAAAGGTATATATGCAGATTTAACAAAAAAGAGCCATTATTTGATATACCCCATATGCATTTATCATTTCTTTGAGACTCAAATCCAGTATGGATAGCACAATTTCATTAGGTAAGACCTGCTCAAGGGCATCAAGATTCCATCCATGGTCAGACATAAAATCTCGCACTGTCCACAACAACATGTCTTCAGAAAGGGGAATAGCCGAAAAATCCTCAAGCAAGCCACAACCCAACCAGTTATCCTTCCAAAACAAGATGTCATCACCATTGCCAACCCTCCACTTTAAACCTTTAGGAAGAATCTTAGCACCAAATAAAATTCCTCTCCAAGTATTAGAATAATTAATATGAGCAGACTTATTAAAGTTCAAAATGCTTTGATTATTGAGGTATTTTCGATTCAGAATATGACTTCAGAGGCCTTGGAGAATGAACAAGTTTAGCTCAGAAACAATCGATTTGATTTTGTTCGGGGAATAGTCCTCAAATTTATCAAGTGCTTGTTGAACGACGTGTGGTAGTTGGATTGGATAAGTTTGATGCTTTAAGAGGTGGCTACATATTTTTGAGGCCTCAGCACTAATGTCAAAGTAGTTGAGCATAAGTCCTTTCAATTCAGGCACCTTCGAAAGAATCACGAATTCAAGAATACCAGGTATGGCTTCTTGACCAGGTTCTAGGAGGACTTCTGAGAATTTGTGATCATGGTTGTAACTAAAAGAAGATGATGGCTCGTTTACAAGCAATTGAGCGTTATTGTAGAAGTCTGCATATGATTTGGTTCTAAATACACTCAGGTACTCCTCGTTCAGATTGAAGCTTTTTCGAACTTGTCTTATCACTTCTTTCCCTGAAAACCAATAATCCAAAATTGTAGAGGAAGAAAAAGATGAAGATATAACTTTCAACCGAAAAGTTAATTAAACAAAAACATATACTACATACCTTTTGCAACTTTGAAGAAGCTTTAAGTTTTGCCCACATATTGAGGTCGATCTTTTAATCGGAACACCAAACTCGATGTCGATCTTAGCTAGGTTAAGAAGAAGAGCTAGCTCTCAACTTGTGAAGAAGAAATTTAATAATGATCTTGAATTCATAACCCAACTGTGGGGCTTGCCTTGCCTATAAGAACCTTAAAAGAAAGAACAAGGAAGGGCTTGAATGAGCTAGCTATTCAACTTTCTAGCTAGTTAGTTTGTTGAATATATCTCTGCTTTATTAAAGGCTGTTTAAGGATTGTAGTTCACGCTGTCTTTTTCGTAACTCTAATATTTTCATGAGAGAGAGAGAGAGAGAGAGAGAGAGCAAGAGAGATGAGTTACTTCTCCAATTTGTTTGCAAGCTTTAAGGCTACATTTGCTGAAGAGTCCTCCCTTCTTGAGGACCTTTTTTGCATCTGACACAGCCCTCTTTGGCCTCTCTTTTTTGCCTTTATGTATATATTCTTTTGGCTTAATTATGTACATGCTCTCTGTGCTTTCAAACTTTTCTCAGATTACCACCTAGGCTTTGAAACGTCTCAAAATACCCTCCACACTTTTAAAAATGATCTCATGTTACCCATTCCGTCAATATTATAGACGTTCCGTTATGTTTTTGGGCCCCACTTCGTTTTAATCCTTAACATTGGAGAATAAGAGTTTTTTCAGCTTCAGAAAAAGGGAAATGGGGTATTTGGGTGAGAAGGGGAAATTTCAGCTTTAATGTTGAATCTTTAAACTGGTTTTTGCAGAAATTGGTTAAATACAAATAAACACAATGGTCTGTTAATTACATTTATTTTTAAGCAATCACAGACTATAGTGGTGTATTTGTAGTTTGATGTGAGGAGATGTTTGATTAAAACTGCAGATTGGGTTCTACTTCCTTCTCATGCAGGTTATTTCTCTGCTTCAAAGTTCCTTGATTTTCTGCTTCCACTTTAAACTTGTGTTTCCAGATTGAAGAACACAAAAGTACTCTAAACCTAGTTAATGAATTTGAAGCTAAATCAAGTAATTATAATTTGGGTGGAAAGTGACCATTATGGACCCCAAATTGCCTACATTTTTACCCTTTTTGAATCAATTTTACAAGCAATTGGGTTCTGATTGAGAGATGTATTAAGCTAATGCAGCCCTGATTTACCAAGTTCTGATTGATAGATGGTGGGCCTTTAATTTTATCTTAACAGCATAAGATTTTTCAACGACTTCGTAACCTGGAAAACCAGAGATTATTAATGCTAATAAGAGTTAAAAACAGAGGAAGAAACAACTCAACTCTTTGTTTAAGTCTGATGATTTGCTTGAACTAATATATTTTGATTTGTGGGAGCCTACCTGAATTATCTCTTAGGACTCTTAAATGGATCATAAACTTATAGTTGGGGTCAAGGGGTAGATACTCAAAAGTCAAAAGTGATGCTTAAATACATCCCCATTCTTTCTCTGAAATATGAAGTCCTGAAATTTCAATTCAACTGTCTGATTTACCAAGTTCTTATTGATAGACGGTACTAAAGTGTAGAATTTTCAATTTATTGACTTTTATCTTTCTGAGATTACTTTTCTTTTTAGGTTTTGGTTGTTTGATGATTTAGTCCAACACTAATAGAATGAAATATCTTACAGCTAATGCAAACTCATGGAAGGAGAATTATAGATAAAATTCAATGGCTTTTTTGTTTCACCAGCCAACTTGACAAACACATTGCTGCTTTTGAGGATGTATCGTTTGTCATTTTTTGACGTGATCTCGATTGACTTCCAAAGTCAAACATACGATATCCTGATACAGCATGTCTAGCTAAGCTGTCAAGTGAAAGGAACAAAAGTAGAACAAGGAAGGCCAAGCTTGGCCTGTGCTTATAGCAGAACAGCTCTTTTTGCAAGTTTGTAAGAAGATGAAATTCACTTGCAGGAACAACTTTATTTATAAGCCTGCTCTGCTTCTGTTATGTTTAACCTTCGATGCTTGTATCTCCATGGCGTCTCATGTTATCTCCGCAGGCCAATCTCTTTCTAGGAACCAGACAATTACCTCTCCAAGTGGCCAATCCAAAACTGAAATTTGTCCAACTCATTCTATGGTAACGGTTTCTCATTCCACCGTAGCAATGCTACTTGACAATGGGAACTTTGTCATAACAGACGCATTTAATTCATCTGTTGTTATATGGCAGAGTTTTGATCACCCAACTGATACTTGGCTTCCAGGAGGGAAGCTTGGACATAATAGGCTTACGAAAGAAAAACTAAGTCTTACTCCATTGAGAAACCCACAAAATCCAGCACCTGGCCTCTTTCCTATCTGGGCAGTATCTTGTATGTGATGGAGATTTTTATTTTCCCCTTCATTTCTCCATTCCTTTCCCCATCCAATCTAGATCTTATGAAAGGGAGTCGTGACATGAGCTTGTACCTTGATGCTTGATGTGCTTTCATCTATTTCAAATGGGATACATAAATATATCATTGTTCTTTGTAGTTTGTATCATTGTTCTCATTCCCCCTTTTCTAAAGCTGAAAAAAACTCTTATTCTCCAATGTTAAGGATTAAAACGAAGTGGGGCCCAGAGCACATAACGGAGCATCTATAATACTGACGGAATGGGTAATGTGATATCGTTTTTAAAAGTGTGGAGGGTATTTTGAGACGTTTCAAAGCTCAGGTGGTAATCTGAGAAAAATTTGAAAGCACGGGGAGCATGTACATAATTAAGCCTATTCTTTTCACAGTTATACATAACCTATAGAGGAGTATCAAGGAGGCTGAAAAAACACTGCTACAAGCCTACAATCAAAATGGCCATTGTACCCTTCAAGATGAAATTCTCTTTTATAGAAGTTATATAAAATAAATAAATAAAAAAAATAAGTTAAGTTTTGGGGAAATAAGTTCAGTTTTGGGGGTATACGTACACACCTTATAGAGGCACCTCTGGATGTTTGCATGGCCTGTCATCAATTTTGAAACTCAATCATTGATGTCTAGTAAGCTATATACATTTATATTTGTCATGCAACTACTACCAAATCCAAAATTAATCGTGTTTAGCGATCTATCATTTTCACATTTTCGTCAACAATCAATCAATCAATCAATGCTTCTTCTTTCTTTCGTAGATGTTCTTCTTTTCTTAAATATTTCCATGGTCTAAAATAAAAATGTATATTTTAATAGAAGCATTATCTGTTAGAGTATATCTACTTTCATCAATTTGGCAAATGTGACATAATTTGTAGAACTTTCTGGTATGTGGATGTATATGTACCTAATTAATAATGAGAAAATATAGTCCCCAAGAAACTGCATGAGAGCCACCATTTGCAAGATACAATAAATTTGGTTACATGTTCTAAATATCAATACTTTGCCTCCCTCAATACACTTTGCATCATTATTGTTCCTTTGATTTGGAGCACATAAAACTTTGGTCGGTGTCTCGAAAATGAGAAGCATGTATAATGGACATAAATTTCAAGGACATAAACAAAGGTTCAAAGACGCAAGACTTGTTCGATTCTGTAGAGTTTTTGTTTTCTTCTTTGTAGTTATTTTCTTTTAGTTAAAGATTTAAAGAGGGAAAAAGATGGCATGGGGTTTGTACTTCAGTGGTTAAGAGCATTTAAAGTCTTAGGTTTGATTCCCCTCTTCCCCAATATAAGATGAGAGAAATGAGATAGTGATGAAAAATGATCACCACAAGAAGAAATGAGTGAGAAAACAAAGAATTAAAACTTGAAATTGTTTTTAATTTTCCGTTCTATATATTTTCTCCCCTAACATAAGGGCTTAACCGACATTTAAATAAACATTCTGAGGGAAAGTAGCATTGAGCTGACATAACAAGATTAGGTCGTGAAATATGGGAATGGGTTTAGGGGGCGTCGATGTGCTTCACCATGGTAGGCCGGCAGGCAGGCAAACCTGAAACCTGCTAATCGAAATTTGAGGGTGGAAGTTAGAACATCGCTAACAATTTTTGTTTTTGAGTTTGTCAAATCAATGTTCGAAGAAAGCTTGTGTGATTAAAAAGACATGATTGAACACAAAATGCTGCGATAGGACACGTGGAGCCCTTAGCTAATGACACGTGGTACTGCAGTTTACAGGTTTAGAGAAGATATATGGAAGAAAGTCCATGCACGTAAGGAAAGATTTCACAAGATACTCAACCTTCAAATGAGAATGAGAGAGAGAGAGAGAGAGAGAGAGAGAGAGAGAGGAATAAACGCGGAGAGTTCAACATGTGTTGGAGGGATCATGCATATCTCATGCATTTGGTTTGGCATTCTTCTCCCGTCCTTAATTAATGCCTAGAGCTAATAGCCTTTTTGTTATTAAAAAAAAAAGGATTATAATGTAAGCGCGAAAATGATGTGAGGGTCACACCAGCCATACTGTAGTATTATTCACTTATATTATAACACATGTATAATTTAAGTTCATGATATATTCATTATGTGTTACTCATCAATATCATAGCACATGAATTAGTAATATTATGTGATAGTGTCACGTCACACTTGAAAATTTGTTATGCATTTGGTCTCCAACATGTTCTCCTCATCCACTATAAAAATTAGGCTTTTTATCACAAATTTTTTTTTGAGGTTCAAGAAACTATCAGGTTAATGCGTCCTATCAATGGGGTATAACCTAGTGGAAAAATGTCTTGACTTGCAGATTAGAGATCTTAGGTTCAAATCTTCGTAGTATCATAATTGTGTGTGTAGGTGTGAGAAATCTTCATGTCCTACAAATTAGACTATCGCTTGTCCTGTAAAAAAGAAAATAAAAAAATCAAGTTTAATCCTTTTATTTTTAAATTTTTGTCATTCATGATCTTCAAGGTTAACATGCGTGCTCACACGTAATCTATACCGTTAAATTTTGTCCAAAAATATGTTAAATTGATAATATGGCACACATGTGGGTCTCAAATATCCAATTATATTATGTCACGTGGATAAAATGAAAAATTCATTTTAAAGAATTTAGAGCTCTTACTAAGAGCACTTCCACCAGTTGCCTGTTGCCCTGGCAAAAGGCACCCCAGTCGTGAATTAATGTCCACAACAGCAAATGTTAGACTGGGCAAGAATGGGTCCCATTTACTCGAGCTACTGTCTGGGTTTGCTGATGTCAGTGTGACATTAGTGACCAATTTAAATACCCAAAATTTTTTTAAAAAAATACCAAAGTATTCAAATAATTTTTTATAAATATCGAGTCATGTTCTTCACTTCTAACACCAAAACTCCATATAAATTCGTCTCCTCATATCTCATGCTAATTGTATTTGTCTTTACTTGCCATGACAATGAGTGGGAAAGCAAAATTAAAAAGGATAGTGTTTGCCCTTACTCGCCTTTGCCTTTTGCCATGGCACAATGGGTGGAAGAGCTCTAAGAGAACCCAAGATGAGGTAGGGCTGGTGGTGGGGGTTTGGTGCGATGGAAGAGGTGGGTTTAGGGCTTCTTGAAAATAAATAAATCTTTTGCTTTTTTTATTATTTAAAATCTTTATAATTTTTAAAATATATTTTTAATTTAATTCACGTGGCATTATATCATTGGATATGTGAGGGCCACATGTGTGTCTCTCCATCTATTTAACAGACTTTTTGAAGCATTTATCCTTGAGAACAACGAATAATACAAAAAAAAACAAGAGGAATGCTAGCAGCCTTCTCTTTTAGACCTTCTCCTTTTTCAGTATGACATGTGTCACTTCTTTACCTTTAAAACAATGTCATTAATGCACTAGATAATCTAATTTTTATTTTCAAAGTTTACCCTTGTTAAATGCATTAATAAAATAAAATTATATTTAATTAATTAATTACACATAAAAAAATTAAGTCTCTCTATCTTCCTCCTTCCCCATTAAGTTCCTCCCACTTTAATCATCAACCACCCTCTTCCTACCCCACAACACCTCAACCAAATCCACCCCACACCTAGTGCCGGACCTATTAAGGCACAAGGCGATGCAATTGCAACTCCCATCACCGAAAAAGCCTCTACGGACTCTGCATCTTGCCCCTTTGGTGAGGTTGGGCGGTGCACTCAACCGCACTCAACATGATAAAAGGCTATTGAAAAAAGGCCTTTTAACAAGCTTTTGTTTTTCTTCTTTTTAAACAAGGAATTTACAAAAATATATAATAAATTAATTTTAAAAAAAAAAAAAAAAAAAAAAAAAAAAAAAAAAACATTTGCACAACTCCTTATTCATGTGGGATTAGGAGTTATCTTTATAGAGGATTAACAACAATATTGTTAACGCCAATTTTGAGCAACACTTTTTTTTAGAACAAACACAAATTGCACAACTCCAAAGCAAGTCTGGTGTTTTTTGGTTGAGATATTTAGTCAAATACCCATTCTTAGCACTAAAACTATAAATAAACCATACACCATTTAATTTCTATAAACAAACCCAAAAAATGACAATTGACCCTATTGAATTTAATTTTGATTATTAAATTACTTTGATGCCCTATTGAGTGTTTTGGGCTTTTTTCTATGTTTTTTAGTTGGGTTTGTTTTAAGAAATCAATGGCAGTTTTGTAATTTAAAAGAAATTAAAAGCCTTTTTGTTATGTTGTAAATGAGTTTTAGGTGTGTTTATAAAGTCCATTTTCATATAGGGTATTTTTTATAATTTGGGCTCCCATATTGGGTATAATAGTGAATCTCCCTTTTTTTTTCTTCCTCTTGAGCAAATGCCAATTTTGTTTTTTTGGTTTTTTAAAAAATTTTTTTTTTTTTTTTTTTTTTTTTTTTTTTTTTTTTGTGGGGGGGTGGTGGGGGGTCTCTTTGTTGTATTTGTATTTGTATCAGTAGCAAACTCGAGAAGAAAGAGGTTGCGCGACGCATGAGTTGAGGTACAATCAATTATGATTTGATTTTTTAATTAATAATTTGATATTAATATTCGTTAAATTATTGATTTGATATGGGTTTCTATATTAATTGATATACTATAGTCAATTAGTCATAAGCCTTATACCCTTATTGTTTCAATTATAAGGATATTTGGTTGTCAATAGTTTTAATTATTATAAAGTTTTTAGCTTTTCAAAATGGCTTATTTATGTACATGCCCACTGTGCTTTCAAACTTGTCTCAGATTACCACCTGGGCTTTGAAACGTCTCAAAATATCCTCCACACTTTTAAAAACGGTCTCACGTTACTCATTCCGTCATTATTATAGACATTCTGTTACGTCCTTGGGGCCCCACTTCGTTTCAATCATTAACATTGGAGAATAATGGTTTTTCAGCTTCAGAAAAGGGAAAAGGGGGTATTTGGGTGAGAAG